GTGAGCAAACAGCTAAATGCAATCCTACCTGCAACATGCCTGAGGGGACATCTGAAAGGGAAAGCATGCATAACCCACACTAGAACAGAGCCAAACACAGGCCCATATTCACCTGATTGTTCTAAGCGTATTCATTGCAGTTTTGTTGTTTTCTGTTACATCCAAGAGCAGGTACCTAGCCCAGTAAGCCTGTAACTGTTTGCCACAGCTATCAAACACTACAGCAATGTAAAAGGATGAACATCTAAGAATATACAGTTCTCCTCTTTCTTTGTAATTTCTTTAATTGTTGCACATTACCTGTGACAGAAGATTACCAAAAAATACCACTCAAGCATATTAGCAACTTACCTTAATTAAGTCCCCACTAGCAGAAATTTATCTGTGAAAAGTTATTTATTCATACAGAAGAGTAATGCAGCCTTGAGACAGTTATTAGGACTCAGTTTTTTTCTGCAGACTCTCTAACTGAAGAGTTTCTCTAATTTATCAATATCTGACTAAAATCCTGGCACAGATTTTGGAGATAAGAAACACAAGAAAATTAAATTATTACAAACATACTTTCTAGTAAAGAACTGGACAGGACTTGGAAAGGTGTACAGTCCTCCAGTATATTACATCTACTCTGTACAAACATGCCCCAATCCCAAGGAACCCATTAGCTCCTTCCTCCTCCAATGGAAGCTACAAATTGTTTCACTAGGGCTGTTTCCTTAGGCCAGATAAAGACTAAATTACCTCAGATTTTGGAATTTCCCCCCTCTATCTATAACAGCCATATGTTATCAGCAACACTTTTGTTACACCAAGGATTTTTTCATTACCTGCTAGCTGCATGTAATATCATTTATTCTACAATAACGTACAAATGTAGTAAGAGATTAACATAGTCCATGCAAGGATTTGGGATGAAGGTACTGAAGATGCTGGTTCAAACCCCAGCTCCTCAGTCTTGCTCTGAGCCAATGGAAGGTTATTCCTTTTCTCAGAATAGCATTTTAAAAAATGAAATAACAGTATTGTCATTTTCTCACACATTGGCCTACCCAGAGGTTCCAGTCCCTTGCTGTTTCCAAGCCATGTACATCAGGGAAACAAAAACCCAAAATCTGGCTATGCATCTGTCCTAATTTCAGCTGGGATAGGGCTCATTTTCGTCCTAGTAGCTGGCACAGTCTGTGGTTTGGATTTAGTATGAGAATAATGCTGGTAACACACTGATGTTTTAGTTTTTGCCAACTAGTGCTTGCCCTAAGTCAAGGGCTTTTCAGTTTCCCATGCTCTGCCAGTGAGCAGGTGCACAAGAAGTTGGGAGAGAGCACAGCTGGGACAGCTGACCCCAACTGACCAAACGGATATTTCAGACCATAGAACATCATGTGCAGTTTGTGCACTGGGGGGAGTTGCCCAGGAGTCCCTGATCGTTGCTGGGGGATGGGCTGGGTATAGGTCAGTGGGTCGTGAGCAATTATATTCTGTATCACTTGTTTCCCTTGGTTTTTATTTCTCTTTCTCTTTGTTACCTCCCTTTTCATTTTTATTAGTAGTATTAATGTTAGTATTATTATTATATTCTACTTAATTTCAATTATTAAACTGTTCTTATCTCAACCCACAGGTTTAACCTTTTTTCCAATTCCCCTTCCCCTCCAAACAGGGGCAGGGGGAAGAGTGAGCAGCTGTGTGGTGTTGAGTTGCTGGCTGGAGTTAAACAATGACACCATCTTATTGCTGCTTGTTCAGTTTGTTAAATAAGTCAAACTTCCTCCTCAACCCTGAACTCAGTACAAAGGGAGATTCCACACATCACCTGATGGGGAAAACCAGAAGACCGAGTCTTCAAACAGGTGCCTCACAAATCTGTCATTCTATAACAGAGAAAAAAAGAAGACTTATACACATACATGGTACACAGGAATATGCTCACACTCACAAGGATTATCTGCTCACAGGGTGGGTAAAACCCTCTCCTTTGGAAATTATTTGGGATCTACAGATTGTAAGATGCAAGTTCTTACTCTCGTGTGTGTGTGTGTGTGTGTGTGTGTGTATGTATACACAAACAAGTGCTTTCATTCTCTTTTTAAACAAGTATGTGTAGCCTTTGAAACAACATGGAATTCGAGATATAGATTTGTAAAGTACAATACTAAGTTGAGAAATCCATTTAGGAAGCCTGACTTGACCTTTTGACTAAACTGTGAGAGCAAGTGAGCAGCTGAATTTGGCAGTATTGAAATAATTGTTTACCAGTGAATTAAAAGAAAGACAAAATTCATGTCTTTCTTTCCAGAGCAGAAATAGGAAGAGATAAATATTAAAAATATGTGTTGGCTGACAAGGTGACTTGCCTATCCCCATGATTCTGTTTTTTAGAGGTCTTTAGCTTAAAAGCACTAGCAGCAAAAAAGAAAAAATGCTGTCTAGGAACTGCCCAAAAAGCTCAATCATACCAGGCTCAGAAAGTTGGTAACTGTAAAGTGCCTGTATGTCACCCCTTTTCCCATCACATGACTATTTTTCCAGTCTAGTTCTTCAGTATGGCTTCTCCTCTCCTGCTGGGATCTTGAGGGGTAGCTGAAGGGAGAGAGAGGTGACAGCTTATTGAAAAGCTAGTGCTCCCTGCCTAGTTTTGGCACACTTTCTGCAGGTGCCTCGCACTGTAGCCACAAAAGGCTCTGGAAGAGAGGATTCAGACTTGTCAACAGCTACAGGAGGCAACTCCACAGCTTTGTCTTACAGGGTAACTTCATTGTCTGCTGTTCTGAACCCCAGCACAGGCACCCGCTAACGAGATGAGCCCCTTTTCCCTCTATTGGTTCCTTCCTCTGTTTCTCTTGCCTTTCTGTAATGATTTAACTTGATCGTATTGGTTCCTTTCTAGTGAGGATTGCTCCAACAATCAGATAAGATAATTGCCTGCAGAATACTGCTCAGCAACAACTATTACTTCCTTTGCTGAAAATGTCAGAGCAATTGAAAGCTCTTAGTGAAGTTCAAGAACAAGTAAGCAAAAAAGAAGCAGCTCCTGTTCGTGGATGTATCTGTGTGTATATTTAGCAAGTTTGCAGTGGCCAGCTCTCCTGGATGATCTTGCTTTATAAGCAACACTTTGAGCATATTTTATATTTTTATGACCTTTTTAAGGAGCTGACCAATGCAAACATATGCACCGTAATCCTCACGAGGAAGCATTTATCTCATTTACTTCTGATTTGTATGGCATTTACTTCAGCTTTGGAAGACAATGTTATGGAATCACCTGGTCTCCATTTTCCCCAATTCCCATTCCATTTCTTAGAAACCAAACTAATTCAATTCCTTTTTAATCTTAAAATACTGTCTCCATACAGGAGATTTCAGGGAAAGCCTGGAGTGGAGTTATTAAATAGTGCTGTGAATTTAATTCCCTTTTGATTTAGTCACTTGCTAGCAACAGTGACTTTCCAAATATCCAAACAAGACCATGTTCAGTGTAGCTCTGCTCTGTAGCTTTACAAAGTGACAGCTGATAGAAAAGTGCTACACCAAGAAAAGGTCATGTAATTATCACACTCCAAATCTAATACAATTAAAATACCAGAAATAGTTCAGGCTACTATTTAATTCACTTCTTCACCTGAAACACATGCTGCCACTGCTAACAAACACATTACACACTGAGGGACAATTCGAGAGCACACCCACAGACATTATGCTTTTTATCACTAAAGTATGCAGGCTCTAGAGATTTTGTATGACATCAAGATCTCCATCTACTTGACTGACAGTACAAATAAGCAAGAAAAATCCACACCTTCAAAAATTTATTCAGAGCACAGCTGGAAAAACTGCACAAAGCCTCATCCTTTATCCTTTTTCAAATCACATTTTTTCTATACTACCTGTGCACTGTCACCAATAATACACTATCACATAGTCATAGCCATCAATTCTTTTTACTGTTAACTCCATAAAGAATAAAGAGCTTTTGAAAGCTTCTTAGAGTTCTGTGAAAAGGATGGAGAGCTGGATCAGCACTGGATCACTATGGGCTATTTGTAGGGAAATTCCTTATTCTCTGGTAAGGAACTCCAACACAGGAAACTATATGATATTTGTTTTTGTAGCATCACTGGATGGCAAGCATCCAAATCAGTGACTTATATCTGGAGAGATACAGGCTCCAGCCTTGCAGTATAATTCAGCCAGACTTGCACTAGTTTAACTACTTCAGAGCCAGATGCACAACTTGTTCATGCATTGGATATTTCAGAAACTGAACACTATTTTAGAACTAATTTCATGGCTAAATTTTGCTATATAGAGCTACATTCAGTAGGGCTTATTCCCTGATAATCTGAATGAATTATAGCATAGGTATCCAATTAAACTAAGCAGTGATTTCTAAAGTCCACTTTATAACTTACTCTGAATTCCTTTAAAGCTTTTGCTGGATGGTATGTTTTACAGCAGTGAAGTAAGGATTCAGCAGACAAATGAAATATAATTTCCTCTTTCTCTTTTCACAAAACTCAATAATTGCAAGAGGCACAATTTTTTCAAATAGTGCCACAACTTATTTGTCAAAAATAGACTTGAAATTCTATCTAAAATTTTAACATCAGGAACTGTGACACAGGAAACTGAGAGTAACTGATCTCTCTTTGTGCCTGAAGCTCAGGCTGGCAGTCTGATTCTAGAGCCCTTGACACAAACTCACACTTTCTAGAGAAAAGCTGGAAGTGGTAATTGCTACTGATGCTTGTCCTGAAACAACATGGCCTTTGAATGAGCTCCCTTTACAGGGCAGACTAGTGCAGTACCTTCACAAACACTTCGTGGCAGTCCTGAAAAAATGACCATTTATAAGTAGGAAGCACAAAAGAAAACCTCTGCTATCTTCTGACAAGGAGCCAGGGAATGTAAGACATTCCTGTGCTCTTTTTCTTGCTTCTTATAGTCAATGCTCACAGAATATGGGTAGAATTAAAACACAAAACTGAGAGCTATGCTGTTTATTAAGATACTTTGCTGCAAGCAGGCAGTAATCCATCTCAAATTAAAGCCTAAAAGCCTTTCAACTCATATATCATGTGCTTGATATACACAGGAGGTGAAGAGTAGAGGATCCAATAGTCTTTTGTGGATTTAAGCTTGTAAGTGCTAGGATGCCCTTTAACCTTTAAAATAGAGCAATAGCAAGCACGTCTCAAAATAATTTCATTGTGTTAATTATTTATACACAGTTCGCGCTACCAGAATGTTCTATTTTGTGTATGATGGACTGCTTCCCTCCCCATGCAGGAAGCAGGTAACTGAGAATGAATATACTGGCACAGTCAGAAAACATAAAGGTTTTTTTACCTTTACTTTACACTCTGACAAATACAATTGTGTGCATTTGGTACTACTTTTGGCTTAATCACTAAACATCAGCAGTTGACAAAAAATACATCCTCCTCCTTCTCTGAAGAAAATGGTGATTTTTATGATGGACAATTGGACACAATAGCTGTAGTGATTGCTTGCTGGTTGAAGCCTGGTTGATGAGTTACACACTGTCCTTCTCATTGCTTAAGGTACATTTCACAGAACATTATCTTCTTCCTGTTCTAGAGGGTTTTCTGCCAAAAAACTCTTTTTATCACTTCCTCCCTTTATGTTGCTTTCATTATCTATATGTAAGAAATGGAGATTAGAAAGCAGCAGTTCTGTATAAAGGTACACTCCTCTCAGCACAACATCCAGTGAGTAGGCAATGTTTCCAGGAGACAACATGCATGTTTTCTAACAAATATACAAATCCTGAGAGAAACTGAGAATCTGACACTGAAGTCTATTCTTAAACACAATTCCAGTTATGCTCCATTGACCCATAACTTTTCTTACTCTAAAATAATGAAATACATCTTATCAATCCACCACAACCAAACAGAGTTATGCAATTCCATCAGTGCAATTAATGCAAGAAAGAGATGGACTTACTGGAGTGAGTCCTGTGCAGGTGACTAAAGGACTGGAGTGTCTTTCATAATAGGAGAAGTTGAGACAGCTGGAACTCTTCGGTCCAGAAGAGAGAAGGCTCAGGGAGCAGTCATCAATGTGTATAAATACTTGATGGGAGGGAATGAAGAGGAGGAAGCCAGACTCCTCTCAGTAGTTCCCACTGGCAAAACGAGAAGCGATGGGCACAAATGTAAAACTAGTACATTCAGTGTAAGATAAAAATACAACTTTTGCTGTGAGTGTGGTCAAACACTGGAGCAGGTGGCCCAGACAGGTTATGGAGTCTCCCTCTTAGGAGATATTCAAAACCTGAATGGTCCTGGGCAACCTGCTGGAATGGACTGTGCTTGAGCAGGTGAGATGGAGGAGGTGATCTCGAGGGCACTCTTGCAACCTAAATTTCTGTAATTTACATCATAGTATTGCTTCAAGAAGGAAAGAACAATTTTGTGAAAATTCATTTGAGAGCTGTACACTTGTGCTCTATCTGAAATACTGTGTTAATATTAAACAGCATTTTCTTCTACTAGTCATCATATTAATTACCTTATTTATTTTGTATAGTTTTCAATTCTTTTGTAGAACCAAAACTATTTTCCAAACCCATCACATTCAGAAATAGAATATTTCTACATTTGCTCATATGTATCTGAATCTTGTACATTTATCAATATTTGAAGAAGATAATGAAGGGGGGGGTTGTATTAGAAGCATTCTCTGTCTCTTATGTTTGTATCAGCCACTGCTTAATTTTAGAAAATAAGTCTGAAACTAATTTGAAATCTGAATTAATCCCCTCTGTGCAAATGTGCCATGCCTGGTTATTTCTCCAACAGTCACATCTTTTCCAAAAAACTACAAACTCACCAGACTGACCTCATGGTCACAGAACTCTTTAATTTCAAGCCATTCTGTCAAAATAGCTATGGATTTACAAGTCTCATTGACTTCCAGTGAAAGTCAAAGGTGCTCAAGCTCACTCAAAATCTGCTGCTTTGAGACAAACCTCACAACTAGCTTTTAATACAATTCTATCAGTACACAAAATTTATAAAAACTGTATTTCATGGATGAATACACCCCCAAGCAGTAATATCAGTCAATAGATTCTTTTCCAACAAAATAAGGTATATTTCATTGCATCAGCTGGATGTTATTCAAACATATGGCTGAGTGTCTTACATGGAACTGTAGTCTTCAGAACTAAGACTCTGAAAAGATTTTCAGCTTACAATCACACCTACCTTCAAAAATGTGAATATTTTTTAAGATATACAAGCAATATTTCCTTTTCCTTTTTTTTTTTTTTAATTAACTGAGTCTTGAACTGAATGAAATAATTAAAGATAACAATGGAAATAGGGGAAAACAAATTTTATCTCCAGAGCTCACACATTGTTTCCCTAGCCTCAGGGGAACTGTTTAAATCTTGTTTATAAGAGAAAAAGAGTCAAAGTGGTTATAAATGTCCTATAACTTTCATACAAGATTTGAAAATTCTTGGGATGTTGTACAAAAAATACCACAACAGAAGGCTTTTTGAAAAAAAAAAAAACCCAACATATTTTTGAATTAAAGAAACCTAAATTAGTGGAATGGAAAAAATGAAGTCAGTTATAAATTCATATGATCTTATGGGTTTATCACGAAATGATAGTCAAGCTTCTGCTCCAGATGGTGCAATAGTGTTTGTGACATCCACTTTGAACTGCAATCTAGTTATGTGTCAAGCAGGAGAGTCCATTATTCACTGCATCAGTGCTGGGGAAAGAAGGTTAAAAGTTCAAGACATGCCCCAAGCGATTAAGGTTGTAAAAATCAGGAGATATACCATGGGGAAAAAAATGCCACTCTTCTTCCATACTCAGTTTGTTCCGAAAAAATATGTTTAAGCAAAAAAACCAACCAACCAACCAAAAAAACCAACCTAGAGGATACAGGAATGACCCAATTTTCTATAGTAAAGTAAAGCAAAAATTACCTTTTTATTTGGACTCCTTAAACCCCTCTGCTATCAGCTTCACTTTTCCTAGAAAGAAATATAAAGGCTTCTGTTAAAATCTGCCCACAAGTTACAGGACTTGAGAACTCAGTTAACACTATTTCTCACTCCTTGGGACATTCATGTCAACTATTACATACTTGTAGCTAACTCAGATTTCAAACTTTATTTTCCAAGTACCCTCCAGATCACGAGTCCATCTGCACTAGTCAGGATTCACTTCTCGTTGTGTAAGCCTTTGCTCTGCTAAGCAGTAACATAACCTACAGAGTGCTTCCAAACACTCCGAAAGCTTCTGTATTTGGAACTGGAAGTATTGCTCTCAAATACTTGAGCAAATTTAGGTTTCTAGTCCAATATAAAAGGAAAGAAGAAGATGCAAAGCCTGAGGGGTGAAGCTAAAAAAATTTGCATTAAAGAAAACCCCTTCAGCAAAATTCTTTCTAGTGAGAGTGAACAGATTTTTTTACAAAAAAAAGAAAAAAAAGGTGCTTTAATGCTTAGAACCTTTGAAAAGGTATGAAGTCATTCTTTTCAGAAAGTTATCTTCTTTCAACAGACAGGTAGAAAAAAGTAGTTCCATTCTAATACATTTTCTGTCTGCTGTTTGAACTACAGGTTCAAACTAGAACATCGAGAAAGCCACTCTGACCATGAAAAGTGATGACAAACAAGAATAAACTCCGCTGATTTATGTAAAAGTAAGTTTTGCTTTATTAGTAATTATCTAGCCTCAGAACTAGAAAACTGAAGTACATGTTCCCACTTTTCTAACTCTGTTCATCTGCAAGTTTGATTGCTGGTTTGTATAAATTGCAAATGTATTATGGCCATGTTGCTACATCCTCTTTGAAATCAAGTCAATACCTCATATGCAGTAACTGATGTATGAGCACATATTTTCATGTCATAGGAAATATTTCATACGAATTTCACAGAGACTGATAACATTCAGACTCTGGATATACTTGTGTGTTAACATTTCAGAGTATGATATTGACAATGTACACAGAAAAATCCCTGTAATCCATCATGGCAGGGTCCTTGAACTAGGTAGGTTTTAATAATGCCTTAAAGCTCATAACAGTTACTTCAAAATGCATGAAATCTTGTAGCAGACTCCTGATATCCAAGAATAAGCCTAACATTCATGTGCACTACATTAAAAAAAATCTAAACACCACAAAACCTATTTGTATCACAGAAATTTGAGGGCAATCTTCTGCAAGCTCAAAAACTTGTCTTTAAATAGTGTGTGTTCCAAATCACCTTTAGAGTGATAAATCAAAGCCTCTGAGCTCTCACACTGCAGTTCAGCAGGCTCCTTTGGAGAAGGCCAGGCTCACCCTTGCACAGCAGGAGCTGAACAGACCCACAGGAAGAATCCTCAAACTTTAGAAAGAAATTAGTACTAAAACCCACTCAACTTGAAGGAACCACTGGAGCAGAGAATGATTACTCAAGGCAAATGAACTCTCATATGGGTACTCCGGAAATTAAAATAATAGTGCTGGGGGGGAAAAAGACTTCAATAATTATTAGAAATTTCCAAATATGCAGTATATATATTACTTAAGTTCTTAGAAGTTTTTTATCTAGACTCAAAGTCCAGTCTAAATGTGTTCAGCCACATTCGACAGAATCTTTTTTTTACTCTTACACACATATTTAGTTTTGTTACTGGAGTCTATTCTTTATAGAACCCAAAATATTAAAAATTAAAAGAAACACTACAGAAGCATTTTAGGTATAAAAAGAAAAAAATTAAAATTTCTTTTTTATTTAAGAAATTAAAATGCCTCAAAAGCAGTAATGTACCTGTACAAGAGTACTTGTATCACCAAGCTAAAAAGACAATCCTGATTTTATCAGAAATGGGCAGTTTTTACATACTCAGAGTTGACTTCAAAGAAGACCCTGTCAGTGGAATAAGCACACATTACTCTTCTGTGAAATCCTAGAACAGAGATGGCAGTGAGACCATGATTTAAAGGTCAAGTTTATATTTTTAAAGCAGCATTTTAGAACAGCAAAAAGCAAATCCTTCACACGACGCTTAAGCATGCCATGTTGTACTTGGGTTTAGAGCATGCCAGATTAGCACCACATATTCATATACTCAAAGGAGATACATGTGACAGAAAGAATGCACACAGTACAGTGTCATAAATGAGGAAAAGCTGATCATAGCAAGAGTTATAGTAAAGGCAAGAGGTGAAAAAGAATTATGTACAGTTGCTCTCAAAAGAAACATGAGACCCATTTATCTGTGCGCCCAAAATACTATGCAATCTAAGAGACTTGGGGGAAAATCTGTTGAGAAGACATCAAAATACAGTGTTACTGGACACCTCTAGGAATGTTATGATTGCAATCTTATACATTTTCTGTACATTTTTAATGTACATGTTAATATAAGTGAAGCATCTTCATTTTTCAAAGGCCAGAGTTACACCAATGACAGGCTTTTCCTCACTGAGTTTGTTTCTTGGCTCTTGCTACATATACTTTGATTAGAGAGTTTTTAATTACACTTTAGCCTGTTAGCACCATGGGGCCAATAAAACTAAGAGAAATAGAACTAATTCTTTTCATTCAACACAACTGGTAACTAAACACCAATTAATTACACCCACACAAGCCTAATGAAGATAATGGGGTTGCAGAGAGTTCACTGATGGTATGAAGTGGCTTGCAGTATCCTAACCTTAATCAGTTAACTACTTCGTAATAGGGAGGATCACAGGATAAGCCATCCTCTTTCTACATTCTTACAATTAATGGAAATTACATAGCCATACAGATAATTCACGTAGCGTTCACCTGATCATGAACCAAAAATGATAAATACTTCGGGGAATCCCTACTAGTATTTCAATCAATTTATTAAAAAACAGGAGTTTAGGGTTATTAAATAACCTGAGTATCAATCTGCTTCAGCTCATTGCTTTGCTAAAGGCCAAGCTGGCCAGTTTCTTTTCTTTCAGGAATGGGAGCATCCACAGCTTCTCTGGGTAACCCGTGCCAGTTCCTCACCACCCTCACAGTAAAGAATTTTTTCCTAATATCTTATCTAAATCTACCCTCTTTCAGCTCAAAGCCATTACCCTTTGTCCTATCACTACATGCACTTGTACCTCTCTGTCATTCTCGTGGGGGCCCCCTTTGGGTACTGGAAGGGGCTCTAAGGTTTCCCTGGAGTCTTCTTTTCTCCAGGCCAAAAACCTCCAGCTCTCTCAGCCTGTGTCCATAGCAGAGGCGCTCCAGCCCTCTGAGCATCTTCATTGCCCTCCTCTGAACTCCTTTCAAGAAGGCCCACATCCTTCTCATGGTGGGGCCCCCAGACCTGGATGTAGTGTTCCAGGTAGGATCTCACAAAAAAGGAGTTAAGGGGGAGAATCACCTCCCTTGACCTGCATGACTTCTCAAATATGATTGATAGTGGCTTAGCTACTTGGTCCACAGGTTCCCTCAGGACTCACAGGTGCATTTCACCACGTCCTATGCACTTGTGCACCTGCAAGTTCCTTAGATGTTCCTGAACGTCTCTTACAGTGGCCGGTCTTCATTCTCTCAGTCCCTGACTTTTCCTTTTGCAACTTGGGTGTTGCAGCTTGAGCACTTGCCAGTGAACACAGAGGCAAAAAAATTGTGAAGTACCTCAGCCTCCTCCATATCCTGGGCAACCAGTTCTGCTGTTTCCTTCCAGAGAAGGCCAACATTTTCCCTAGTCTTCATCTTATCACTGCCATATTCCTTCACAATGTGTTTTATTTAGAGCCCTTTAGAAGGCAAAAGGTGGGAAACTGGTCTAGAGACCCTTGAAATGTATCAGAAGGTACAGCTCCCGTGATGGGTTGCATTACCTAGTGTGTGATCAGCACACAACAGCACTGTCACCTCTAGAGGTCTGTTCTTCCAGGACTATTTAATTAAACCAGAGCTTTCTGAGGCAAGCCTGTGCATGTGACACGGATCTGGCACTATTTGACTGCTGCCACCCAGCCCTCCGACTGCACAAGCCCCTCCTAGCAGTTAGGAGCTCAAAGGGCAGCCACCCACCACGTTAACTCCTTCTGAAGAAAATCTAATGAGGTACTTGCTGCCCACTGTCCTCAAAGGAAGGGGAAGTGTCAGTTTAGAAACTTCTTCCAAGGAAAAGAGGGTTTAACTCTCTGGAGAGGTACTGTACTATTTCTGAAGGATGTGAAAGGAGAAGAAAATGATTCTGTAGGGATTTTTCTTCATTATCACCCCACCTGGAGAAGTGAGCACACAATGAGCAGAGGTCCACACATATTGATTTTAGAGCAGGGGAAGTGTGCAGCTAACAGCTTTTTAAGTATCTCCATTTTCAGTTACTCCAACAAAATTACCGATGAACAATGTAACAAAGTGAAAGTTTTGTAGGAAATTGCAGACTTAAAAAAAAAACAAAACAAAACAAAACAAAACCCACAACCATTTAGGCTGGGAAATGTTTCTTTTCATTGAAAGTAAAGAGCTTTTAAACGCACGAGTTACTGACGCGTTTGGCAGCGTTAGACATTTCCCAAACCATACTCCGTCTCTCTTTCAGGGCGATAATTTTATACAGTTTTGTTGCATGGTGACTTTTTAAATCGAGGAGCGCCTGCTCGCGGCATCCTTGGAAGGCCCTGACCGGGCTCTGAGGGAAGCGCGAGCACCGCACGGTGTGGAGGAACCAAAGCGGACCAGGGCGAAACAAAGCCCGGCCCCGCTGGGTCGGGGGGTTGTTCCCGGGCGGCTGGGCGAGAGCAGAGCCCTCGGGGCGCGGGGTCGGGCACGGCGCCCTGGGAGGCCGCTGTGCCCCTGAGGGAGCGGCGGGGAGGGAGGGAGGGAAGGAAGGGCGGCGCTCCCCGGAGCGTTGCCCGGCAGCGGCGGCGGCCCCGCCATGGAGGCGGGCGGGCGGCGGGCGCGGCGGCGGGAGGCGGCCGAGTACTACCGAGGGCAGCGAGTGCCGGAGCGCATGGAGGAGGCGCTGAACGCCCTGTTCCCGCTGAGCCCCGGGGATCTCTACGGGGAGCTGGTAGCGCCGGGAGGGGCAGCGCCTGGAGGGGGCCGGGCGGGCTGTGCCGGCCCCGCGTCAGGGCGAGGGCGGCGCGGGGGGTCCGTGGGGGGCTGCCCGCAGTGCCCGACCCCGTCCCCGCCGTCCCTGCCCTCCGGGAAGGGGCGCAGCGAGGAGCTCGACGTCTCTGTGATAAGGAAGTGGTTCCTCCCGACTGCGGTGTTTCGGTGTTTGTGGTCAGGGGCACTTTGACGCCGGGCCAAGCAGCAGCCGGGCCCTTTGCCGACACGTGGTCTGGTAACCGCGTGCCTCTCGACACGTGGTCTGGTAACCGCGGCGGCGTTGGATCGAGGGTTGGACTTGATGTCATCTCAGAGGTCCTTTCCAACCCGGCTAATTCTATGATTCTGTGAAAACAAAGTGGGAGGGCACAAATGGACATAGCTAATAAAACCGCTGCTCAGCACAGTGGTGTCTCTCCTGGGCCAGCAGTGACAAGAGACTGGGTGCTATTCAGCTGCAGCTGTTGATGAAAGGGAAGTGTCGAGAGTCACACCCATTTCATCTGTTCCCGGTTGGCCAAATATTGTTGACAGTAGTCATAATGAAACCTCAATTAGTGGCAATACAAGAATTGCCAACGCTACAATAGCAAGCAACTCTTGAAAAAAATGGTTTCTATTATGTTGTTTAGTGGGAAAGTGTCAGTGGAATTGAAACATTTCGTTCCATCTTGTGCTATTTCCCATCTAGTGTTTTGCTATCGCCAGTGGAAGGGACTAGAACTGGTAACACCTTTTCTTGCTCTGCCTGGTTGTTGACATGTTCCTTTTCTATGTAGCTATAAGAGTTTCCAGTTTTTCCCATTTGGTAAGTCATGGTTTGGTGACTCTCCAATACCAGACTAAATAATGAAACTAGTAAGGAAGTATGTAGTAAACCTCAGGTAGCGACTTAATCAGTTTTCTAAAGCAACATTGTATTACCTATGGACAGAGGTGAAAATATATTGGATTATGACAGTTCATCAGGCCCATTAAAGACCATGTTGGAAGAAGAAAGTGAACTGCCTACCAGAAGTCTCGTTTTTCACCTTTCTCACAGGGCTCAAAACTTGCTGTAACATATAAATCATAGAATCAAAGAATATGCTGAGTTGGAAGCGACTCATAATGGATTTGTTCAGTGGTGGATTTGACTGAAATATATTTTGTGGAATAAAAACCTCTTTACTTGGAAATTGACTTTTAATGAAGTTCTTTCTCTTTCATTTAAGGCTAACTACCTTTCTAAATATTCAAAAGCTCCAGTAATATGCAAATTAGTTGGAAGAAAAGTTCTTGATGGAGTTGGTCAGTCAACATTAGAAGTGGAAATATACTGTACAGTTAAAAACTATGAGAAGGTATGAGCTGTTCCTGTTTTATTTATTTGAATAGGACAATGTCAGGAAGAGGTACTATTCTCACATCCCAAGGAACATTTTATTTTCCATCTTTGTGAGGAGATATAAATCCCTGTGACTCAAGAGTTGAGTATTGTAACTTAGAAAAAAAAGGTGTCCTGAAAAGTTAGACAGTGGAAGCAACTATGAAAATTTTCTTTCCATGAATTAGACAATATTTTATGAGTGGGATATGAGTGCATCTTTGTATATTAAGTTTTTATCTGTCTTCATGTAGCTTTTCCTTACACCCCATACTAGCCTTGTAAGATCACTTTCCTTTTACCTTTTTCTTTAATTTTCATATCCTTATATTTCTCTTTGTGTGACAGTCTTTCAGAAAAACACAGCACAGGTGAAAAGCACAGTATAAGTGAAGGCACTTTTTTTACACCAAGCTAATAGGTTGATGTGGGTGATAGTTAAGTCAAACATATCCCCCCAGCACCTGCAATGCAAAATTGGTGGTACATCTCTCCCCCATCCTGCAATATTCAAGTTACTGTCTTTGCAGCTGTAGCTATTTTGGAGTAATTATTTCTACTTTCCCTCAGTTAAACTATGGTCCCCTTCTTTCTTGAATTAAATGTAGCTTCACAGGTATTCACAGTGTATAAAGTTAATACTATTAATGCAGGCAACTGTGAAATTTGTAAATGATGTCTTCCTTAAGTGAATTCTTTTAATATCATTTATTCTTCATCAGTACAGAAAGATGAGCTTAAATTATCTAAGACAACAGTAACTGACCATGAGGGATAGCATTAAGCATGAATGCTGATGAATCATGGTACAGTAGGCTACAAACAGCTGCAATAAAAGATGTCCTAATGACTATGGTCCTTAAAATAACTCCATTCTATTCTAATAGCATAATATATATATAAAGAGATCTGTCAGAAGGTTTTTGCCTACGTACTTATAATTTAGATCAAAAAACTTGAATAATGTCTGTGATTACCAAAGTATAAGAGGCTAGAAAGAAGGTGCAGGATGAAAAAAGATAAGTGGAGCAAGCAGTAGATTTGGAGATATGTACTTGTAGAGTTGGTAAGGACATATACTTCTTAGTCTTTCAAATGACATTTCAAAGTTAGAAATTAAATAGTGTTTAAAACCTTTATACATGGGTGTTTTTTTTTTTTAATTATTATTTATGCAGAGGATTTGTTCCACTGTAATGTCTTGCCATTCTCAAATACCTGAAAATGCTTTACCTGAAAAAATTGAAGCTGATGAAAAAGAAAGAAATGACTCTGTTAATACTGCTGTGGAATGGGTCAATGAGTCACTCAACACAATGCTGAGGGACTTGGAGCCTACTGACCAGTGTCAAGTTGATAAGATGCTTGGGTAGGTCTTGCATATTATGCAAATTAATGCATTTGAAATATACAAATAATTTATATAAAATACAATTTATATAATTTTATATGATATTATTTATGTATCTAATTTTATATATAATATAATTTATATGTGTAATTTATATTATTTGTATTGTTAATGGAAAGCATATAGAATATTTAGTGTTTTCTACTATTATTTTTTATATTTTTAGGTGGTAGCATATGTCTCTGATCCATTGCACTATATTATTGTCTGCTTGTTTCATAATTTTGATATGAAAATCGTGCTGGTTTTTACAAGGTTTCATCCATGGGATACAAAAATAAGGGTGTCTAAGAAAAAAATACCTGAACACATTCATGAGTCAAAGGCAACATTTAAGAAATTCGTTCAGTGCCGGTTTAATTTAGTAGGGAGGTTTTTTCAAACTGCAACTCCACTTCTTCTGTTTATGGCCCTGCAAAAGGCAAGTGGTGCAAATGGCCTGGGTGTGAGTCTGCTGCATTGAGCTAATCCACAAAAACATGTATATGTGTGTAGCTTTCACGTCCTGGTGGAGCTTTCTTTCTGAGCAAGCTGCTCCAGAAGACATCTTACTAGGGTAATTAGTTTGTTTGGAAATACAGTTTCTTTAATAAACATCCATGTTTATTTTTCATATAAATATTTCTTCTTGAGAGCATCCCAAAGTAAAAAACAACAGCCATATTTATCCATTCAAAGAAATATGTCTGGCTTTTATAAGAAAAAAATATATATAAGGTAAAAGTATCACAGATGGATTTGAATGTATTTTTAAAGTACACTTAGAAGAAGCCACCTGGCAACAGTATGGCTGTCTGCACCCTGGCAGCAGTAATATGGCCTCACATCCTCTTCTGGAGTTGGAAATGTTCCCTTCAGCTGCACCCCTGAGGGAAATGACCCTGTGTGGAAGGGGTAGAGGTTGGGCTGCCACACTGAACACAGACTGTATTGAACAGACCTAATTGCCTTCCACATGGACTAGCTTTGGGAAAACCTTGATGAAGGGAATAAGGACTCAATTGGAAAGTGAGTGTAAATAAGATTTTAATGCATTGTTTACACTACTTTACATATCTTACATACTCAGTTTACCTGATTTGGATGTCTGTGACCCCTGCCTAAAGTTTCCAGTTCATGCACGTAATTGAAATTCAGCCACCTCTTAGTTTGCAACCAGTTGGATAACCAGTGTACAACTGAGCTCTTGGATTAGCAACCTTGGCCAGGCTGTTGTATGTCAGGAAGTTATGCCAGGATCTGTTACTGCCCACGCAAAGCAAATACATCTTTCATGCTGAGATTGTCTGCTCAGAGCTGACTTTCAAACCAGTGTGATTTAAAAAGCATGTGTTAAGGTTTGTGATACTTACTTGTGGTTCTTTTTGTTTAACCAGTCCTGCAGATGACTACCAAAAAATAATGATATAATAAATGTACTGACCTCTCCAGCTTCACGTAGTGAACCAATGGCAGAAGCTCAAATAGATGCACCTAATCCACTTCCTAGCATGTTCTTTAGCTTGTATTGTGTGTGTCTACTTGTCACATGTCTAACAATATTTTAAGCCAGTAATTTTTATGCCTCTTCCCTCAGTGAATACTTTACAAACAAGGTAGAAGAAAAAAAGAAAATTCAAAGGCAAGAAGAAGAAGAAGAAGAAGAAGAAGAAAAAGCAGAAGCCACTCTTGCCCTTCCTCCACGGACTCCATCCCCAGCAACACCACCTGGGAAAAAAAAATCAGCAAAACCAGGTTTTTGTTTATTTGATTTTAATGTTTTCTGCAATACAGATATTGATAAATGTCCTAAATAACTTTCTGATGTATTCTGTGGACATGGGATACTTCAGAACACATGACACACTGTCTCATGTTAAAAGGGTTTGGTTACTCTCTCCTGCCCTTTTTGATCACAACAGTTTCTGCAGCAAAATGAGGGAGGGAAAAATACAGTTTTCTCATCATTCACATGCATTGGTTGAACAGAGTTTCTGCCTTTGTTTTACAGTTGGCTTAGACAGGAGGTTATTACTCTTCAAAGTGAGGAATAGGAATGGAGGAGGATGCAAATGAAGAATAAAAATGAAAAGATAAGAAAAGAAAATAGAAATAGAATTAAGATAAGTTGAAAACAATTGAAAGAGGGAGGAAGGAAACTTTCCTTCTAACACTGAGAAAAGGAGGAAATACAGTGAAAAGCAAAAGAGAAAGAAGGAAGGGGATGAGATGGGAATGATGGGCAGTATGGAGTAAAAAGAAGTAAGAAAACAATCCTACTAAAGGAAAAAATGGTGTGAGACTAGAAAAAGAAGGTAAAAACACATGGCCAAAAAAAAAAAACCAACCCAAAGGAAGAAAGCACCATATGTTATCTCCATATATGCATTAAACTCAGAAAAAAAAGTCTTGTTACCATTTATTATAAGGGCAGAAAGTGTTGGCATATTATTATTTATCACCACTTGGGTTATAACTATCATATGCTATCAGTAAAACCTCCCAGTTCATATGTTAGATGTGTGCACAGTAAGTTCATCTTTGACCTGAAATGTAACTTCTGCAGTTGTCAGGTCCACCCACATGTTAGCCTGGTGTATATTACACTTTCAGTCAAGCTTCTGCTGATACATATATTACTTGTTTTCACTAATTATGACATGGACTGTCATATTATTATTAGACTCAGTGCCTGACTATTTGGAGCCAATGGTTATTAAGCTACTTCTTGTTACAGGAGACCACTAACAGATGGTGACTTCCAGCAGGTTCCTTCAGAAGGAACATCTATGTTGTGGTTTATGCCAGTTACAAAGTAGTGTAGGGTGAAGGGTCTCTGAAAAACTCTGCCCTGTGTCAGAGTTGCTCTGATGTCTGTGTGCAGCTCTTCATCCTCAATGTAAAAGGTATAGAATCTGTGCATAGTATGCAAAAGATGTATACTCTAATCTGTCAGTCACTGTCATGTCAGCATATCCAATTAAGGACCCACTAAGAACATTTTCTCCTAAAATGTCAGTTGTATGCTGTAGTATTTATATTTTATTGAAATCAGAATTTGTATGACACTCCTGTTAGGATCTAAAGGAAATAGTCAGGTTTACTTGGGAGTCAGCTTCACGTAGGTGCTCATTGTACATGTTCATGTAAGAACTGTAGCCAATAAAGAGGATGGTGAGAAGTGCTTTGTTTTAAGCATTTTTTGAAAAAGTTACTGTATCTGTAAGGGAAATAAATTCTTATGAAAATGTAATAAGACTATGGATGTGTAATATTTAAAAGATCTGTTTTCTCTTTGGAAATTCCAGCTGAAATAGGCCTAATTTTTGTTCACAGTCATCATTAGAAGAAATCAAGTATGCATACTCCCAATAGGTTATAATGTAGTCTTTCAGGTTGTTTATGCAAAAGCTGAGAATTGAAGGATTACAATAAAGAAGACTGAAAGCATGCTTTTGAAAGGAACCTGAAAAATTATATAATGTTATTGGATGTAAACATAGATAAATAAAAATACAGATTTCAGTGTCTGAAAGTTCTCCAAAAGAAACAGAATTGAAATAAATTTGAAACCAGAGCAAGGACAGACACTTTGCTTACTTGTAAGGTCATTCCATATAAAACAACTGACAAGATGAAGTTTTAAAAAAAAAAGTTATTATTTGTTAATACATTGAGTACACCCTGAAATGACAATATCGTATTTACTCATATAACTGTGATACAGAAGCATGTGTTTAAAAACAAGAAAATACTTAGCTGCTACTCTCTGTCTTGTAGGAAAGAAGTCATCAGTGGCAGAGAGACCCATCCCCCCTGCAGAACCTGCTGAGCCGGTGCTGTGTGGCAGCTTGGCCATTGGGGGAACATCCCTTGCCATAGCAAAGGCTGGGGCCACCATCAGCCACATCCCGCTGTACTCACATATTGCACTGCTGAAACATGAGCAGGTACATGTGGCTTTTGCCAGTTTGTTTCTTTTATCCCAGTTATCATAGTTGTTGTTGAATTCTGAAGCCAGCAGTGCCTCCTGACAGTGTCATTAAATTTATCTCATAGAATACACCCTTAACACCATTGCCTGTAGCAGTCTTTGAACCTCATGCCATAATTAAAATATATAAGAATTATTTTGATTTTTACATTTTTATTTTCACCCGGTACTCCCAATTACAGGAGTCACCTGAAGAAATGACTCTACCACTCCCAATGGTTACTCTGCTGAACTGTGAAAAAATGTCACCTTCAAAGCTGAAATTAGTGAAAGAAGTTATGCTTATACCACCAGTTCAGTTGTCACTCAAACAGGTACTGATTAATTTTTGTTTTTTTATAAATGTGTTCTACAGACACCATACTAACTATGTGTGTAAATAAATATATAGGTCTTTTCAATATAGTCCTTAGAAACTGTATTTTTTATTTTTTTGTTTGCTTGCAAGGCCGAAGTTTTAACAAATGCTAAATTTGTCAAATTTGCAGAATTCTAACACCAATAATATTAAATCAAGCAATAAGATGAAGATTTAAAACAAAAACCAGAAATATTTCAAGTTAAAAATGTATGTATCAGTTGATTGATATAGCGTACAAAACAACAAAACTCAACAAATTCACAGGAGAGCATAAAATGTGTGGAAATAAGTTGCTTTAAAATGAAATTGTGAAGATAGAAGGGAGTACAAAGAGCAAGAAGGATGGGTGAGACAGATGGATCAACCATCTCTTTTTGTTTAGCCATGTGTTGTATTAAAGAATATATCGGCACGAGATGCTTCATTAGGGCTGTGATTTCTGCTTTGCACGCTGGTGACCTGAACAAATAGCTGAGCTCGATTCTCTTTCCTTTTGCTTTTCCTTTAACTTTTTCGAATTGTCACCAAGAGCTGTTAATAAGGTTGCTAATTCTGTGCCATTCAAAGCCAGAATGCCTCCTAGCGCTCATGGGAGGGTAACAAGCTGTTTGCTGCCGTTCAAAACAGCCTGTTCCTCCCGTGTTGATGTGTTGTCAGCTGTGACTGACTTCTGCCCCCTTCAGTATTCCTTTACTGGCACAGTTTGAGGAAATCTCAGCTGTGATTTACCAAGTTTTACTAGTTTTACTGAATTTTACTAACTCAGCTGAAAAAGAAAACGAGTCTTGCATTAAAAGCAATGGATTCATTTAACTGGAGTGTTCCCCACTGTTTAAAATTAAGAAAATGATTTTTTTCGTGCTTCCTGGAAATATTCTGAAGTAAATGCATTCAATCTTCTCAGAGTTTCCAGTTAGGAAGTCTTAGAGTCACAATTGTGAACAGGGATTATTATCTTCTCACTTCTCAGATATTATGCAGACCTGGATGCTGTTTACTTGCTAGATTTGGGAAGGGCTACATTTGGGGAAGAGACTGCTTTTCTTGCTGTCCCATTCAGCAGCATGATCAAATATTCCTGTTCATTCCACTGCTACTAACCCTTTATGGCTGGGCACTTGGCTGCATTTTGTGAGTGGAGAGACTGTGTTAAGGAGTCTGTAATAGTTGTGGTTTTTTTTTTTAAGACTTTATATTAAGATTTGTATTTAGAATAAGTGTTTTCTGATTTAAGCTGCTAAAATGAAATAATATAACTTTATTTTGAAGATTATTGTTGTTTAATTTCAGGGCATAGAAAGAGTTCTGGATATTCAGAAGGAAATGACAAGACTGTTGGAGTCTCCAGGCAAAATGGTATAATAAAAATGTGTACTAATAAAGTGATATACTTCATTTGATCTGCTACTACTGTCTTTTTAAACATAAACATGGAACACTTAGCTTTTATATGTCATGACACAGAACAGAAGATGTGTTTCTCTGGCAGATGAGTAAAACATTGGCCATTTGGTGATACTACATTAGAAAATATAGAATAAAACATTGTTCTAAGCATAGTAAGACTTTCTGTTTACCTGAAGAAATATACTGGAAGTGAATCATATTGGAATGAATGTACAATATATATAGTTCTGATCTTGCTATGCCTCTCACACACAACATGTTTTATTCAAGGTACTATTACTGTGGCAGTATATCAGTCTTGGTGTGTGCATATGCTTTTTGGAAAGCAAGGTTGTTGGGTTTCTCCAAGTACAGTCTAGATTCTCATTTCTGAGATTCCCTGTATTTTTGATGGGCTGGGTGAGAATGTTTTGAAAAACAAATGATGGTTGGACTGATGCTCACGTAGAAATAAACATTTGAAATGAGTCACCAGCACAAAATAAAACTGGATAGTTGCTGATAGTATTTAAGACTAAATAGGAGTTATTTCCTAGCTTAAATATTTGTAATCTCTTTAGACCGAAATTCAGTCAATCTTTCTTTTTTTTCTTTCCTTTTTTTCCTGAGGTCTTTCTGTCATCTTTGTATTTTTCCATGGAATTGATTTCTTTCTTCTTTCACCCTCAACAGCCTGGTCCTCAACCAGCAGACGGTAAAAAAGGAAGAGCACAAAATTCAGGGAAGAAAAGTCTGGTAAGAAATGAGATTTTCATTTTAAGCCTTCAACAAGGTATTAACAACAGCAGAGAACCAAAATATTCTTAAGAAATGAAGCATTAATCTACATCACCATTTTGGAAAGGTCAAGGCAAGACCTAAATATTCCAAATGCTCATATCTTACATAATAATTTAGATCCTTCTGACTATACCTTCCCTTCCTGTGGAACAATAGCGGAAATAGGGGACATTTTTCTGGGGTCTGGTAATTTTTCTTATATAGAAATCCTGGTAAATTATCCAAATGAGCATTTTGCAAGCCCATAGCACCAGCAGAGAAACATGCCCTTTTGATTATGTAGGCCATAAAACTACTACCTGTAAGACCTGCATATTGTGCTGTTTCCTAACCCTGGGAGAATAACTCCCCTCTTAATTGTGCTGCATCCAGTTCCCAGTTCCAGTATGAGGTTACAGATAATGGCAGATACAAACCAATAGCTGAAGGGCAACACTCACAACAGAACACAGAACATTATTTTATATGACTCAAATGATCTTTTTTTATCACTTCAAAACCTGTGGTTTACAGATGAGTTTTCCAAATTGTGGGATGGAAATGCCATGCAGGTTTTCTCTCCAATCTGAGATTATTAAAATATTATCAAGTGAGAATTGTCACTGTTGTGGAGTATACAAAAGAAAGGATGAACAAAAGTTTTTCTATTTTATTCTTGCTTACACAACACAAAATTCTTCATCATTAAGCTGCTGGCCTTAGTTAGAATAATTCCATAAGATATACATAAGGAAAAAATGCATTAGATTCTCTGGAAAAAAATCCATTTATTTCAACAAAGGAATACTAAAGGAGGTAGTAATTAAACTGAAGTTTAAACTGATAAAAGCGCAAGGTTAGTTTTAACTTCTGTGGGGAGAAAAAAAAGGAAAAATGACAAAGTAGGCAGTGAACAAGAACTTATTTAGGTTATAGAAGTAAATGCTAGAGAAAAATGTTTTTATAAAGAGAAACAATGCTCTTAGTGGAATGTAACAAGACACAACGTATGGATACCTTGAAAATCACCTGGAACTGCAGACTCAACCTCTATCTGAGGTTAATTGCAGGAAGCCTGCAGCCTTTCTGGCTGTCTGTTGCTGCAGCTTTGTGCTCCACAAGCAACAAGTCAGATTGTCTTGTATGTTGCTACAAAATAATCTCATAACAATTTGACCTTCATTTTCTTTCCAATTTTTATGTGAAGAAACATTCATATGTCCTCTATAGCTAAGTACCTGTTCTGTCTGTAGTTAATTCTCTAGCTCTTGTCAAAACTGATGCCTTCCAGTTGATCTCTCCAGTCTAACCCAGGATTATATCCTGCTGCTTTCTAGGCAGCTTAATGTCATTCTTTATAATCCAGAATTCACAGACTTTAAAGTTAAAAATCAGTGTTTTAAAAACCTACAAAAACCCCTGACAACAGAAGAACATGTGAAATATTTGCTCAATACAACTCGGCTTGTGACACATTTCCAGGAATACTGTCCCTGAAGTATAACTGCATGTAGCTGGGCTAGAGGTATTTCCCCTCTCTCAAGTTTGTTCCTTGTGACAATTCAGTAGTTGTTAAGAGTGCCTTTAAAATCTTCTTGTAAACCAGTACTGGACATACAGGACGAAGAACTACATGATGAGACACGTTTCCAAGGACTGTTAGCTCTCTACTCATTAGCAACTGATTATCCCTCTTTCCTAGAGAATTGTCCTTATGGCTGCCAATGCAATTTTTGAGATTTATAATTTGAAGATTAAATGCAGACTGAAATGATAGTGAGCATATATATTATATATATGTTTGTAAATGAAGTGATTCTTTTTTGTTTTGTTTTCAGCCACAGTTCTTAAAAAGAATATCACACTTAGGTTGCCTAACAACAGGATATGATGATGTAGAACAACTGCTACTCGTTATGCAAACAGCTTGCAGGAACATAGGTCTGGAGCTAGGAACAGATGTGTACTTAGCAATAAATTGTGCTGCTCATGAATTAATGGATTATGTAAGTTATTTCTCAATATCTATTTTCTTGGGTTTCAAAAGGAACATAGCTGTTTGTTAACGTTATTTATTATTGCATTGCAAACTCACCTAGAAGCTTCTAGCTCCATTTTTAAGGTAGCAATCAAGCAAATGAAAAGAATTACCTCTGCATTTATAAATGATGGTTGAATCAGTCCTACAAGTGTGGCAGATATGTCGTTGGATTGGGAGTGCAAGGGGATGGGACATGCAGCCTGACACAGCAGGAGCAGTGAGAACATGTGTGTTCCTCCTTCCCAGTACCAACATCCTGGTGGTACTTTGTGAGAATAAGGCTCACTGGGCCAAGGCAGACCCCTCTTACAGCTCATGTCCTTCTACAGGAGTCTCTGGTACCTCCATGGCTTCACTTGAATCATTCAAATGGTATAAGCCTGCCTGTATCAGCCAGGTTTATTCCTTTTCTCTATTTATTTAACACAATTTTTCAGATCACTTTGTATCAAATATAGCAAACTGCTTTAATGGGTAAACACCTCCTGCATGCTCTGTCTAACAAACCAGCTTCATTTCACATTACACCTCAGCCAATTTGGAATTAAAGTATAAAGCAGCAAATCCTGGTTTGGTTGCTTGGTTGTTTTTTTTTTTTAATTTCACCACGAGGTATAAATTAAATAATTATATTCTATCGACCTTTATTTTAAAGATGAAGAACAAGAAATTATTTACACAACTATACTTCTGTAATTCCTTAACACCACTAGATGCTCATTTTTCCATTATATTACACTACATCTGTTGTTTTCTTCAAACTACCCTGACATATCCATTTATTTTTTCTATGGTAAGTTTGTACACACATTAATGTTCATCTCGTTGTGCCTCAACATTCATTTTTTAATTTTTCATTTTTTAATATTTTTGACACAATTTATTTATCTCCAGATGAAGTCTTACAGTTCTTGCCCCTTGTTCCAAGATCAATCAGGTTTTTTTTTTCTAAGCAGAAAAAAAAGAAACTTCCTATTCCATTTAATAGCTTATGAGATTTTGTGTATTTGGGTGTTCTATAGTGCCAAAGATTCCATAGCCAATATCTTTCTTGAAAGCAGTTGCTCTCCTGACTGTGATGTCTGTAGCTTATAACAGTGTACAAAATCTTTACCCTTGAATTATCAGTAATTCTGTAACTTTCTGTTACTGAACTGTTAAAGTCACTAAAGCAGTGGGTATCGTGGCACAGTTTGACAGTTTGCCTTTAATACTCCTCCTAGGCTGCAGTTTGTGATTCCCAGAATGATGAGACTGGTTTTAAACTTGTCTTTTTTTTTTGAAAGGGGAAAGAGACAAGGAAAGGCAGTATCTTGGTTTTGAGCACTGAGGGTGAACTCATTTCCCCAACAATATTTTCTTTATGAAAATAAGGACAAAAAAAAAAAAAAAGACCTTTTTTGCAAGTGAAAAATGAGATTTTTTGCAAGCGAGATTCAGTGAAAAAGTCAAATATTGCTGGCTTTATGATATTGTAGTGTAAAACTGGCAGTGTTGCCTACACAATGCTGAAAAAGGTCCCTCTGGTTTTGGCAGTGACATCGTTCAGAGACTTTGGCATGAGCCCACTGGAACCCACTGTCATTTTAAGCAGTTTTCTATAACAATGTGCTAACAACTTAGACACAGAGTGAAGCAGAGGAGTAAATGCCTCCTGACTGAAGAACACACATATCTTAATAAATGTAAGCATACACAAGATGTGTATGCTTACATTAGTACTCTGGTTTTTAAGCTCTTACCTTCCTTATCTTTTATGCTTTTTACTTTACTTTCTAGGACAAAGGAAAATATGAAATACTGACTGGAACTTTTAAAAGCCCTGATGAAATGGTTGCTATGTATGGAGAACTGATTGATAAATTTCCTTTTATTATTGCATTAATAGATCCCTTAAGAAAAGAGGTAAGATACCACAGTGCAGCCTGTGAAAAACTGGTAATACTGTTCAGTGGCACATCACTGATCTTTTCTCATTTTTGCAAAATATGCAGAATACAAGGCTTTTGGTTTCTTGAGTCTTTAAGCACAAAATATCACTATAAAAATGCATCTAACAATTCATTTGCATGTCTTTTATTGACAATAACTCTACATTCTTCTATACTTTTGACTTAATTCTCGATGCAAAATAATCCTGACCTGAACAGAATACAGTCAGTAGAAATATTTTAAAAAATTATAAAAAATTGCTTTTTTGTGTGATTCTACTTGTTAAACCACTATTATTTGGATTATGTTTTCCTTTTTATGCAAACAATTGAGATTATAAAACTATAAAATTCAACTGTAATATAATATTTTATTATATTAAATTAGAGAAGCAAAAGTTTGGATGTGGTTGTATATTCCTTAGAATCACCAAAAAAAAAATACTGATGCAGTTCTTTCTGATGGAAATTTATAACCAAAGACAATGCTGTCACTGGCAGCATTGCTTAGCAGAATTTTTAAAGTGGTAGTAAGATACCATGTAATTACCTCTGTGATCAAAGTTAGAGGAATTAATTAGTCTGGCCAACCGACTACAACAATAAAATGAAATACTATTAAGCATGATATCAAGTTATGGATGGATGAAAGAGACAGATTGCATAACCTTAGATATTTACAATTTATACATAAGATTAAGTCATGTATTGCAAAAAAGATAAAAACTTTGTTGCAGAACCTACAGTTGTAGACCTAGATTCTGCAGCTGCAAAACTTAATAAAAATTTTGTTCATTTTCATGACCAAAACACAAAGACTGTGATTGAAGGGAGAAGCAAAGTGATGTTGGTTTTGTGAATCTGTTTAGTGCTTGACTCAATAACTCTAAAATGGATGAACTGCAAAATCCATCTGATTCTGTGCTTAACTAGAATGTTAAAAGTTCATTTTTCAAATATCTGCATTTACTCTTACCTTTCTCTAGTTAGCCTTGCCTCCCTGTGTTGTTTCAGTCTGACTCTCTGAATTATCATGTTCCAAAGCATCAGATTATTCCCCACTCCTGCTGGGGCTGCAAACTTCCTTGAGAAACCTTATGAAGAAACATATTTGCAGTATGAGAGTCTGCAGGAGAATTACAGTTGGTGCAGTACAGTTGGAATCAGAGAACCATGAAGGAAAATGCCTCTGCTCCTCTGCTTCTCCTCCTCCTAGCAAGTCTGCAGAGTTTCCCTGTGCCACGTGTTTGCCATGGATCTGTAGGTCCTTGATGATTAGCTCTGATACCAATTCAATAATTCATTGGCAGACACGAGACCACTTTAGTGCTTAAGTTTAAACATTTGTTCAGGTGTCCAAAACTTCATTTTCACATACATACAGGCTTGAAATCTGTGCAGGAATGGACTCTGATATAGATTGCAACTAGATGGGTACAAAAGTCTGTCTGATACACAGACCAAGAATTACTACTGGCAGAATTATGAAGTAGAAAAATAATATTTTCAACTTTGCATTCTGTGGTCACAAAGCAATCAAATCATAATTTTCTTCTTTCTCATTTTTAAAATATCCCTGTCCTTTATTTATCCTGTACCATGTACCATGTGGACAGTGCATTAAAATCAAGAAACAAAGACCCTAAAAAATGGAGCTTTGCTGGAAAGAGAGCGTTGTATTCTGCTGTTCCCTATGTGTCAGTCTTACAGCTCTGATCATCCTGTCCTGATACAAGTCATTGAGTCTATGACTGTCTCCTGTTGCATTATTTTACATTCAAATAACTATGACACTTCAAATATTAACACATCTGAATAAAACAATAGAAAATTATTTCATAGTCCATTAAAATTAAATAAATTTCAGGAAGGAAATCAAAATAGCAATCCCCCAGAGTTAATTTAATTTGAAATATTTTAAACTATATTTTATGCAAATAGTGTTGATTAATTCCAGATTAACATATATGTTTTCTAACAAAATCTTAAAATCCAGGGAAAATCCCAGTGGTATGTTTTTCTTAGGTAGACAGATTTAAAATATAGTATAAAATATAATATTTTTATATGAAGGATATCTTTAGGATTGAACCCAAATTTATTTAATTTTTTGAAATTATTTTTACCTCCTGAGAGTTTTCATTCAGTTTAGTTTTTTAAACTCTAGTTATTTACTTGATTTGTTTTATACAGGACAGAGAACAATGGAGTAACATATGTTGTGCCCTTGGTTCCAAATGTTACCTGATTGCTGAAGATGCTGCCACATGTATTTCCAAACTTAAAACTGACCAAACCATAAACACACCAGTGTGCAGTGGTGTTGTCCTGAAATATGTTAACGAAACCAAGGTATCAGACCTCATAGAACTTACTGGAATTCTCGATGGTGAGTAGAGGGGGGAAAGGCTGCCTTTCAAACCCTACAAGCTACACCTGTAAAGATTACATTTCTTTTTTTAATTATAGCCACTTCTAATTTAGAAAGCATTTGTCAGAAGAAACTGAAATTCATGTTTTGATTCACAGATGTCTGTCCAGGGGCTTAAAACCGCATTCAAGGCTTCAACTATAGTCAGTTAATACATTGTGGATATTCTGAATGTGGGTGCCCTTTGACACTGCAGCTAAGTTTTACACAGTTAGATATCAGAATTAAAGAAAATAAAAAAGATGTGGTCAATTAATCTGAATTTTGACTATTACTAGTATTTTTAATTAAAAAATCCAAACAAGTCCAAAATGTTTAAAATTGTGGTTTATGCAGATTACTGACTACAAATTATTGAGCCTTCATGGTAACAGTACTAAGAACTTGTGCAGTTTCCTATGTAAGATTTTAATTTGTATCACTTTTTCTTTACTCATTTTTATACCCAAGGGATAGATGAACAAATTTAATACATCTAAGCTCTTTCCTTATTCCTTAAAAACACCCGGAATCACTATATCAAAGAGAGTAAATAGCAACTAAAAGATTTCATTCAGTCAGGATTGTAAATTCTTTTTTACAGTGAAGAAAAATCATTACTATGTTGAGGAGTACATTTAAAATAAATAGAACAGCCTTCTAGCCTGATCAGACAGATCGGTGAGACAGAAACTAGGAGAGGATATTCCCTTCTCCATGCTGAAAATAAAGCACAATGTTAATGGAGCAAACTTATATCGCTTACATTTTTATGAAATGGGTTTCACTGGTTTACTCCTGCCTGTATTTAAGCTAAGATAACCCAAGGGTAAAAAATGAATGAGAAGTCCAAACAGTTTCTGTGCTGAATATATAAAATATACGCTAATGGAAGTTTTCGCTCCCGTTATATATAGGTCAGAGACATATTACCATATTAGGAAGCCCAGATGGAGAATCTTCTGATGACAGCCTCGTGGATCTGGTAGGTATTGAAAGCTCTTCAATTGCAGAATTGCCAAAATACTGCTTTTAACATGTACAATTTTTTAAGGAGAAAGCCTTTTTGTGCTTCAGAAAGAAACAATGTTTTACAAAATGGGCTTTTTCTAGAGAGTTGGGTTTTTTCCTCACAGAGAGTTATTGAGTTTAAAGAGAACGCGCAGGAAATTTGCCAAGACGGGGAGTATATTCAAGAGTGTGTATGATCTGTTTGGTTGCATTAGTTAATAAAAAATTGTGAGTTACTTAAAACATTCCTGTGTAGTAATAATATTTTTAGCAAAAATTCTTAACACTATTATATTTAGTCTTTTTGTACTAAAGCTACATTTGCAAATAAAATTTCATTTCATATGCCAGTGAAAATTATTGTTTGCACCCGGCAAATCTTTAATTAAGAGATTTTATTTCTACTTATTGCGGGGTTTTTCTCTGTAGAAAGATGAGGGTGTTAAATTAGAAGTAGGATACCATGTTTAATAATTAAAAAATGACTTCACTTCCCAAACTGTGGGGTTTTAAAATGCACACTTTCTCATTTCAGGCCGTTGGACTGGGTGCCAGGTTTATCAAGTTGGGAGGTCTTTCCCGCGGAGAAAGGGTGACCAAATACAACCGCCTTCTGGCTATAGAGGAAGAACTGGCCAAGAATAGAAATCTACGTATGAGCTTCTTTCTTACTTTGTTTTCAGCCTGCAATGAATACGGGAACAAAGATTGGAGGGAGAATGATTGAAACTGCACCACAGGAGGGAAGTGAAATCAAAAGCCTATAAATAAGGGCTGACAAAAAAAACCTAGGATAGCACTTGCCACAATGTATATTGTTGTCCTAATGGATTATCTGTTTACTGAATGTTAAAATAGACCCCTTCTTGAGGAGTAGCCTACATTAGGCTTTTTTTGCAGAATTAATTGGTTGAAATCTTGAAGCCCACAGTGCAAAAGGAACAAAACAAAACCCATGCATATAACATGTAGAAAAGCTGCCAAAATGGAATTTTAGGCCAAATACCCCACCTCCCTCAAGCCCCTAAACATATATTGCTAACAAAACTTCGTTTCACAACTCTCTTTTGTATGTTACATTTCCAGCAAAACGTGTTTGGAAAACTACAATTGCATGGGTAAGCCCTAAATAAAACCCCAAAAAACCCGAAGTTGACGATGCACATTCAGCCTTAGCCACTTGTATGCATCTGCCTGCCTGCATTTCAGGGTCTGCATCTTCTTTTTACACTGTACCACGGCACTGTTAAATGCTTAACAGTTCATTAGAGCCACTTCTCACTTGCTCAGGTATCAATCAAGCTAGAATAAAGAAATGCAGTCTGAAGGGGAGGCAGAGACACAAGGAGAGGAAGAAAGGAAGGATAGGGTTTGCAAGAATTTTATTAAGCCCAAGAAAAAGAAACATGAAGGAGAACGAAGTCATTTTACTCTCCTGCTTCTAGTAATTTTCAGTGCTCTATACAAAGGGTAGCAGCACTTGACATGCACACTACAGAACAAAGGTTTCAGTTGAAAGTTTTTAATTGAAAATATTTTGAGGTTTTTGAAATCTCTCCCTTGCTCATAAATAATCATTGTGAAAAATAGAAACATAGACAGGAATTTTTTTTTTTGCTAAGGAAGTATTTGCACAGAATGCACTTTTCTAAGTACAGAACTATGAATTTTAACTGCCTCAGCAATATTAATATATTCCCTACTGTTGTCAAGTGGTATAGTCTAAGCAAAGGAGCTCGAGTCTGACAAATATTTAGACCTATAGCTCATGAATTAAAATAGCAACAATCCCCAACAGCGTTAATGGTTTGGCAGAACCAAAACCCGGTAGGTAAATCCCCAGCAGGGTAGTGGTGCGGTAGCGCGTTTGAGCCGCCCCCCGAGCTCTCCTTTGGCGGGGCTGCGGGCCGGGAACGCTGCAGAGTGTGCGGGACAGCTCCCAGGGCTCGTCCTGAGAGGTCACACCGACCCGCCGGGAGTCCCTCGGGAGTGCGGGGAGGCTGCAGTGCCCTGGAGCACCCACTGCAGCTCTCCCGCTGCCTTCCCTGCCCTGCAGTCCCGGGGGTGTGCAGAGCTCAGCCATGATGGGCCACCACCCTCACCTGGATGGGTGTGCAGAGCTCAGCGATGATGGGCCACCACCCTCACACCTGGATGGGTGTGCAGAGCTCAGCGATGATGGGCCACCACCCTCACACCTGGATGGGTGTGCAGAGCTCAGCGATGATGGGCCACCACCCTCACACCTGGATGGGTGTGCAGAGCTCAGCGATGATGGGCCACCACCCTCACACCTGGATGGGTGTGCAGAGCTCAGCGATGATGGGCCACCACCCTCACCTGGATGGGTGTGCAGAGCTCAGCGATGATGAGCCACCACCCTCACCTGGATGGGTGTGCAGAGCTCAGCGATGATGAGCCACCACCCTCACCTGGATGGGTGTGCGAGCTGCTGGATCACAGACCTGCCTTCCCTTCCCTGCAGTCGCACAGAGGGAGGGGGGTCATTGTGCCTGTGGCCGAACAGCGAGTGGGGCGGTGAGGTTCGGAAGCAGAACAGAACTGGGAAAACAGCGGTTAGCGGCAGTGACTGTGAACTGTAGTCACGGGGTCAGCATCGGGACATGGGCTTACATAAGATTGTTAAAGGCTGGGGTAGAGAAGGGCAGAGTGAGCTGGGGGGAACTTTGGCACGAGCACCAGTGCAGAGGAGGATGGATGTTCAAAAAATAGGGCGGCAAGGTGAGGAATCCATGAAGGAAGGAATGCAATAAATATCCCAGCTCAGGCTGCTGTGCACCATGCCCTGATCCTGTAAGCAAAGTGCAGGAGTGGTGCTCCTTTCTTTCTAAGGACCAGACTTATTAAACCTGTTTAAACTCCTGTAAGCATCATGTGGCATCTTAAAAACATCTGTGCACACCAGAGAATGTAACAAGAAACCAGATTACACCAAACACAAGTTTCTTTTTTCTCTTCTGTTTCAGGTGAAACAAAACTTGAATTTGTTGCTTTCGCTGAAGAATCACAGCCAGAAAATCAACTTTCTGATGAACTTCCTCCCCCAGAGCAGGATTAGTTGCCTCCGCAGCTCTTGCAGGTTCACAGCCTGCCTGCTCAGCTCCCAGAGAACAGCACACTGACCCCAGCTGTCAACATGAGCTTTAGGATAAATTTCTAAGAAAAAATATTCTAGTCAGAAACTCATATAACTATTCCTTAATCCATTTATTTTCATTCTAGTATGAAATTCATATATTAACTTTTCTTTAATCCATTTATTTTCAAGCACTTTAGCCAAACATTTCTAAAAGCTTTCAAATAGTGGCCTCTCTTTTCCCAGGGACCATTGCCTTCAGCTGAAACCAAGTTAACTGAGCAGTGACTATAGTTTGAAAACACCACACAATTCTGTGCTGCGTTTACAAATTGACCAAACAAACTGTGCTGTGTTAAGTCCAAAGCTAAATGTTTGTTTTGGGGAAGTGGAAATGTCTCTCTATACAAAGAGCAAGCTGTTGACAAACAGTAAAAAAAAACCTCACCACATTTTACAAAAAACAAAGGCCTTGACTGTTGTGCTGCTCCATCCCCCCACACCCTCAATGCTGCTGTTAGACTCCAGCTGGAGCATCAACACTAGTGCATCACTGCAAGCCCCAAATGTAGGGCACGAAGCTGGAACTGGCATCACTCGGAAGAAGGGAGTAACAAGTCAATTCCACAAGGTCTGGGAAACTTGTCAGGAGTCTTTTTAATAAGCAACAATGAAAAGTTAAAGAAATAATTTATGCCCTAGGTAACAAAACAGTTTAAGAAAAAGAAATACTTCTTGAAAAAACTTCTGGTTTTTGTATAATGTGAAAATTTGAACATATAATACAGCAGCAATAATTTGAGGAAAAACACATATATGAAATGTTGCATTTTAAATTCACTGTAACAGATAACTGACAAATTAACAACCAGAACCAACGGCCCCCAAGAAATGAAAACATCAATGAGAGACAGATTTCCCCAAGTTTATGAACTGTATGTAGTTCAGTACTTAGATCAAGTCCAAGATTTTCTTAGCAAACATGCAAAACCCACCGAAATAGATGTGAAACCACCACACTCATTACTATCATTTTATTTTTAGGAAAAGCACCAGACAGTTGCATGCAGAGCCAAACCAACAAACTCAGAACATTCATCCTTCAATACTATCACTGTTTCAAATAATTAAATAAAAAAAGAATCCAAGTGCATTCAAGTACGTGACCACCCAATTCCAGTTACACCAATCTTTAGGTAAATCCCTGATTACATTTGTTCATTCATTATAAAAGAATGAGATACTGTGTTGAATTTAAAAAGAGACTACAGTGGAATGTGAACTGGCAGTGGAGCAAATCGGTCATGTTCCTATCTCACTGTCTTCAAAGGAAATAAGGGCTGAGGGAAACTGGGATTTCTGTTATCAAATACAGATATCTCGAGTGTCACCTAATAAATTATTGCCATCAGTGTGTGCCAGGTTCAAAGCAGGGGCTAATTTGTTAGCACTGTGAGCTTTCAACTGAGAGTTCTCAAAATGTTGATTCCAAATATTACGACTGAATCCCAAATGTAGCCCGTGCCAGCCATAGCCTAGGGCAAGTTATTTTTTTGCAGCAAATACAGACTCCAGTTGCAGCAGTTCCAAAATTTGCCATATAACATTGAAACAAAAAGCAGGAAGAAGTCCTCCTTTGCAAAGCTTTTAATCCAAATGAGAGCACCAGTCTCAGCCCACAAACCTCTGACTCTGGCTATTGTTGCCAAAAATCTTGGTCCCACAATGAGATGCTGCACTGCCTCTGCTTTTAGGTTTCTGGGCAACCTGAAACAGGAGGGTTGTGCTTGTGCTTTTCACTTCCTCAAAGGAATGTGTGGAGGAGACCAGCAGGATCTTGGTTTAAGTAGATATCAAATATTTTTAAAGCAATGTGTCTAAACACATTGGTTTGTTTTTTCTAATAATTAGTAACACCCCCCCTAATGAAGCTGATGAGGGTGTAATCACCTTCACAGGGTCTAACCCAAAGCTGTCCAGTTCAAGAGGGATGCAAGGGGCTTCTGGCAACCTTTAACAAGGCATCTTCTCAATAAAAGAATTTAAAAAGCCTTTTCAAATACAGTTTAAAAGTAAAGGTAACTGACACTATCTAGGAAATTAATAACCTTCTCTGCAAAATTAAAATGGGAAAGGGATTTTGAGTGACACACAGTTATTTAACACTTCAGTGCATGTAACAAAACTGCATACAAAAAGACCATTTCAATCTGTATTATTGAAAACTGTCTGGAGTACAGGCTGTAGCCCCGAGTAACACACCTAAGCAATTCACATGTCCAGATAATGACTCCCAAAAGTTACAGCCTTTCAGAACAACAATTAACAGTTAGAACTATCTGTTTCTTTTGTTTTCTCAACATTATTTTCTTTATGTGTTGGCTTGCTTTTTTCTTCCTTAATTTCATTCTGGTTCAGCGTGTTTTCAGACATCTGATCCCCACTGGTGGACACAGGATCTAAAACTACAACGGATTTGGTGTCTTTTTCACTGCTAGAAGCTTTTCTTGTAAATTCTGTATGACTAGTTGATCTAAAGGAAAAAAGAATAAACATATTAATACAGATGACAGTTCACATATTCAGGAGGAAGACTATAAATATACAGAAAAGCATTTCTATTAATAGCATATATGACCAGGACAGGTCTACCAAGCTAGTAAATAGATTTACAGATACAGCAGCTGTTATGTACAGATAGTAGTGCAAAAAATGCAACAGTCACTTTACCCCCCAGGAATCATTTGTTAAGCTGGGCATGGAAGATGAAAAATGAACTCACAAGGCAGTGAAAAAATCCTTAGACTATGAAAGTATTGGTTTAAAGACAGCCATAAGAATTTATTTTCTCTCTGCTCATCTCAGAGGTTCCCCCATGTCCAAAAGAGCAGCTGCACTTGGAGAAAATGCCACCAGCTCCTGCAGTGTGTGTGCTGACAGTCCTGCAGCCTGGAAGGAGCACACGGTTCCTCCACACCTGGATCCCAGAGCCACCTGCCCGGGGCTGTCCCTGTGCTGCACTCCACTGCAGGACTGGGAAGTGTAACCAGGTGTTCCCTGTGACTGCCACTGGTCTCACTGGGAGCAAGTGCAAGTGATTTCTGGAAATTCATCCGCTGGGTTTGCTGAACTATTGAGGGCGTTAGACTTCCACTCTGTGCTGCAGAGCTGGGGTTACACCCCGACTGCCTGGGGGCAGGGATTTGTGTGGATAAAGAGCCCTCCGAGCAGGCAGGAAGGAAAGGGCAGAGACACACGGGTTATTTGTCCAGGCTGGCATCGTGCTATAAACACTAAAAGCACTTGTCTATATTCAAAGGCGTCATACCAGTGTTGAAAACATGCAGGCAAATCCTCAGATTAGCTGGAATGCACCAGCAGAGAATATGGCAAACACTGGGAACGCTCGACCCGAACAAGTGGCAGATTGGGGTGTTTCCCAATGCCATCCTAACCCTGCTGGGTGGGCAGACAGGTTGGACCTCCCTCACTGAGCCCTCCAGAGCCTGCCAGCCCATGTGCCCGAGGTCACGGAGCCGGGCAGGCTCAGGGAAGGCAGTCACACACACGGGTACTCGGCACAGTGGAATGGACCCACTGCAGGCACCCACACTCACACAGCCACGAGCACCACACTGGGCAGGGGTAAAATCCTTCCTGCTGGAAGGTCCTACACACACTGCTGGGTGTGCAGCTCCACTCCCCTGGGAAGCCTGACTGTGGAGCTGCTGCACACAACTGCACTGGCTAGTCAAGAGCCTCTATTTTCCCCTTTTTCTGGTAAGATAACACCCTAGAAACGAAAAAGCAGAATCGACTGGAGGCCAGAAAAAGAAATTCGGCTACTGGATCCATCTGCTATGAACTGCCCTTTATTGTGACGGTCTTTGTCCTAGAGAAAATGACAAAGAAGAAAAGAGGTCACCCCACCAACAATTAGAGCACGGGGTGGGGAATGGACTGGCTCCCACCTGACAGGGAGAGAGTAAATGAACAGGTTAAAAACAAATAAATAATCATAGAAACAACAGCTGCTGCACTTTCCATTTCAGAAAGAATTTACTCAGCTTGCTACTGCAGCGCTGGATACAGCAAATGAAATTCCACGTTCAAGCTTTAATTACAAGAATTGTCTCTAACATCAGAACTTTGGTATAAGTTAATTAATGCAGAAATTGGCACTAATAGATACAGTTTCAGACTCATTTGATTATCATCAGAAGCTAGTGACTTCATAAAGAAAATAATGCTGACTTTATGCAGAAGTTGCCAATCATTCCGAAAAATACAAGGTGGGGTATTTTGAATGTTACAGCAAATTAAACTTTTTAAAGCAGTGTAACCAGAAAAGGGTTATTTTAAAAAGTGCTACTTTTGAAAAGCTGATTGCCCAACACTATAAAAATGGTCAAGCCATAAATGCCAAGTTCATTTTTATTTCACTTTGGAGGTAACTATCTTTCAAACCCAACAGCTGGACTATTTAATACAATCTGGTGAATCAAAGTATAATTCTTCACTGGGCTCACAGTGGGGAGTCTGCATTAGTGTATGGCAGCATTCCAACAACTGATGCACAGCCAAATGCTCTGAAGTCTGTTTCATTTATAACAAAAATGGATAAAATGGCAATCATATTTACCACCTTCAAAGACAGAAAAATGAAAGATGTCGATATAAAGTAGTTTAATGGAGGAAACTGGTGATTAAATCAGCGTTTCAAGCATAAAAATAAGAATTACTATCCAGCTTCCTTGTACTAGTACTCCCTTCTTCAAATCCTTTACACTGGTGCAGCACCAGTCTGACAGTGCTGCTGTTACAGCTGAGGCACTGTTAAAAATTATTAACCTTATTTATCAGGTATTCACAGCTCACTTTCAACAGTTTGTCAAGAGCAGAACGTTTCAGTGCAAGAATGAACATAATTTTGGTGCTCCCTTTCAAAAAACAGTTTTTACTGCTACGAATAAAGCTGGGAAAAGCAGACGGAGTTTGCCACAGTTCTGAACAATTACAAATTTGTTTAGCCAAGGTATTTGCATTTAGTTCTATTCAAAGCTCTTCCCTCATTAAAACTGTTAATGCTGTTATCAGTATTCTTGTTATTTGCCCAACTATATATTTAAGCTAGAAATTGAGAACCTAGTTCTATTTGTACTCATTCACACACAGTTGTGCATATATTTTTATGACTAAACACATAAAATCTGTACTGGAAAATTCAGATTTAGATGATAAATACACTTTAGATTAATTGTATGGGATATGCAAAGTCCCATGCAGTACTGAGGACTGCCTGTGTGTAGTGGGTTGACCCTGGCCAGACACCAGGTACCCACTAAAGCTGCTCTCTCACCCCCCTCTGCAACTGGACAGAGGAGAGAGAAAAAAAAACAGCTAAGGATTCATGAGTAGAGATAAGAGCTGGGAGAGGTCAGTGACTGATTCCCTTCACAGGCAAAACAGACTCAAAGTGGGGATAGTACTTACATTTATTACTAACAGGATATGAGCCAAAGGGTGAGTTAATTTTATCTGCAGTTCAGAACTTTCATTAAGAATAAAAGCATAAACTGCAGATGTGTTTATGAAACATTTTAGGATTCTTAAGAAGATAGGGGAATAAAAAAGACAAAATGAAAGGCTAATTCTGAGCAATAGCAAAAAAATACACCAATTCCAAGTTTTGGAAGTCTTCAATGAACAAAAAATTCCATCCCACTACTACCAGTATTTGTCAAAAGGAAATTATTAGGAATACAGTGACACTAGTGATTTAGTCCATTGTTCCCTTCTCTGATACCAGTGCTACCTGTAACACCAGATATCTATGAAAAAAGTGCAAGAAACCTTCTCCATTTCAGAATGCCCTTGCTAAATCTAGTAGAAAGGTGGCCAACACAGCAGCCAGCAGAACAGCACTGCAGACTTCCTTTAGTATGGAGACTGTTCCCATTTTTAGGCACTTTTTTTTGAAAATGCTCAAAAAGATTGGCAAATTCATTTAAATGAAGAATCTTGGAGAGCTTCTACCTGCACTGAGAAGGAACACAGAGTACATGCTAAGAAAAACGTGTGACAGTAACTTTTAAAACAGTTAAAACTGAGAACATCCTCAAACTTCCAGAACATCTCATTGTTTTGTTCATTTGTTGGTCAAACTAATTTGTCCATGTTCAAGCTGCACTGAAAACCTTTGCAGTTCTGTGAGGCTGAGGCTGAGCTGCTCCCTGCAGAGCTGGTAGATGATTTGGGGGTACGAAGATTACAGGCAGGAGAAGGAGGACAAATCCTTTAATTGTATAAAATCATCAGATTAAGACCAACCCTCTCTATAGTTCACTCTGTTAGCACAGAACTCTGCTGCCCAGAAACACAATGTTTACAAAGTGCTAAAAAAACCCCCACCAAACACCCAAAAAACGGAGAGCCAGACACACCTTTCCCTTCTGTGCCTAAACACTGCAGGGGGTCACGGGAACTCTGCTCCCAAGGGAACTGAACTGTCACCTATTCTCTGCCAAGCAGGTGCCACAGAATTACACTCATGCTGGGTTAAACACTGGGAAGAGATTTGCAGAGGAAGTTACCTTCACACTCAGGCAAGGCCTCAGTTTCTCTCCAGGACACACATCACTGATGTCTCCCCCCTAAGCACCACCTCAGCAAAATTTTATGCATTCCAAATCACCTGCTTAATGGTTTCACACCCCTCTAACAATCTCCTGCACTGAAATAACACCTCACCTAGAGGATCTAAACTCAGATCTTTCTTCTGAGTTAAGTTACAGAATCACAGAACGTGCTGAGTTGGGAGGGACTCACCAGGACCCTCCAGTCCAACCCTCAGCCCTGCACAGGCCCATCCCCAGAGTCACCCCCTGTGCCCCAGAGGATCATCCAAACCCTCCTGGAGCTCTGGCAGCCTTGGGGCTGTGCCCACTGCCCTGGGAGCCTGGGCAGTGCCCAACCAGCCTCTGGGGGAAGAACTTTTCCCTGAGATCCAACCTGACCCTGCCCTGACACAGCTCCAGCCATTCCCTGGGTGCTGTCCCTGGTCCCCCTAGAGCAGAGCTCAGTCCCTGCCCCTCCTGAAGAAGTTGTGACTGCAATGAGGTCTGCCCTCACTCTCCTCTTCTCCACGTTCTCTAAGCTATCATCTGTCAGTTTGATTACAGGAAAATTTCAGAATTAACCTGTATTTACCAACATTGCAGCCCTTCCTCCCAGCCCTCCCTTGGCCACTGGACCAGCCAATTCAGCTGAAGGCCAGTGCTTTGTTTACACTTGACCATGTGTGGAGCCCTACTTCAACCAAACACTGAAATTCTTTACCTCATGCATATTTAGGTTAGATCATCACTGATATGAAGTGGGAAGGATACAGGATTTTACTTAATGAGCTGACTGCTGTCTACATACTGATCACAGATATATTTTCAAGGGGCTTTCTCAAGGGTGTGACCTTCTTCCTCCATGAGATGGGGTGTGCTCAACTGCTACTCAACATGAACAAAGTATGATGAATATAGGGCTGTCTGCAAGTATCACCTCCTCCCTCAGATTACAAGCCTTAATAAATGGATAGTGTAGCAAACAGAAGTATTTAATGCACAACTATTCCTACGGTTTCCTATAGGAAGCTGTACATTAAAATCTAGGTGAAGAAAAAAGAATAAACCCTGCACTGCAAGAGACACCTGGTAATTATGAGATGTGCAGTCCTCTACTGTGCTGTGAAAGGTTTGCTTGGCTGCTGCAAACAGCTGAAACAAGTCATACCTTTGTGAGATTTCAAGGAATTGCAAATGATAAGAGGACTGCATCCTTTAACCTCAGGTATGAACAAGGAGAAGAGGAGCCACAATAAACTTTTTGTATGCCCTTGTAATTTAGGGTATCTGGTCCAGGCAGCGTTGTGTTTGTTTATTTAACACAGGCTGCTTCAGGGAATGTGGTGCAACAGGAGCAGAAACCCCCTGTGTAGAGGGAACCCCCCTGTGCTTCAGAGCAATGTCCTCAGAATACATGGTTTGGGGGGGTACTTTCACTGAACCAGCTTTCACATGGCCCCTGGGCCACCCATTAAAGGCTGGATCACACCTCCTGGTTTAGTTTCACTCATCCAATGAATCCAGGAATCCAGTTTTTGCACTAAGAACGCTCCAGGATACAAATCCAAGCACAGCAAACAGGGACAATAGGCAGATTTGCTTCAGAAGTGCTCTGCTGATCCAAACTAAACCGCTAGTACAGATGTCCCCAGGGGAGCCCAGCAAACGGGCTAATTACAGAGCAGAGCTCTCAGACATGTCAGCCAGAGGAACTTCCCTCTGATGCCTCCTTCCAACGGGCCCCACTGCCAGAGAGCCCTGCTTCCAGAGAGCCCTGCTTCCAGAGAGCCCCGCTTCCAGAGAGCCCCGCTTCCAATGAGCCCCGCTTCCAGAGAGTCCTGCTTCCAGAGAGCCCTGCTTCCAATGAGCCCTGCTTCCAATGAGCCCTGCTTCCAATGAGCCCTGCTTCCAGAGAGCCCTGCTTCCAGAGAGCCCCGCTTCCAGAGAGCCCCGCTTCCAATGAGCCCCGCTTCCAGAGAGTCCTGCTTCCAGAGAGCCCTGCTTCCAATGAGCCCTGCTTCCAATGAGCCCTGCTTCCAATGAGCCCTGCTTCCAGAGAGCCCTGCTTCCAGAGAGCCCTGCTTCCAATGAGCCCTGCTTCCAATGAGCCCTGCTTCCAGAGAGCCCTGCTTCCAATGAGCCCCGCTTCCAATGAGCCCCGCTTCCAATGAGCCCTGCTTCCAATGAGCCCTGCTTCCAGAGAGCCCTGCTTCCAGAGAGCCCTGCTTCCAGAGAGCCCTGCTTCCAGAGAGCCCCGCTTCCAGAGAGCCCTGCTTCCAATGAGCCCTGCTTCCAATGAGCCCTGCTTCCAATGAGCCCTGCTTCCAGAGAGCCCTGCTTCCAGAGAGCCCTGCTTCCAATGAGCCCTGCTTCCAATGAGCCCTGCTTCCAGAGAGCCCTGCTTCCAATGAGCCCCGCTTCCAATGAGCCCCGCTTCCAATGAGCCCTGCTTCCAATGAGCCCTGCTTCCAGAGAGCCCTGCTTCCAGAGAGCCCTGCTTCCAGAGAGCCCTGCTTCCAGAGAGCCCCGCTTCCAGAGAGCCCTGCTTCCAGAGAGCCCCGCTTCCAACCAGTGCCATCACACCTCTGACTCTGAGGGCTGCTGCAAACAGCACCCAGGAGAGCAAAGAAAAGTAACTGCACTGCAACATGAAGCCTGTAGGTTATTCCTGCTGCTCCCTGCCAGCCCAGCTGCAGAAGCGTGGGAGAGCCCCAGCACCTTCTCCCTCGCCGGAAAGTCATCCTTAACGATGAGTTTTTCCAATTAAGCAGGTTTACAGCAGTGACACACTGCAAAGAAGCCCTGCCGCATCAAGGAATCTGGCCCACCACATTTGTTTTAATGCTTTAAACAAATAAATTAAAGTGAAACGTGTCTTTCAGTACGTCACTGAATAGGCAAGCTGAGAAATAAATTGAGCTTCACATATGCTTTTATAACACATAACAACTGTGACTGTCAGCACAAGATCCTTTTCACTGTCAATTCACCACGCATTCTGCGAGACCTTGGGGCCTGCAATTATTTCATTTCCTTTCTTGTAAATGCAATTTCCACTTAGTTTGGTGGAATAAAGGTACACAAAAGGTGATGGGAGCTGCTTGTATTTTCTGATCTGTTCAAAATTGTAGAAATCCACAAACTACAAACAGTACTTTTCAGGAACAACCTCATCTTTCTACCAGGGTAGCAGTTCAAGAAAAATGCAATGGCATTATTCATGTCAAATTAACTGCTGAACAAATCTTCATCTTTCTGATTAAATTAAAATGAAGATCATCTTTCTTCTAAGGATACTTAAATGAAATAAAAGGAGAAAATACATATGATTGGAAAAGGCATTCTGCTTTTAATACTCAGTGCAAATTAAATACAACTGTAAAGCACAAAAGGAAACTGGGCTCTTTATCCACTCAAAAATAAATGATGAAAGTACCTGCAGAAGAGTGAAGTATCAGTTCATAAAAGAGATGCAAACTGAATATCCAGCTCATTTGTCATGACTCTACCATTTGAACCAAGCAACAGAGACTTGCTAGAATTGGTCCTGGTGGTATTTGTTAACTGACAGAGCAGGAAATCAGAGGTTTAATTAGCCATGACTACAATATTCTGCTGATCTGATTTGTCTTATCTATTTCCTTCCCTTGAAGTGACAAAATGACAAACAACCTGGCAAGGGAACCAAAGCAAGTGCACAGCCCAATCCAAAAGGAGCTTGGTATTGTTGTAAAACAAACCCCTCCTCCGGGGAATCTGTATGAAATAAATGTTGCTAAAGCAGGTTTAACTCTCTGATACTGAACTGGCACCTCGGGTCTTCAATCTGCTGTAACCAAAGATTCTGCTGCCCATGTGTGCAAATGCAGCACTAGCTGCATTTTATTTTTATCTTGAGATTTCAAGGTATTTACCAGCAAACTTTTAAGAGGAATAGTCAGGACTTGTTTTTGTCCAACAGAAACCACCCTCACACCTGCATACAGACCAGTATAACTCATGTGATTGTATTTTTTTAAATATTTGCTAGAACTACTTTTAATCAAGAGTTAACAATATAACTATCATCCCTCTTCTCTCCAAGATATGGAAAAAACCCTCGACCTTGCTATTCCTCAAAAACTCTTGAATTCTTTTTTGTGGCAGAAAAGATGAACTCTTTTTGAAGACTGTTCACAGACTTTAAAAGGAAAAGGACTTTATTATAGAGAATTTTATTTCTGCTTCCAAAAGAGACTGCAAATTATTTGACAAGTCAGTGGTAAACAGCTGCAGACTGTACATTTATCTTGTTAACCAAAATTGATATTAAATCACTTTCAAAATGCACCATCTAAACACATCTGCTACTAAAACATATCTAGAAATCCATATTCTACTTACTGCAAAGTAGGCCTGGAGCCCGTTGCAGCCTGAGGCTGGTTAGAGACAGGTCCTGAGTTGGGTACTTTGGAAGCAAATTCTGTCTCCACATCTTTCTTGTTCAACGCTGTCTGTGCAGCACTGGCTCCTGAACCTAGCACAGGCAGAGATTTTGATTCTGATGTGGCCAAGATTCCAGTGGGACCTAAAACCCAAAGAAAGTTCAATGCTTCTGTTACCCAGATTGACTGGTCTAGAAAAAACACGAGTACAGCAGAACTCAAGCAGAAATCAAAATGGAATTTTAATGAACAGTTCATGGAGAGTATCAAAACATCGTGTTTGTAGCTTCTGCTCTCCCCACCAAGATTAACCCTTTCTTCTACCACAAGCAGTGTTTGCTGTATTGACACAGACATGCACTCAATCCCCTCACCCTCTGGGGTGGCAAGTCCTGCTGTCCACACAGCACTACCCAGTCACAGCTTGCCAGTGCTCTTCCAGCTGGAGCAGGAGGGAGAACCAGCCTGATAACAGAAAAGCCTGTTCTCAATACTGATGAAGAGCCAGTGAACTGTCTATAAAGTTCAAGATAAAACTATGCAGCGACATTCAAACCAGCCACATCTGCATCAGCTATGGCACGGACTTACACTTGCACAGACTGTGTTTGTAACCAAGCAGAACATTAAGTTTTTTACAGATGACAGTAAAGCACAGCATAAAACTTGCTCCACAGAGCAGGGTAATTCAAATCATCAGCCCCAAACCCTCATTTCTCTGGTTACCATTACTTTCAGGAGTATTTTCACAGTAGGCCCAGACTTAACTCCAGCAACAACGTCTGAGCTATGGGCTGGAAAGAGAACCCGAGTGAAGGTGTCTGTGCACACAGAAAATTCCAACAGAGGCATCTCTTGGAGAAAATGGGCATGAAAAGTAACAGGTGCGACAGGAAGTGAGTCACTGTGGAAGCAGGCAGAGTTCTCCATAATGGCTGAAATGGCAATGGTCTGGAAGAGAAAGTAAAGCTTCAAGAGTCACTTAATGCAGGGAGAGGAAGAGAACTGCAAAGGAGTGCAGCCACTTACTGCCACTGTCCTGGTCAGTGGTCACCTTGCGGCGGCGCAGGACTCGCTCCAGCTCCGTTTCGCCGCTCTCTGTCTCAAGGGACTTCAAGCTTCGGGAACTAGTGGATTTATTCAGTGTTTCCTACAGCAAGAAATAGGCATGAGAAACTCTCTGAGGACATATTAATGTCTTACCAAGCATCTCATATGCACAACTTCAGAATCTTTTAAACTGCATCAAAGCAACTGCAGTTCTAGAGCAGTGTGCCATTAGTACGACAGTGAGCACCTGGGGATCAGCTCACCACTCCTGCACTCCCTTGGATTTCCTGATGTAGGCATAAACCACACATCACACATCAGAGTTTGATATCAGGCTTAAGAAAGATACTCTGGATCACCAATGAACAAATTCTGATGTTGCAGGGAACTGCCAACTTCCTCCATCCAAACATTTAAAGGATCTTAAAAAACTGCTGGACCATCATCATGCTCATAATTACCCACTGACATCAAAAAGCTAAAGATCCATATTTTACTGCTCCAGCAGGTTTTATATTTTAGCATGGTCCCACATTGCTGCATCTTTATTAGCTACAACTGCAGCATACTTTATCCTATAATCTAGCTGATCTGCTATAAACTTGACCCTATGTCTACATACTTCGAGGTTACTCTTTTTCACAGAGTTAGATCACAGGTTGAAACAGTTTTTTATACATACAAACCAGAAATACACACAATTACTGCCTTATGCCAAGGTCAGCATGTAGTATCAGTGAAGCTGCAAGTCTCGGAGCACTTTTCTTAAGGTGGGGGGAAAGAGGATTTAAGAAGCTTTGAACAAAGCCTGAAACCTCACAAACTTGCCACAGGAATTTAAAGATGCATACAGTGCATACTGCATGCATTTCCCAAATTACAAGAGTCAGTCATTGGATCAGAATTTGATTGAAAAAAATTTCCCCAAAATGTTTATATAACACAACTGAAAATTTGGTGCCCACATACTATTTCATTTTCCCTTTAAGTCTTGCCATCTTTAGGAATGCCCAGGAATCCTGTTTATTCAGCCTTCCAAAACATATCAGACTCGTATAGCATTTTTCCAGCACATAAATAACATACTCTTGACATCTTTTGTAGACAAGCACATAACTTTTGAGCAGAAATAGCCAAAGATGAAAGGAATTAGCATTGCAAGTTGCAGAAGTTGTGCTGCTTTTAGAAACCCTGTAAAGTAACTCTTAATTCTTCACTCCTTCCTAGAAGGTAAAATGTTTTCATTCTTAACTATTTGAAATTTAACTAAGCAGGTTATTCATTAGCAGTACACTCCAGATCTGTACAAATGTACACGTATGGAAAAACAGAGTCCCTCAAACTCTGCAATTTACAAAACATAAATGTGTTTTGTTTGTAATAATTACATGGAGGTCTACACAAAATGCATTATTAGCATAGTAACAACAAATGTTTACTCTCCATCACATTCCACCCCCATGTTTGTTGTCTGACTGTGCATAATCACTGGTCTCAAGAATAGACTGGAGCTGGATTTTATACAGTTTGCCATACACTGGAAAGACCCTGAAAGCAACAAGCAACAAGCCAGATACAGAAGTGCAGTGACTGCAGGTTTCTCTCTGCTCCTTCTGAAGTACATAATCAAGGCTCCTCTGATGTCAGTGACAAGTGCTGAAGAAATAAAACAGCTACTAGAAAATGAAAGGATCTTTGGCAGGATCGTCCTGTCCAACCCTCACTGGTCCAAAGGGCACACTATATCCAACTACTCCTGTAAGTATGGAATTCCATTTAAAACACAGTCTCTGTGTTGCATTTTATTCCTTTCCTATTTACCTCTGCATTTAATTATGTGTCCCTCTAATCAGAGCTCAGCATTAAGGTCTGGTGGCTCTCTAGATCATTTCCTCCCTTATTCTCCTGCCTTCATGTGTCCAGAGAACAGCAAGTGTAACATGTCACTGGTGCCCCACTTGTGATTTAGATCACAGCACAGGCTGAGCCCACACTCGTGCTACTATGAATAACAAGAATGATTATCCTCATCCTCTGTAGAGTGCAAGTGAAGCATTTTGCTGCAATACTGGTGGAATTTCACCTTATGTGCCAAAGTTGTACATCAACTCGAAAGTTTCAGGGTTACAGAAGTCAGGGAGCAAGAACTACAGCTCCTTCTGACTGTTTCATACAGTTTTATCACTTGTGCAAAAGATACAGCCAGTTAAAACAATTCAACGTATGAGTAAAGGACGCAACAGGAGCAAACTTAGCACACTGCTCTCAGCAGGACCCAACACACGCCTAATGTTTTTATTTAGTGATAAATGGGTACATGGACAGCTATTCAGAATCAAATTTTTCTAAATATAAATGCAGACAGACTAAAGCTCTTGCTTTATTTAGGCTTTGTCTACATAACAAGAAATCTGGGGCCTCTGGAGAGAGCAGCAGTTGATGAGGAGAACTCTACATCTACTATATGTGCAATCCAGGGGCTTTACTTTGGACTAGATACAGATATTCAGCTGTCTCTCCATCCCTAAGCATCCCCACTGTGAGTACTTGGAAAGCTTCCAAAGGATCTGTGGCAGATGCAAACCATAACATCCCCTCTAGTGGCAGACGCGTACAAGCCCAGAAGAGTTCACAGGTTAGTCTCCCTAGAACACATTCTGGCAGCAAAACCAACAGCAAGACCAAAACCAACCCTTAAGTCGAACCATAAGTCAAAGGTGGAATTGGGGGGATTTGCTCCAAAACTGCTCTATGCTTTCAACCCAGAAAAGAAAATGAAATATAAACTGGAAGTTCTCTTACCAGAATCCCCTTTAATTCCTTCATTGCACTTTCAGAGGGCTTTGGTGTTTCTGGCTGTAAACAAGCACAGCACATGCGTGTTAAAGAACACATGACACGGACCACGACAGTCTCTGCACTCGACGACAGGCTTCACACCAGGGGCTGTGCACAGGCTACAGCTGTGGCACGTTCTCCTGCTCCCTCTTTTTGTGGGCACATGGACAACATTCAGTCTGTTCTCTTACACAGCTGAAGGGAAGAGCCTCAGCTCTTAACACTGTGAACCACAGACTACACATAAAGATTATACTTTTGTGCAGAAGGTAAGCAATATTTTATAGTAGCCACACTCAGGTATTAGGTGTAAGTATTACATAAAAGAAAGAAATAGTGCTAAATATGGTCTACTACTTCATCAACTCCTCTACCCAGTTCAGTTACGCTCTCTGTGCTTTTTATTTCTCAGTAGCTGTTTGTTTACAAGTTTCTTTTCTGTGTCAAAGAAACTGGCCTTCTACTGTTGCCTTCATTTCCTTTTCTGTTGTTCAGCTATATGCTGCTGTAATGAATTTTATCCAAAATCAATCAAAGTAAATGAGGTGAGGAAAATGCATTCTTCAGAATGTTAAAGTCTGATTTCTTTTCAGTGTAAATTACTGTACTTAGCTAATATTATTGCTCTGCTATTTATTCCAAACCTTTGTTTTAGGCCTGCTTGACTGGTTGACTGGTCTCAGGTGAACTCCCTTTTTAATTCTGTCCATCATTTCTTCAACAGCTTGTCTCTTCAGATCCGTAACTTCTTCACCTGTTCCAAAAATCAAAGACTCTATCATATTTCAGATATGAACTACAGAGAACTGGTACAAAGACAAAATGTGTTATACAGCCTCCTAAACAGCTTGCTTGCCATAGGCAGCCAGTTACCATAATCAGAAATTAGTTTTAATGATGAAACAACATTTACATACACAGTGTTCTTAGTTATACTCTGTGCAGTAGGTCTTCCTGCCTGCATGTGTGATGCATATTGCTCATGGACTATGCAGATCCACGCTTTCTCCCACTTTTATTAAAAAGATATAAGCACAAATATATACGCTTATCTTTTCCCCCATAAGTGGGCTGTTCACAGGGCCTTTCTTACAGGAATACTATCTTACTCTTCCTTCTCCACACCACAAAGAGGCAGGTTACCTTACAATGCACACATCTGTATGGCAGCAGAAACCAGCAACCTCATCTCTAGTTACAAGAATTCTAGATTATGAGAACTGCTGGATACAGAGCTATTAGAGATCTTTGCTATCAGCTAAACTGTCACAAGCTCTTCAAGGATAAAATGCCAATCTATCGAGGATCCTGCTGTGGATGCTGCAAATGCCAAACTGCAGAAGTTTGGGCAGAAGCAGGTCCCAGATCCTGAAAATGCAAAGCTCCTGTCAGTGTTTGGGAATGGTAAAAGCTCAATGCCAGAGGCTGAAGCCCCAGGGGCTGAAAAACACAGCTCTGCTTCCACTGTGTCTCCTCTCTGTGGCTGGGCAGAAATGCTGCAGCTTCACTGACACAGCACAAGCTGACAATGCCCCATGGCAAGGCCCATGTGCACAAGAGTACCAACTGTGTCTCCTATTCCACGTGGTTTGAGAACCTGGCTGGAACAACACACCAATACTTCAAACTGAACTGGACCCAAACATTTAAATAACACTGCATCACATCAAGTGAAAGGGCAAAACTGAAATACCAGGAAAAGAAATGGCTGCTTTCTCAAGAGATCTGCTATTAGGACTGCAAAATATTCAGATGACATGGGATGCTGTGTGATGAACCTGTTAACTTGTCAGTGTTCTGGATAATGTAATAAAAGACACTTAACATGCCATACCAAAAAGTGGGGGGAAAAGAGTACTTAAAGTAAACACATGGAGAAATAGGGTCGATGCTACTCAAAGCTGCAAGACTGTACCTTGTATAACAGGAATATTAAAAAGGCTTTTGCTCTCTCACTTGTCAGGGTACTATTGATGATTCATAGAAACGCAGTTTCTGTATTCTAAGCCGATTTAATGTCAGGCTTTAATTTCACAAACAGGCTGTTTCAAATATAAAAGCTTAATTGGTGGTATGGGATAGAAACCACTCATTCTAAGTCCTTAACGAGGGTCAAAACAAGCCTCAAGTTGGATATAATAACTAGATCAAGAAAGAACTTTCTCCTTTTTTTATTTTTAAGAACAGCTCAACTATAAAGAGAGAAAAAAGGAGTTTATGTGTGATTGAAGAAAGGTAAGAACTGTTGAAGTTTGGTAATAAATAATGAAAGAATGGGGTTTAGAGAACATACAGTGAATTTCATAGTATTTACTGCAATGCAATCACTGTTTGGGATAGTTTCAACAAAAAGGTGTAATCAAAACATCTAGGATACTTCAAGGTAAGGAACCCTGATAAATGAAGACACCATAACTGGACCTTTACTGAAAGATAACATTGACTCTTCATCAGAGATTTTGGTACAAGGTCACTTCTCTTTTTTTTTTTTTTCCAGACCAACACCCTTATTTCTCTCAGACTGGTAACCAGTTCCCAAAAATTCCCCAGGATCTGCCCAAGTCACAACACTCCTCAGTTCCTCACCTGAGAAATGGGAAGGGTAATTCTTTCCCCCACTTCTCACCTGTTGGTTCCATCCCACAATCCAGCCTTACTTACATACCATTAGTCTGCTAACAGCAGATTTTTCTTTAACAGTTATATCCTATACCCATAATTTCAGCCAGGTTTCCTTCTTTGTTTGAGTGTCAGCAAATGAGTTAAGCAATTCACCACAAACAAACTCCTGCTGTTTCAGAAGGAAGAGAGAAACAGCGAGAAAACCCTTGGTTATTTAACGGGCAATGCCTGCCTAACTAGCTCTGACTCTTCAGGCACTCATGATCATCTGTAAATCTCTGCTTAACTCCTGTTCTCAACCTACTAAGCTTCCAGCTTCCATTAACAACAATAAAATGCAATTTCAGCTGTTACACTGTGCATGCAGAGCCACCTTAGTGCAGGGCTCTGTTTTGTTTTAGGTTTTCAGTATTATTAAAGGATTAGCATTACAGTCAACTCTGAGTGGTAATTTCACAAGATATGAATCGAAGGATGAAAACCAAAGCATTTAACAAACAAGCTCTGTGGAGAGGCTCTGGACAGAAGAAACTGCAAACAAGAAGCCATCTGGAAGTTTGGAAGTTTCCCTGTATTATGCTGTATACAACCTGCTCTCTGCTTAATGCTTGCTGGGTTTGTTCCTCTGCCTCTTCCATGGAACCTGCACAAAGCCCTGCACACACCGTCCTGCAGTGACGTGCTGCACTGTCTCCAGTTTGGAGGCACAGGTTGAACCCCTCAATGCTACCACAGTGCAACTACTTCAGGCAGCACCAAACTGCCAGGCTGCAACTCAACAAGCTGCACACGGCCAGTGTAACAGCATGGGGCCTAAACTGAACCGTCCTGTTCTCCCCACCCATCTCACCCAGCACATCATCCCACCCAGCTACATGCTTATCTTCTCAGGTCATCCCGAATCCTCCTTTTCTCCAAACTAGACAAGCCCAGAGTCCTCAGCCACCCCTCACAGGAACACCAAAGATACCACTTCCCATCTCGGTGCACATATACCTGGGTTGCAATCCCCTTTCTGGACTCAAGGTAGAGGAGTGTGCTGGGACATGGACAGCTGTAGGAAACGTTGGCAACAAAAAGCATCTGAATGGCTCTCTGCATCCACAGCTCACTCCCACCAGCTCCACCTGCAGGACCCGGGGCATGAGCCACAGGACTGGAGAAGGGATGAGCCATACCTGACTCCTGCTGAGGAGGTTTCTCCTTCTTGCTCACATTGGTGTTGGAGTGAGATCTCTTGCGAATCATTGACATGAGAGACCTTTGGGGGAAATGAAAGTGCAGACTGTCATTCTGTCCTGTGTTACACACTGTCAGAATGAGCAGGAATGCCACACACCAACAGCTGGCTTATACCTGATTATACAGCTACTTACAAAAGACTCATTTAACTGTTCTTGAAAGCAGATGTATGCACTGAATTACCCCCCACAATGCCTCCCATCAAAATGCACCAGAGAAATTTCTTTCTTTTTAACAGACATTAGGCACAAATCAAAACACTCCAGATCTGAATATTAAAAGACAGTCTCATTGTGACACATGACAAATTGAAGCTGCTCCAGCATAATAAATGGAAAGAAGAGCTGTAGATATTGAAGTATTGTTCTCCAGAGGACACTTAAATATGGTGATCAGTATCTCCTCACCATCTCCAAGTTTGTAATCTTCTTACAGTGTCAAATAATTATCCCCTCACTACAGTCAAAACGTAGAAGTCCAGGCAAGTAAATGATCTTCAAGCTCAAGTATAAGCTCCTGTGCACATGTGATGTGTCAGTGGGGCCTATCAGTCCCTACTGAGCACTGCTCCTTACAGAGTAGTGGCATCCCTGGCATAAAGGGTCAAAACCAGAAAAAAGCAGCATCCAGTGCCTACGCTCTGAAGTAACTTCTATGCACATAAACATCACAGTGCATGAGGAAATACTCTGACTTAGCTACTACAGGGCTTAAAGTGAACAGTTTTATTTATTCCAAATAGTAAAGGGCAAAAATTTAAACAAAAACCCCCTTACAATACCTCTACACATTCATGCTATACATTAGTGTGAAACAAGCAAGCGAGTTGAATGAGTTAATGGACATAAAAGAAGCAAAAGATCAAACGCAACTGTTCAGAAAGTGTTAAGTTTCTAAAAACAATGCAAGATGCACAAAGGGATGCATTCTCCCTATTAATCATCTCTATTCATATATTTAATACAGTAGTTAACAAGACTCCTGTGTGTCATTTCTACTACAGAAGGTTGGAAAGTGTCATTGAAGTCCATTTATTTTTAAAACCAAGCAGACAACATGAAGATTAGCTGAGTTTCTAAAATTAACTAGAGCACCCATTAGGGGCTTACTTAATTAATTCATTTGGGTCTAATGCGTGATACATCAGACTGGTCAGCCTCTTTTTATAGTCCTTTGCAAAAATCAGGCCCAATTTTGGTAATTTTGTCCAAACCACCTGATGATGGGGTGATGATTTTATGTTTGGGTTTTTTTTCTTCCTTTTAACTTATGAAAGTAATTATGGGAACTCAATGGAGCCTGCATTTTCATCATCAGTATCCGACATGAAGGGACACACAGTAATCCAACATATCCTTTGGTTCAAAGGAGTTTTCTTTGCAGCAGAAAGCATTTCACAAGTCTGTAATTACAGCTATCAGGTGAATAGAAAAGAAAAATCTCCTAAATTTAGAGGAGACAGGTATCCCTCCTCCTCCTTCAGGGTCAGAGTCCAGACAATTTGTTAAGCTTGGCAAGGCAGAAACTGTTCAAAACTGGTCAGGGTGTTAGTCTGTTGGTAGGTGGGGCACAGTCTGTGTCCTGCTGGTAAAGAGCCCAAGACAGGTGGAGAAAGCCTTTTTTTTCTTTAAAGACACTCTTCCTGCTTGGATGCAAGCTCCTGTAATGAATTGTGCCCGTGCAAAGTATTAAAGCATTAACGCTGTGCCCCTCCCAGCACTTACCGTATAGGGTTGGGAGGGGGGGGCGGAGGGAGGGGAGGAGGGGGCGGTGGAGGAGGAGGTGGTGCAGGATTTTCAGACTGCTGTACTCGTTTTTGAAGTTCATCAACTGCACAAGATCAATAAAACAAACCACAGTGAGTCTCAAAACCAACTCTGACGGTTGAAGAAAAAAATGCTACTTATTAACTAAAGAACAAACAACGATACTAAACCACACCACTGCTAGGAAGTCCTATTTTCAGCAACACTTTCTACCAAGAACAATGTCCTAGACACATGGGATTCCCATTAAACTCCCCCTCATACAGGATTCTTCATATAAAATGACAGAGCAGGGAAAACTTCATCCCATTCCGGTGATGGTCTGTTTGAGGCTGCATTTGAGAATGAGCTAACGAGATGGAAGAAGTTGACAATTTCAGCTTCCAGACTGGATGGTGATGTGGGTTTTCCCCATAAAAATGGTCAAATCTGGGTGGTAACAGAAAGTATATTCTTTCTCTTCTGTTTACATGTCAGATCTAAAACACGGAAATTACTTTTCTGCACTTGAAATGCTGTCAAGTGTAATTAATGGGGAAGGGCAGAAACAGAGGGGAAAAAAAGTCTTGAATTTCTTTTAGTTACAGAAATTCTCAGCAATTGTTCTGATACAATAGGAATCTCACGTGGATATGGCTCACAGAATCACAGAATATCCTGAGTTGGAAGGGATCCCCAGGGATCATTGAGTCCAACTCTTAGCCCTGCACAGGTTCTTTGCTCTTGTAATGATAGATTCAAATTAAAATTACAATATTTTACACTTAATTTTAAATTTTAGAAGGTAAAAAAATTAAAGATCAACTGAGTGACTTTAAATTCCAGGTACAACCTTTATGCTGATAAATTCCTTCTGAAGAACAAACAAGCCTGGATGGAAACAATCTGCTGCCCAGGCATATTGTAGGTAGAGGGTGGCAGGGGTGGGTAATGTAAAACTAACACAAAGCAGTTCTTCCAACAAGGACTGCTAACAAGCTCAAAGATAACCCTGTTCTTGAGGATATGTTTCAAAAAAACATGGCTATGCATGAAGCCTTAACCGAGGACAGAGACTTTGGCCTCCCGTGACAGGGGCTCAAACGTTGCTCTGAGCAGGTATCAAACTTGAACCTTGCACTTGCATGGGCCTTGAACTGAACAAGGACTGCAAGCAAATGCACATGCAAATTCTTAACCAGCCATGGCCCCACATTCCCTATAATGAGGTCACACACACCAAGAGCCCTTTTTAAAACCAATTTCAAATTCAGAGCCTTAGATCAGAAATTTCCTCATTCAGTGGACAGGATGCTACAGACAAGCCAGGCACCATCCTGACTGCAATAACTGTATGAACCTGCACTGCAACAGTTGTTCCCTACTAAATATTCTGTGAATCTTTTCTGTTTGTATTCTTTGGGAGTTAGTTTACATCTTAGTAGCTAGCAAGCCTGTTTCTTTCCTTTCATTCATTGAACTAAGTATTCAACCACAAGTAAGAGATTTAGATGTGTAATTCTCATGGATATGAGCCATAACAGCCCCCTGGATTTGCTTGGCTAACTCCCTTTGTAGGGCTCTGAAGGCAGTACTCATCTTTGAAATAACTGTTTAAATAAAAAACAACAGCCCACCCCTCCAGACCCTCTCACATCAACAGACATGGTTTTCTCACATGTCAATATGAAGAGCTAAAACGTGTCTTTATTTTCACTGGTGTCTTCTATTGCAAGACTATTAAACGGCTGGGTAGCTTGATAATTATGGGATGTTTTTGTACAATTCATACAATGAAGACTCCCCAGTCTGACAAACCTCTGCTTAGTTATACCACTGTACTTTTTTTTAAACTAGGTAAGAAAATTGAGTTTGAAGGATTGTGTCTTTCACACAGACACCCATACCATGTATATATCCATCTGTAAGACTCAGGGCAATTTAACAACAGTATTTTTATACCTTACAGAAGTTTTTACAAGGTTATTTTTTCACACACATTTTGGACATGATTGTTCTGCATTTAAGGGCAGTTGCTGTACTTTGTCTAGTGAAATACAGGCCTGGATCTCAGCTGAACAAAAGCTTCTGAGGTCTCAAATATAACATGTATAATTCCATTAGATGTGCACCAATCACCCTCCACACACTTCACCTCTAAAATGAAAGTCATTACACAATTTTACCTGAATGCTTTAGGTCTCTAGCTTTTTCTTCGGAGTGCTGACATTTAAGCTCTAGTTCCTTTTTATCTTCTTCCAGAAGTTCTAGTTGCTGTTTAAGACGACTAATCTCCTTATGCAGTGCTTGATTCTCTAGCTGCTCTTCCAATTCTTTGATCTGCAGTTGGCAAACAAGAGCATTCATCTCAATAAAATCCATTTTCTGTCCCTCCTGTTGACAAATAACCCACTAGGCACAGTTATCCTGAAAACATAATGTTATAGTATAGGAGTGAACTACAAGTCCTAGAAAGAGGAAAATGTTTGAACGAGAGCTGAAGAGATTTTTCCGAGAGATGTCAGAATTTCCTATTATGATCCCAACTTGCTTTATCTCTTCTTTAGAATATGTCTTTAGCTCTAAAGTACTTAAGCTGTAAGTCGCTCCCTTTTCTTTTTATAGAATTTTTATCACATAATTAGAATTTAATTTCAGAACATTTCCTCATTTGAAGCACGAGAACGTTGACATTTTTGTTCTCTTACTGACTGCTTCCACTGACAGGCTGGTTATTTAAGCTCCCTTGTCTCAACTCATGCAGATGCCAGCGGGTGAATTATGGAATACCTGATTCAGAGGCAGCATTCAGATGCAGAGTAGCAATAAAGTCCCAGCTCCCTAAATATGTACCTTTTGCTCTAGACTCATTATCAGATTTGTGAGAACATGCCTCAGGGCTAAAGGAAAGCTCATTTTCTGAGAAAGCAATGGTGATTTCTCCCAGCTAAGAGATTTATCTAGTCCAGTTTTAAAGAATATATTTGTTTATATCCCAGCATTTTAGATCCTATTTAGATCCACACTGTAGCATTCAACTACCCTTTCCCTGCTCCAGTATGCTTGGCTTTTCCCCATCCATTTCTTTAGCAAGACCCAGACTACTACCTCTGCCTAGGAACTGCCTACCTCTCACCTCCTGGTATTCTAAGCTTATCCTCCCAAGATAGCCTTTACACTACTCAATGTCCAACATATTCTCCCGTCATCTCTTTACTTAATGGAACTTGACTTAGTGCTTGTAACTGCACTTTACTGACATTCAGAATAAAATACCTACCTAAACCAGAGGCTTCAGGCTGAAAAGCCTTCAAGTTTTGTACTCGTGTCTTAACAGTGACCCAGAAAAAGGGAATCAGAATCTTCTCAGAAACTTAGCTTATAAACTCTGAACTCTTAAGCGGATAAGATCTCAAATAACTCTGAATACAATAAAGAGACGACACTCCTTAAATTCTGGAGACTTTCAAAGACTTCCACATAAGGGGAAAGAAACACAGTTTTACCTTTTGCTGGTGTTGAAGCCTCTCTTCTTCTAATGTCTGGGTTAGCTTAGCATTGTCATCCAAAGCCTTCAAAAGCTGTTGATCAGGAGCAGAATTTTGCAGAAGCAACTGACTCTGCCTTTTCATCTTGTTCTGTTCAATAAACATCTGCCAAAACAAAACCCACACCCAACAAAAACAACAGTTAGGCACAGTCTAATGCTATCCTGGGGAAAATAGCAATTGGAAAGAAAATGAAGTTAACAGGGTGTTAATGTGGCAGAAATAGTGAGGAAGAAGGTGAGAAGGAGGGGGAAAGGAAGTTTGAGAGTAAAATTTACAGGAGCTAAGCTCACACTGAAAGGAACCAGGTGTTTGCTGAGAACCACCCACTGCTACACCTCAATTACCCACACGTTGGCAGCATTCAAAGTTTAAGCACATCTCTGAATTTTGTTTCCTGGAAATGGGAACAATCTGGCCTCCATTTGGGGAGCTCTGGAAAGACTGAAAGAACTCTAGGTGGAGGATAAATGTCTGTGAATTCATAGGTTACCTCCTCAAACATGTATGCAAGCCTTGGCATAAAGCCCATTTATTTGAGGGTTACCTGGATATGTGAATGATGGAGAATCTTCGGGAAACGAATTTCACTCCATGTCTGTGTAATCACTGTATGCACTTGCCCCAGGAAAAGGCATTTCAGGGCAATTTCAGCCTTTTAGTTCTGATCCTTGTGTTCTTTCCCCTTCCCAAGTTACATTTTTGATATGGCGAATGAACATTGGGGGGGGTGAAAATCAAATAGTCTGAAGACTTGACACTGATAAAAATACCACACACTCCTCCAGGCTTCACCTAAGAGGTGCAGAGGCTGGCAGCACATGCAGTTTCTGTGAGAGATCTGCTCCTTCCAGACTGTTTAGGAACCCGGTAATAAGAGATTGCTTCCTGACAAAAAAATTCCTAGTGAAGTTATTCTGCACCTTGACATCTCTTTCAGGTAGAGGTTTTCCCCCAGGCAACACGGGCTTCCACTCGAAAAGCTCAGCCATGCCTGTTCTTACAGCAGAAACAGGGACTGGGTCATGCTGAGGTCTCAGATGAGTGTGCACAGGTCAGCAGAGCCACTTATGGCAGGAGAACAGAGAACAGTCTGAGAATGCAGATGCTCCCTCAGACCGTAAAAACACTTGTATTGTAGAGCACAGCAAAAGCACGAAGGTATTTTAAGAATAAGGTATTAGAAATACAAAAATTCCAAATTCCCATCCTATTCATTCACAAACGAAATGTACAGACGAAATATGGTTTCTTCCCATCTGGTGCTACTACAATGCTATGTGATTTACTTGTTTTAATACAACTGGATATCCAAGAAGTACGAGCTGATGCAGATTTGTGGCAAGCACTCCATCCAGTGCTTTGCACAGCCACTTCAACTGAGCCTTCCTAGCAAGCAGCTCTCTGGAGCTGTGCAGACAGAGACCCACTGACCGTGCTGAACTCTGAGTGGCAGCACAGCCTGACCCTGCAGGCCAGCAGGAGCCAATTGATGCGGCCCTAATAGCAATAAAAACTGCCCTGAACACTCCACTGGGCAGAGCTGGGCCGTGGGGGCAGCAATAAAGCACTGGAAACATTCGATGGAGAGGAAATGATGAACGTAGGCTCTAGTACTGCACTTTGCTAGAAAACAAACAAAACCAAATCGATGACAATACACAGGCCACAGTGGTGTGCTGCAAATGTGCACTGGACATCAGCTCCCTGTCCCTAAATTCTGCCAGTCAAACCATTATGCTTATGTTACCTTACACTAGTAGGGCAGTGGCAAAACCAATTCAAAGGCAAGAGAATTCCAGAATCAAAGTTACCCACAACAATCCATAAAGGTTTGCCTTTGCATTGCCACTCATTCCTTTAACAGTTTATATTTTTAAAAGAAACAGCATCTTTGAAATATCATAGTTGAGAAAGGCCCAAATCACTGCTAAAGAACTCAATACTGGGTCAAAGCCTCCTGTGTTGCAGTCAAGTCACTCAGAAGTTATTTAACCCTGACAGAACCAACATCTCCCTAAAAGCCACCTTTAGCAAACATCTCAGTTTACCCACTGTGAACCTTCAAAGCAAAGTGAAAACTTGGATTTATCCTTTTTGGAATCTAAAAAATAGTTCGAGGTGATCTATTGCAGATTTTCTTCACCAAGTTGCTGCCACTAGATCCAACAGAGTTGTTCCAGCCTGAGGGAGCAGAAAGCTGCCAAAACAAGAAGAAATCAAGTAGAGCAACTTGATTTCTTCAACTTGAGCAGATACTTCACCAAATGCAGAAAATTCATATTCACTTTGTTTCATGTTCTTCTGCAAAATGAAAAAAATCCTTTTGAAGACCTGGGTGAAAATTTTTTCATTCGGAAGCTTTCACATAAAGTCCTGCATTTTCAATCACCATTCTAAATTGCTTTCATGATACTGCAAATACGTTCCTGCTTACAATTTATATACATATATATATATATGCAAATGTCTTCAACACCACAAAAAAAATTGTTGCTTATAATGTAAGACTGCAATCAGACCGCATGGGGAGTCCCATCCATTTCAGAAGTTACTTACACATATGTTCTTTAAGTGCCAGCATATTCTAAATGGAAGGGACAAAACTAGACAGGACAGTTGTGTCAGACAAAGCAGACAGAAAGCTGGTGATGAACTGATTGCAAGTTTTTAAGAGGCTGCTCTGTGTTTGAAACAGGACAAAAAAGACCCTTAGAAATTATTTCTAATTTAAAATTTAAAAAAATCAATTCCTGCTTCAGCAGGGCAGAAATCTGACTGTCTGCACAACCCTGAATATTAATTAAAGTGACTGCTGAAAGGGCAAAACAGCTACTAACAAGATTACTTGGACGAGGTGGAATTTAACCAACGAATGGATTAGTTCCGACTTTGCCACCTGCTTGACAATTATCTGCAGAGTATCCCAATCAATGCTGGAAACACAAGTCGATAGTGGAGGAATCCACTGAGACCACAACTGCAGTTAAAGGCAGATCACAAAGAAAAATAGTTTGCTTACACCTATCATTCTAATTTTAAAAATCTCCAAGTGCTGTGCAAACCAGTTATGTATCTTTCCCCCCCCAGTTTACGAAGAGAAGCCTCAAACCGCAGGAAATCTGGGACTTGGCCACCTTCCATTAGTAGACTTTACACAAGAATTGAGGAGGTGAAAAAAGAGAAGGGGGTGAAAATACTGGAAGTTTTTCCCTTGACCTCAGTGGGACCACACCTCATTCTCAGACTCTTGCTCCAACCATTACCCAACAGAGCATTCGCTGCAGCTGCTTTTTGTTTACACCAGAGCTGAAAAAGGAATTCTTCCTCATTAAAAAAGTTAGAAAGCAACTGCGTTAGTGTCAAGTCCCTGGGAACACTGACCCTCGTTCAAGTAACGTTCAGGGGAAAACTGGACGCTTTCCAACTAACTCTTCTCCCAGGAGCAAAATGAGGCCAAAAGAAATGCTTTAATATCCATGTGTGACTCCACTTTCATCTGTACATCATTTGGGTATTTGCCATTTTTGTCTTAGCTACAGCTTGAAGGGAGAAGAAGGTCCCAATACAGCAGCACTTTTATACTGGGGTAATCACTGGTTGCATAAAGTAAAATAAAAATCAGTGGCAAACACTATACAATATGAATAGAATAACAAAAGGCAAATAGCAAGGCAGAGTAAAATTTGGGAAGTCTCAAACAGAAAAGATCACTTGACTGAGCAGTTGGCCCTTATTTCAATCCTGAGCAGCGCTGCCCCATCCCCTCCCACAGCCCAGTGAAAAATCAGTGAGACATGCTCATGGAGTGGCAACCCATTCATCCACATTTGTCACAGTTTACAGAAGCTGATGCCTTTTGCATCCTGGGTACCCTGAAGCCTTATGTTCAGACCTGAAACACACCCCAAGGGAGGTAGGATCAAGGTACTTCTATCTCCCCAAAAGAACAGGCTGTTTGAAGGATTTTTATGTGACGGAGACAGTGATCTGGTGATTATGGCCTGACAGAGCACTAAGTAGCTCTAAATTCAGAAGGTACTTGGATTAAAATATAAGTCCAGGTGTGGCTTTTAATTCAATGGCTAATCAGGGAAAAAAAAAAATATATTCCTTTAGAGGAGCCAAAGACTAGTCCTAGTTGGATTTTCAAACTGCAAAAGAAAACTGAGCAATGTGACCATGAAAAAGGACATGTGCCTAATATGGGCAGCCAACTTGTCTAGATGAGTAATAATACTTTAGACTAATAAAGCTACAATACAGCTGGTTTTAGTTATTTGGCTAATTGCCAGACAATGTCTGAAGGGACTATTTCTAAAGAGTTAAAAGATGTAGCATTAGCACTTTTTGTGGCTCAGAAGAAGAGGTCTAATTTATTCAGAATGGGAGAACTGGAGTAGTTAAGTCTATTTCTTGTCCATCATTTGCTTCTCACCACAGAGAAGCTTGGAGTATGTATTTTGAGCGTGAGAAAACTGAATTCCCATCAAAGGTGTGACTTCCTTAAAACCAGAGTATTATTTATTTTACCAGCTTGTTCTATATAAAAGAAGTTGACAAATTACAGCACTCATTCTTTTCTTATGAGGCCCAACCACCCAAGGCCCAAAATAAAGGGAAAAAAATAATCCTAATTGTTACTTATTTCTGCATTTCCTACAGGGATTTTTTTTCTCATGGTAAAAGCATAGTGATACATTCTATAATGCTCACAGTCTTGCAGCATTTATACACCATCTAATATGTTCAGAAGTAGATCACACACCACATAGAAAAGGAAGAAACCTCTTCACTTCTTTTCCCCATAGATTGACTGCCTGAACAAAACAGATGGGGGGGGGGACAGAAAGAGACCAAAGAGATAGTTTCCTGGAGCAGACATCTGTTACCATTTCACAAGCATGTTCTTGGGAAGAAGCCTAACAAAAACATTAGCATTACATCATACTTCAAAAGTGGTAACATTCAAGCTCAGGAGAATTCAAGCACTATTTATCATGTTTAATTATTATTTCCAGTTCAGTCAGCTGGACAGCAAATTAATTACCTTCAGATATCAGTTGCTGCTGAACTCCCCCGGTAATGCACAGAGTGTGGTACTTGTAAGCAGAGTTGCTCCATGAGTGCGGGTTTTGCAGGACCCACTCAAAGATGTAGCACATTAATGCAAAAGTCCTCACAAATTAACCCAAAAGTCACAAATGCATCTGAGGAAGCACTCTCTGGGGGCTCACATCATCAAGATAACCAAATCCACTGCATGCAACCTCATGAGTAGTGCAGACATCTGTTAAGAATGACAATAATTTCCCCCAAGTCTTATAAAATGATAGCCACCTTTTACCTTTCTCTATGGGAAGATTCAGTCTCAGAGTAAGTAATGTCAGCTGTGCACTGGCCCACCTATGGGATGCTGGTATTTTGAGGAAATACAAGTTAAATGCAAACATGTTGTTGTGCAATAGTTACTTAGAAGCACAGACAGGTGTAGCATGGCATTTTAAGGCATCCATAAGTATTGAGCATTGGAGGGAAAGTCAATGGAAGGATGAACGATGCACATTACAGATCCACTTAATTTTTTATCCATCTGGATCTTAGTTCCTTTGAATGCAGCCTTTCAACTTCTCAACTGGAAACATTTTTACAGGTTACCATAAACACCTGGGAAACCTTTCACTTTTTGCCAGTTGTGCATTTTGAGCAAAAGCCTGTGCTAGACTGAGAAGTGAGAGGCACTCCAGCAAACTGCTCAGCAGTTTGACACTTCATTTCTATTTCTTCACGATACAAAGGACAAAAACTAATAGTTAATATTCTTCATAGCAGCTGATACGGGGCTGTGTTTTGGATTTTCGCTGAAAACAGCACTGATAACAGAAAGATATTTTCCTTATTGCTGGGCAGGGTCTACAGAGAGTCAAGACCTTTTCTGCTCCTCACCCAACCCCACCAGCAAGTGAGCTGGGGGTGTACAAATTGCTAGGAGGGGACATAGCTGGGGACCCCAACTGACCACAGGGATATTCCAGACCATATGGCATCATTCTCTGCACGTAAAGCTTGGGGAAGAAGAAGGAAGTGGGGGACATTCAGAGTGATGGAGTTTGTCTTCCCAAGTTATATGTGATGGGAGTCCTGCTTTCCTGGGGAAGGCTGAACTCCAGTCTGCCCACGGGATGCAGTGAAGGAATTTCTTGTTTTGCTTTGTTTCTGTGTGCAGCTTTTGCTTTACTTATGAAGCTGTCTTTATCTCAACCCATGACTTTTCTCATTTTTATCTTCTGATTCTCTCCTCCTATCGGGGGGAGTGAGCAAGGGGCTGAGTTTCCAGCTGGGGTTAAATTACAACATCTCTTTACAAAATATTTTTGCAAGGCAGAATGTATGTTTAACAAACCACTTATGTAAGATTATTTTGTAAAACTCCTGAGATTTTTACATCGCTAAGACTTTCAATTTACTTCTCACACCATGTTCCCCTCTTTTGGCTTGCTTTGGCTTGTATGTATTGTATTTTGCTCATCTTTGTGGAAGAGTGCTTTTCAGGGCTAGCCTCTATTTTATTGCAATGGCCTTCAAGATACTCTTTACCTTCCTTTGTTTTCCTGTAAACTACTTCACAAACAGCTGAGAGATCTTACAGTGTCTCTTAAACCTGACACTAGAATTCTGGTTAAGCTTGCCAAGATTCCTGTGTTAACAACCCTGTTTTAGTCAGGCAGGTACAGATTTTTCCATGCCTCCGCCCCTTACACACTCTATTTATTTAGTTCTTTTATGCAGATTCCTGTACCTTTCACAACGGATTGTGACTCACTTCAAATCCTCTTTGCTTTTCCTTCCCCCTCTCCACACCACGGCTGACAATATTTACTCAGTTTCTTTAGAACCTCTAAAGAGCATGAATTCTAATGTTTGAAGTTGGATCATTTTTGATTAATTAAATATATATTATGGTGGTGCCAGCAGCATGACTATAATTAAAGCTGTATTGGGGTTTTTTATTTTAATCAAAAGCTCTGATTTTCAAGTGCTCGCTCACTCCTATATGTGCTCACTCCCCATCTCTTGCTCCACATCTTTCCTCTCCTCCATCTGCGTTTGCTCCTGCACACATGCTCACCCACCCATTATCTCTCACACCTGCACTCCCAAGTGCTCACCTGTGGCAAATCTTCCTCACCTGTTAAAAGGGCAGCAGGCAAAGGGCACCCCTTCAAAAAGCAGGCTACACCCGTCCCTTCCCTGGTCCCTTCCCATTGCAGCTCCAATGCAACCTCAGGAAGGCAAAGCTGGAGGATGAAGCCACACTATGGAGAAAGGGGTGACTGTGAATACGTGGGCCAACCACCCCATGAAGGCAAACTTCAGATACCCTAGCCCCCTGAAAGACAACGTGCCCACCACCAAAGAAGCCCCTCCGCAGGCAGCACTTCTATATTTCAAGCTAAAAGACGTGTTTGGGCTGTTTGAGATATCACAAACACTAAGATGTGCCATTCCACAGTCTCTGCCACGGTGCTGTGGTGACAACTGCATTACTTGGAGCCTATTTCCTTTCTTGAAGTGCTCCAAAGAGGCTGAGCACAAAGCACTGGACGTACAGTGTTGCCCTTTACTCAAAAGCTATTCCTTCTCTCAACACCGCACAGCTTATCACAACCAACCACTGTGGCTTTTGCAAAATCCAGGCAAAAATTCAGCAGAAAATTTGTTTTTTAAAAGAAACATTCTGTATGGACAGAGAAACCAGGTGGCTAATGAAAACAAGCAGAAAATCCCTGAACATCCTTAGCGTAATCCAAACAACAGCTACTGTAAGCACATCCTAGAAAACTTAGCTCTCAAAACACAGCTGTGACCTTGTGACATGATCCATGTGAGAGAACACTCACACAACCTCACTCAAGCAGAAAGCTTTGCTGCTGTGGCTGCAGTTGTGGGCCAGAGCCTGTGTCTCTAATGTCTCAGGTCACTCAAGGGACACCATTAGTGTGAAACCATGCCAATGATAACAGATTTCTAACTAACTTGAAATACTAGTTCCCCAAACACACATGAGCAAAGCCTTTTTTGTCATATGCTCCCCTATTTCAAAAAACTTTCTAAACATCTTTCTGCACAGCGGGATACCGAAGGAAGACAAGCAGGCACACACAGGGACGACTAACGCAGGCTGAAGTTCACTGTTGTAGTGACTCCATCTGAATGGGAGAATTTCATGGAATGAAAAGCTTCAAGTGAGCAGCTACAGTGACAGCCTGCAACAACAGGGGCCCATATTCTCAGAAGAGACAACAACTAAATCATCACAAAATCCAAGGAGTACCTGTTTGCAAAAAACCAGCATTTCTTTGGACTTGTACTAAACTTCTTGCCTCTTAGTTTGTTACTCAATTACAAAAAGTACTTTCAATGTAATTGTTCAAAACGAATATGTACCTGAACATTACAGTTACGAATCTAAACAGAAGCAACATTCTGCCCTCAAGTATCAGATTATACTTTTATCTGAAAAACAGCTTAACTACATATTCATACTCATTTCTGAGAGATGTAAGACCTTTATGTACAATCTTCTGTTGTCAGTTAATGAGCAGAAGCACAGAATTATTCTGTACTTCAGAAGACAAAGCAAAACAATAGGAGATGTAGGATTGATACTGTAATAATGCATGCTAAATGTACATTCTTAGCAATATGTTTTCTTAAATGCTGCAAAGTTCTCCAACCTTTTCACAAAGCACAGTCAGGGACAGAGAGCAAGTGCAAGAAACATCTGGGTTCATTTCCTCACCCCTGGCTTCCAGACTGTCAAATTTACTTACGTTCTATCTCAAATTCTCCAAAATTTTGTTCTGTTTAAAATGTTGCAATGATTCTGTTCCTACCCAAAACACTCAAAACCCAGCAAAACCCACAACATTAACAGAACACACTAAGTCTGTTCACTGTTTTCTATACGGGTTCAAAATGCATATATGCCCTTGCTTAAAATAACTGACTGAATGCAGGCAGCTGTACAGGAGTTATTAAATACACTTTTTAGCTTTTTTCTTTTTTTTTTTGAGACAGAGCAGCAGCAAAGATAAAAAGCAAAAGAGCTCTCTACTCGAAGCTGACTTCCTGAAGGCTAAATACCTGCTTGCTGGCAGCCACGGTTTCAAAATCTAAACTCCATATCAGATATCACATGTTTCCCTTTAAAATACTTCAGTATTGATGATTCATGTAATTTTGATACACAATGGCTTTCTTTAAACTTAAGCTCCCTGAAAAATGATTACTTAGGAAGCCCAGTTTTTATTAAAGAAAATATTGATGCACAGCTTGGGATAGAAAACCTTGAAAGTAAAAACCAAGTGCAGAGCTTTTAAAATCCAGAATGCAAACAAAGCAAGAAAAAAACCCAATCCAACCTAAACCAAACTCATGATTTTATAGGGCTTCAGTCTATCAACAGAATGAAAGCATTTGTTAGCATTTTCTAAGGCAAACATTGCCAGTCACAAGCCAACAGAGCAGCCACCAGCCATTCCATCATGCTACCCAGTAACTCATTTTCCTCTTTGGGAGTTTATATCTTTTCTAGAACATGGAAATGATTTTTTTTCAGCTTGAATGCTCCCTGCAACAGCTTATTCAAAAGGTACATGTTACACAGCAGCCAAACTTGCACAAAACTCAGCTAATATTGTATTTCTGCAGCACTTATTTTATGAGTCTACATACTTTTCAGGAACGACACAGTGCTTCAGATTGTATCACTAGAGGGGCAGATAACCCCTCCCAGATCCAACCATCATTATAAGCCCATTATAAGCCTCACCTTAAAAGGGGACATAGCTAAGACTGCAGGAATAATTCTGAAGTGCTTTATAAACACTCTTGAAACAGTAAACTCGTTTTACAGATTAAGTATAGATGTTAGCTAAGTAGGACATGGGGTTGCACAAGAGTGCAATTGGTGAATTGAAATCAAGTCATCCAAGGTGGTAAGTTCTTGCCTAGTTGCAATGTCTTAATTTTACAAGATCCCTTTTTCTCAACTACTCACCTCTTGTGCAAATGACTCTGCTTTCTTCCGCAGGTTCTTTTCCAGTTCAAAGTTTACACGGAGCTCTTCATATTCCTCTACTGCCATCACAGACACTGTTTATAATAAAACAAGATCAGAAATAAAAGTCGAATGGATCAAAAGAACTAATGTTTGATAAGCTGTTATTCCCTAGTGTCATGAATCCTTGTCTGACAGTGTAACCTAGTTTTACATTTCTGCCTACACTTTGCTTTGTCCTACTTGCTCTAAACCTCATATATATGCACAATTACTGATCTGCTGAATGAAGCAATACTCCTCTATTCAGACTTAAAATCTCCAGTAACAGACACAAGGTAGCACAGACCATATTTTACCTCTTTGGGTCTAAGCAACCAAGGCCTCGAGAGAGCTTTGCTGACTCTATCAGAGACTGCTGTGTTATTTTTGAGGCATCTGTATTTGTCTGCCTGGTTTGAGTGAGGCTAGATGTGCCCCTTTACAACAGAGATTTAAAGGAGCCCCAGGAAGAAAGCAGTGCAATTTTGTGTTGCCTGTATTTAAACTGTGCTCTCAAAAGCGAGGCTCTACGGGTGGCTAAAGCTTAATCATGGACATGCTTCCCAAACCACTCTGAACAGGCTGCAGTCCAGGACAGCAAGGATCATCTGAAAGCACTCAACTGTTTATTCCTAACATGGCTCAGTGATCACCTGCAATATCTTCGTAGGCTTTAGCTCTTATTGGCTGAAGACTAGTTTGCAAGGGGATGACACTGGATTTCTAACACAGCTGTAAACAGGTTCCTTACTTTTTTGGAGATAAGCACAATACCCAATAAACAACCCACATACTTAGAAAAGCTTAAGACAAATTGAGCGCCTCTGCCTGAAATGCATTGAGTACACAGCTCCAATCCAGTGCCCCACAGACACAGGATACAGTAGGTATTGAACAGATGCTCTGGTAACTCATTTCAAGCATACAAAAAAGTCTTGCTTTATGTTGCCAGTGCATTAGGACCTAGACCTTTCCCCTTCCTTCCTGGAAAACAGGCAAATGTGAAACTAGGGGTTGTTCCTTTGATCATGCTTAGAAAAAAGAAAACATTTAAGAAACTTTTCATCTTCCACACCATCCCATCAAAATCTTTATGCTCACGTTTCATTAATGTATCTGAAGTTTGCTGTTATAGGAGTCTTCAAATATTGCCTGTCATAAGCTTAAGCAATGTAGACACATGGAAGAGATGGACACTTGGTGGAAGCTTACAGGATATGCCCTAACAGAACTTGGCCAGACTCACTGTCTTCCGCTTCAGGAAAATGTGAAACAGCCAGTTAAGACTTTTAGCCAAATAATTTTTAATTTCACGAGGCTAAATAAGGAACAAGAGAAAAGAGCACAGTAATCCAAGGCACAAAAACGTTCCCCTCCTCTCTATACTTCTTTGGGGTCAACCATTGCTCATGCAGAAGCACTCACCTTCATTAAGCAAAAGCTTTTCTTTTCTGAGCCACATCTCTTTTTACACTTTCTGATTTCCTTCCATAATTTGGAAATCTTATTTCTCACATTCTAGCACTCTAGCACCTTTTTCTCATCATCCTCTGAACATAAACCAAGTCGCTCCCAAGTCTTTAGATATTCAAAATGGTTAGCTGTGTCCCAACTGAAATGAAAACTGATATAATGTTTTAGTAAAACAGGTAACTGAGGTTCAATACTCCACCTCTTGGAAGGACTGCCTTTGCCACTGCAACTTGTGCCACACAGAAAAAATGTTTCCTATCTCATGTTAACACCTGCTATTTAAATTGTCACATTTTCCTGGAGTATGGATAGGCTAGAACAGTCCATGTGTTTATGCAGTGCCTGCAGCAGTAAGGTCGAGTGTCAGATCTGGACCACAGTCGCTGTTCTGTAACCTACTCTTCACACTACAACATTAAAGCTCTGAGGCTTCTGCAAAGGATGCAGCAAACTGTTAGAGAACCTGCTGAGACCACACACCTCTGTTACATTTCTCCAACAGTTTTTGTTGCTTATCAACTTCCGTTGTCAAAACAGCCTTTTCTTCTTTCAATTTATTCACCTAGAAAAGTAGAAAGAACACACAGAAAATAAGGGCACTTTAATCAGTGGCATAAGGCATATAGCACAGCTGTAATGCAAGCAGTATTTTGCTTTCATCGGCTGTGTTTCTTAGGTTTAGCTTGATGCTAGGGTTTCCAATGGGATGGAAAGCATTTTTACTCCACCTTGAGATGTCATAACGGATGTCATAAAAGGGTTATGAGCCAGTCCTCCCACGGCATGTTGCAGTCACAGCTGCAAATATCTTTGGAACCTTTCAGGATCAGGCACCTGGTTGAAGTTACTAGCTTGCCCTTGACTTTTTGCATTTTAATATAGTCAGACTTTTGGCTGTTTTTCCTGGGCTCTGTTTATTGTCCAAGAGCTGTCAGCTGTGTCTTTCTGAATGCAAGTCTTGCATAGACAGGAAGAGCCACTAAGTCCTGATTTGCATCAGTACATGGCTTATCCAGTTTTCAACCAGGAATGAAACTCTGCTGGCTCAAAAAGCCAATTTGCTGGTCTAACTACCATGACAGGGCACTGCCAATGGCTAAACTTAAAGATATGCTTGATGGAGTAGCACCAGTGATTAAGCTACGTGTCCTACAAAAGTATTTCTTGCACACCTACAGGTTAAAGGAAATCCAAAAAACCCCTGCAGGCTGTGATGAGCTGTCAGGAAGGGGAGGTGACAGTTACAATACGGGCATTTGAACAGATCCCACAGATGATGAAAGGTCCCGCGCCAGCAGCAGGGGCTGAGGGGGCTCTGACAGAGAAGGCTCCTTGTGGGCACACAGCCCGAGCGATCCAGCACGGGCAGGCTGGCAGGACTCACGATTAGATAGGATTCAATTAACTTCACAACTGAGCCTTTTTAGCAAAATTAGATACAAAAAGTACCGACTACACGCTAGCACGGTCTCGCCTTCCATGGTACAATACATACTTCTTCAATTACTTCTACAAGTTTGCACCTCAGGTTTTCCAGTTCAATGGCTAAGGTCTTCTTTTCCTCATGAACAGACACGACTTGATCTCGCAGCTCTGCAGTTTGAGGAAGGAAACGAAAAATATATTTTATTCAAAAACCAACAAAGGAAATGTCATAGCAATGGGAGCACGGCTGAGTACGAAACACCTAAACTGCACATCGAGCACCAGTTATAATCAAGGTACATCCTCAATAATTTATGGAATTTGCACAAGTGTCAAGTAACAGATCTATAAGAGGGCTACAGTTTCAGATTTACTCTGTTGAGGTAAGCTGCCTTGTTCAGTACTGCAGTCTTTATTTGCATCCTGAATGATTCATTTCCTGCTACAATGGGGCCAATCCTGCCACCACAGAGTGTCCTCAGTCCTACTCAGGAGACTGTCACGTCACAGAGACTCTGGTATGGAGGCAGCAGAAAGCCATTTTTAAGAGGCGTCCTTTAAAACAAATTAATGCACTTTAATTCTTTTTGGATCATGAGTTCTTGTCACAAGGGAAATAAACAAAACAACAGGCAGTTAATACTTGGGAGGTTTTCACTGAAGAAATTGTCCTGAACAGCTGCCAATTTATAGTCTTTGTAACATTATGTGAACAGAGTCAGAATAAACCTTTACTGATGGAAGAGCTAATGCTTGTAATTTTCCCCTCAGAATTTTTATTCCTTAATTATTAAAATATGAAATAAATTAAAGTCACAATGGAATAAAACATTTTATTATAATCACTTCTTAACAGGAGATCAGTTTGCATACATAATATATCAAGGTTTAGGTTAACATAAAAACACCAGAAAAAATAAAAATTTATTGATATATATTAGCTTTCAGTAAGTGCTCTCATTCCCCACCTGCTTCCAGTATTTCACAGTAGTGCCGTTCAGTGAATACCAGCCACGAGTTGGGAAAATTGTGGCTAATCAACTGCAGATGATGATGACATCCCAGATGTCATTCTGTTTGGTCTCACATCTTGACAACATTGATTCTACACCAGCATCCCCCCTCCCAGCTCAGGAGCTTCAGACTTACTGTCCCCTAAATTAAAGGCATACGCTTTCTAAAGTAAATAAAAAGACCTGTTTTCCCAGAAGATTCTGGAACCAAATAGTCCGTTTTATGGATTTGTGTTTTCCAGTAACATTAATGAGAAAAAAAGTCTCACTGAAATTATTAAATCTGGTTTTACAACACATATATCAACCTCATCGTCTAGAGAAGAAAGCATATCCACCTACTACAAAAAGCCTCAGACTTTACTACCTTATCTGTGTATCTTTACAGAAAAGTGGTGGGAGGGAAGGAATCACTCCAAGAAACATCCAAGACTTTGCTGAATGGTGAGAAGGACTTCCAAAATCCCCAACATGCCACTTTTCATTCTTTAATGAATTCTTCATCAAGATAGAAAGCAGATACACCAGAGCCTTTCTAAAATATTTCCCTAATTTGACTGCTATCCTCCTAACAGTGTCCTCCTCTGATCTGCAGCCTGTCTTTGCTTTCCTTAAAAGTATTCTTGACATCTTTCTCCAGGAATGACAGGAGGGACCTCAGAGTCTTATTTCCAATTCAGGAGGGATCACATCATTAGCTGCCGCTTTCCTACGTCTATAGGATGGAAACCGGCTTCTTAAGGATACTGTGACACCTTATTTCTTGGGTGGGACTGTTTTAAAAGCATTTTCACACTATTCGGTCTTTTTTCTCAGTGGTAATTTGTACCACTTCATTGTTGCCACTGCATTTAAATAGAAAAAATTAACAAGGTCAGGCTGAAAGTTCAGAAAAGCTGTACTTAAACATCATTTGCTACTGTAAATTGCAATCAGAAAAAATACGAAAACTTTTTTTTTTGAAGTGAAACACTCAATCGCTCTTGTCACTAAATCCAGAATGTGGGCATTCCCCTTTTTTACTGTGACACAACAGAATCACCATGATTTCATCAAAGGGACTAGAAAGGAAGGCTGATTTTGGATTGCAGAAATACAAGCTGGCTTTCAAAAAAGAACTAGATATTTCTGAAACAAAGCACAGATTTCTGTTATTAATATATTTCCATGTTCTCAAGCTTTCCTGTTTTACCCAGTACAACAGTCCCTTTTTAAGCTGCTTGTTTAGTAATAGCTCTGGAACATGAATGAAGTTTATGCATACAAAGGTGCATAATGTATACAGCAACAGTCCTCTATTACAAACTCTGAAATAGCGACAGAGCAGCTGAAGCAACACGAAAGTGATCTTGTCCTTCTGCTAAATTTACTAAGTGTCTCAGGAAATACTTCTTTTACTGACTCAGTAACACTGAACTCTGTTAGCTGTCCATCTCACTTTGCTATGGCACTGTAACTCACTTTGCAGGCTGCATATCCCCCGGGTTTGTCACACAGCATCACTGCCAGCCCACCACGTTCTTACAGTCAGGCCTGGAAATCCTTTCATTCTGACCACGTTCACAAGTGTGGCTCAGAACCAGACCACCTCTGGTACAATCCAATCCTGCTATTCTTTAGACAACTTCTGCCCTGCAGGGCGGTGTAGGATCAGCAACAATGCTCACCTTTTATTTGCTGCTGACAATGCACAGAATTGCATGACCCAGAGCTAGTTTCCGCATCTGTGGATGATTCATCTTCATCAATGTTAATCTCTTCAGTGATAATTTCTGGGCCCAGTTTTGCCATATAAATCATACTAATTCTTTTCAAGGTCTTATTTTCTTTGTTCAGCTGAAAGTTAAGAAAGACAAACAGTAAGCAGTTAGCCTGTGTTTAAGCTGTGTGAGTAAAAAAAAGTCAACTGTTTTGGTTTTTTTTTTTTCCTCTATCACTAAAAGGCCTATCAAACAAAGAAGACAAAATAACATTAGATTAAGTGTTCTATTCAAAATTAAAATGGTCTAAAGATGGGATGCTCATCCACCTCCTTCCCTCAGATAGGCTTGAATTGAACATGATGTTTTATTTGTGCCCTTCCTTCCTCTCTGGTACTTCCATTTAATAAATACTCCGTGTAGGTTCAAATCAATCAAATCACCTATCAAGCTTACTTAATGCTACACATGCTTTGTGATAGCTGATTCACCTCCTCACCCTTAAGCATGTACCACCATCAAGAGTCCCAACTGAACGACCTGAAGAAGAGTCTGTCAAAGTACTTTACTTCCAGTCGCAACAGAATTACCTCAGAATTCTTTTCAGTTATTACTGGAGAGTCAACAAGAGTAAGACGAGAGTCATATCATAAGGCAATTCTTTCTGGGTCAGACCACAAGTCAGAATGGATGCTTAAGCACATGGCTGGCTGGTGGATGATACGGAAGAGGTTCTGTAAGGCACCTGTCTTAACAAGGTGCCAGCAAACACTGAGCAGGGATTGCTGCAAATGTTTCACTCTCATTTCTTTCACTGTCCTGCATCCAGACACCCCATGGCAGCAGCTCCCTGTAAGTTTAACATGGGGGTGTTCAGGTGTATGTCAGGGTGACTGCTCACCCACCAGCCAAGCATCCCCCGTGTTCAGGTCTGAGAATGAGACTCAATTTTCTATTAATGCCATACTACGTGTCGCAGTCAACATGGACCTCAGAAGTCCAATACACACCTTTAAAGAAAACATATGCTGTACAGGTTTTTTGGCACTGAATTTTTATTTAAGCAATCATCTTTGATCCCCCTTTTCCTCAACCCCTCAACTAGGGGAGATTTACTCAAGAACTTCTTCATCTCACTGCCAAAGAACGAAACTGAGCAAGTGGGAAGGGTGGTGTGAGGGACCTTAGATGGTTTACTCAGCTCACTGCAACAAACACAGCAGCTTTCAAAAAAGAGCCCCATGGGGTAAAGTGAGTCTTTGAACTGCCCTTGTACATGCATTACAGGAAAAGTGCAGAGAAGAATGAAAGTTGCATAAATGCGTTCATTTTCTTACTTATATGCTGATTGTCTATCTTATGAATTCTAATATAGTGTCATTATGCAAACAATTAAGTAAATACCTCCAGAAAGTACATTGCTAATGCATCTAAATTAAAGTGATTTCTTGCTGGTGTGATTTTTACCATATCTAAGGATGTACTTTGGGCAGGGAAGGGGGGAGGAGGGGGGAAGAAAAAAAAAGGCAGTCAGCATTGCTAATGAAATTTGGTTTAAAATTGCTGTAATCCATTTTCTGATGAAGTGGCTCAGATGCATTTTACACAACCAAAAATATATAAGAGAGATAAAAACATTCTTTAATAATAATGCACTTCTGATGAGATGGAATATAGAAAATTACACACTTGCTAAATTCATCAGACTAGACGCAATCAACAGAGCAGTGGAGGTCACCTTTCCCCTGCCCTCGCTTTGCTTTCATAAACAATCACCTGAAATGTAATGCAGTGGTTGACTTTTTCCATTTGATTTAGATACTGAAAAGCTCATTATTGTTTTATATTTCACACAGGAGAGTTCTAAAACTTATTTTCCATTTAACCTAAAAGCATATGAAAACTAGGTATCAGGATGCTAGTCCATGAAAACAGAAACTAAACTAGAATGGGTATTCTTTTTCTTTAAAGGCAGGAATTGCATTTTTCATCTTGCATGCAGCTTTTATTTTTTTGCCATTTCAAAGATCCACAAGATTATAAAAAAAAACAAAAACAACTTACAAGGGACATGCACACAATCTCAAGTTTAAAATAAATAAATAGATCAGGTATAACAGCATAACCACGATCTCACCTTAGAAGCCAAAGCCTCAGCACTTTCACGGCACGTCTTCTCAATTTCAAGATGGTTCTGAATACAATTTACTTCCTCAATAACCATGTGAGAAACTAAGGGAAGAGTTCAAAAATTAGTCAGTATTTTCCTGCGTTTGACACATGCTTCCCATGATCAGAAACAGTACATCATTTCCTGCTAACTTTCAATGTAAGCATTTCAAATACAGGGCAGTACATACCTAGATAATCTCCACAGATGGGAACAGTCTTGAACACTGAATATTTGCTTGGTTTCTTTAAGCAACTCTCTCAAGCCGTGTCTGTAGCATTAGAGGGGCAACTGCAGAACTGAGCATACACTTCTGGAAGCAGAAGGCCAGCAGGAGCCTCCCTGACCATTCTCATTCATCATAATTTTTTCACTAGCATTTGAGGAATCAGAGTGAGACCTTTAGGACTGCCCCTTAGGATTGCCATCAGAATCCTCTTGAAAATTTGGTATGGACACCATTTTCAGAAGATTGGAACCTCGGTATTTTTAAACTGCCAGGTTAACTCAGGAGTGTTACAAAGATTCTTTTTACTTTCCAGTGTTCATGTTTGTATGGTATTTTAAATACCATCACACTTGCCAAACACACTGCACACGAAGAGCTGCGAGATGGACATTTAGCCCAGGCCTGAAGCAGGTTTACTAAGAAATGGAGAAAGGAGTTAAGTGACTGAAGCCTCCGTATTCACAGCATCTCCTACAGCATGTGCTCCAGTGAAGTCAAATCACTGCCACAGCACAGTTGCTTCACCTCATTCTACTCCGTCCCGTCCAGAGCTCCCTGCAGCAGCAGGATGGATGCAGGCCTGAGGGAAACTCAACACGGCTGGCACTGCCTGATTTTTTACAACCACAGCTGAACAACCCAAGTTACTACATGGCTGTAATGTCTGAACTGTTTCTTATTTGAAGTCTCTCTGTGCTTGAGCATGCCCTAAAATAAGCACCGTGGTTTCAGCACCTACCTTCACTGCCCACAACACAGATTCCACCACACCCTCCACACAACTGCCCCTGAGGCCAGGGCCAAGACCCAGCTGTCTGACGGTGTCTGAAACACACGGCTCTGCTACCACATTTGATGTCACAGCTGCAGAAGCAAGGGAGACATCTGCACTGATGGAATCCCCATTACAACAGTGGGTACATTTCAGTCTGTCAAAGACAGGCAGTATTCTTAGAGTGACCAAAGGGTTATGGAATAAATCTTATTTTCTAACATAGGATACCAACATGAGTTAGAGGAAATTTAAAAGTACAAATATGCTTTGGCTTGCAATTCCACTCAACTTCCAGCACTACGAAGGTACTTTACCAGTGCTGAAAGCCTTTTTCTAAGGGACAAGCTTAAAGTTGCACAGGAGAGCAAAGCAGAAAACCCAGGAATAGTTTTCCATTTCTCAGGCTAGCACCTTTCTAACTGATGCAATTCCCCCTTGGCTCCTCGCACCCTCATCCATCCCAACCAACAGCCTGGACCCTAATTCTTGAAGTCATTAAACGGCACAGACTCCTTCTCAGCCCAGTGCCAGGATTTCAATGCACAGAAAGGAGTATCTGCAGCTGAACAATACTTTGGAGCAGGAACAAGGCTGGAAGAATACAATGTGAATACAGAGCACTTTACTAGTACGTCCTTTTATTTTCATCAAGATAAGCTTTAAAACATAGTGATTTTATACCACTGGGTAGAAAATCCCCCTTGCCCTTTTCCCAGAGTTTTGCCTAAATACTGAAGAGGGATATTTAAGTCCTCTTTGATAAGACAGAGGTCATCTTAATGACAACAAAACAGAACTTCAGGACAGAAAAAAGCAGGCCATTAAGAAGTGTTATTTACGCAGCTTTATACTAGTGTCAGCTAAAGTTTTCATTATTAAAGTTTCATCAGTACCATAGGAAAACAGCAGCACATTGGTTTGTTGAGTAGCTGCATGAAAGAAACAGGTTTTACAAAATATGAGCAGACAAAAAAAAAAAAAAAAAAAAAAAAAAGGCAGGGCAGAGTATAAGAAATCTTGGTCCAAAAACTACATTCACATGAAGTCTTCTAACAGCAGAGCAACCATATCTCTTTCTTTTTATTTCCATTTTTCCTGACTTTGGAGAATTTATCTGCTCCAAGTGTGTCATATCAGCTGCTACATTTAATTTGAGAGAGGAAAAGTTTCAGATAGTACATGTTCATATCTCTTCTGATATTTTTCTACCTAGCTCTAAGAACTTGGAGCAATGAGATGCTTTGGGCTGGATGAGGGAACAGTGGAGATAGAGAGTTGCTCCCATTTCACAGACAGGAATCTAATGGCCTCAAGCAAGGCTAAAGTTAGGAAACAAGGACTGGGCTCACATGGCAGAACTAGGGATTACTCTTGGTTCATTTAAACTTAATTAACCTGCAATTATGATTAACTCAGGGGAAAAAGTCTTTCCAAATTAAATACAAAAAATATATTATTTCCTAAGTCTGTCTAAAGTTCTTATTATGTCAATATTAATATTCATAAAGCAGCACTAAGTGGCCTGAAACATCTCTAACCTTGACAGTTTTTTTCAGGGGTAATAATAATCCGCAGCAAATGCAGGCCAACCAAAAACCACTTAACTAATTAGTAGTTGCAGTCACTGAGAAAACATGAATCAACACTGTTATTACAAGTGGCACATTTGAGTGGCATCTAATTATGACTTGATGAGCACGATACTTGCATTATCAACATTACTACTGCATCCCATCAGGGACTAAAAGCCGCTGATGGCATTGACTGCGAGAAACTCCCACTCAATGGTACTGCAGCACCCAACAATCTCCTTGGCAGGGGCACCCTCACTAAATGACATGTTAAGCGTAATTACTGGTAGACATTGTAAATAAACAGGATTGGAAGTGAAAATTGTACCAAGTGCATAAGACACAATCTGACACATTGGAAGTGGCAGCCTTAATTGAGAGTTTCTTTGACTGCTCAAGATCATTTCAACTGCATTTCTCGGAGGACAGTGATTATAACTGTGGAGACAGACGGCATAATGGTATCAGCACTGCTGACAGAGCAGTGAATTAAATTGTATCTGCTGTTGTGTGAAAGCCTTGATGAGAGGTACAGATCCTTAGTGGTCTTATCATTATAACACAATGGTCATGTTGTCATCAACCTTGCTGGCTCCAATTGAAAAGAAATGATTGTGTGTTGAAGCTTTCCCCCCCACCACCACCTTCTATCTCTTGTGCTCAATAGAACCAATTTTGAGAGAGCTATGAAATCACGCAATAGGGCCTAAAATGCAGCTGCTTGGCATACAAACGGGGCCCCATTAAACTGGAATCACACACAATATGTGTTTATGCCAGGAGAACAAATAGAAGCTGAGTACAGGCCAAGTTTATTCACAGACACAAAGCCAATGTAGCTCTTCATCAATATAATTGCCTTTTATATTGTCGTTTAAATAATGGGCTCTATTATTGCTTTAAAATCCTAATATTCCTGGCATTTTATCACTATGTTTACAAGGTATGTCCTTTAAAAATGTGAAAGGAAGATAAAAGAAACCTATAAAATCTTACATCATCAAATATTACTTCGAATTTGAAGTCTTAAGTACTTGACATTTTCTGCCACACTCCAGTATTCCTCATATCATAACAAAAACAAAACAGACAGCAGTTTTTTTCCAGAGAAATTATACTTCTTAGAGAACATTCTTGCTTCACAGAACAATTATCTAAGATCATTTAAGGCAGTAGATAATTCCTGTTGATTTTAGATTATCTTCCATAATTGTATCATATGAACCATTATAAAACTGAAGTGAGCAAATTCCTCTATTAACACAGTCACACAAAAGTACAGACCATGTGATTGCCTTCTCCTGCATTAACTTCATCCACATTTCTGATGCTTCATCGTGCAGTTCACCATACTGGCACAAACCAGACATAACAGACCACAGTCCTATTGTAATTGTCTCTTCTAAGGAGCTATTCCACCAGGATACTTCCACTCCCATTAGATGTGCTTTGTTGCCTCCAGACACCATACGGTTTCAATAGAACCATCACCATAAAAGTGTAAAACTGAGTATTGACGTTCTCACAGCCCAGACAAGATATAACTTGCTCTAAAAATTATCAGGAGAGAGCAGTTCCTCCTAAAAACCTTTACTGGTGTGTCTGTGCTTAATGTACTTTTACTCCTTCATGGAAAAAAAGCCATTATTATTATTATTATGATTAATTTCAGCAACAGTATCAAATTCCATTCACTCCAAGCACGTATCATTCCAAAAGTCATTTGCAGGATCCAGGTGAATAGAGACATACCTGTACCCCTGTATTTTCACCATTTTGCACCTTGAGATGACTACCTGTGTTACAGTACAAATGCTGTAACAGTAGTTAGTCTGACAATGGCCAAAGTCTCACTGAAATAGCTCCTTAAAACACAGCCTTGAAGGGGAAACAGCAAAGTGGACTCGAATCTCAGCATTAACACCACTGTAGAGAAAGCCTGTTCCTAAACTGACTATATCGAGAAAATCCCACTAACATCATCAGCTTACTTTTCTGAAACTCCTCCAGTTTTTTGACAGCCTCATCTCGTTCTTGCTTGATTTTGTCACACTGTAGGAGAAAGAGAAAACTGAAATAAAATACTGATCCCAGTTATTTAATTAGCAGTCAGTCACAACATGCAAAATCAACAAAGATCAATTGCCTGCACAATAAGGTTCAGAAGCCCATCTAAGAATCATTTCTCTTTCTTCTCAGTCATATAAGATCAATGAATATTATGCATAAAAAATTCCTAACCAAACTGGCAAGTTGTACTTGATTTTAGGTTCCAATTCAGAGCTACTCCAAAGATATTTCAGGAGAGACACATTATCCAAAATTGATATAAACAGTCATTACACCAACAGTAAAAGCTCCTTGCATGCTTTAAGTCTAGTTTCTTTAATACAGATAGACTCGGAAAAGAGGCCTACATTACCTACCGTGTGCAAGGAAAACCTCAAGCCAATAAACAGGGACATGCTGTTTATTTTCATAACATTACAAGCAAAGCTTCAGCCTTGTAGAGGGGAAGACACTAATTTTTATGCTTTAAGAATTTCCCACCACCTCAATTTTATTAATTTTGGGGTTAATGTTAACACTGCACAGGGCTGCAATCAGTGATCTTATGATGGAAAGCTTTCTTCAAAGAGAAAGAATAAAACAGATGTTAAATAGACTTCTCTAAGAAAACCCCTTTGATAAGTAAATGAAAGAACTCAAAGACATGAGTAAACTTCAGGAGAGGGACAGTCAGTGATTAACCACAGTGTGAAAAACACATGACCCAAGGAGAAGTATGACTGGCACACAACGTGTCTGACACACACGGCGTACCAGACATCCTTCCTCACATGCAGCTGTGCATGTTCACAGCAATAAATACACGTACCACCAGGAGTTAACTTATGGAACAGATCTGTGTGACTGAGCTCCTTACAGTGCAACTCCAATTACAAGGATACTGGCTACTGGAACAGAACTGGGAAGAAAAAAACAAAACCCTGAAATGATTTTGCTCGATTTTCAGTTTTTCCACATGAGGAGCCACTTTGAGTTTGCAGGAAAAGGAGCTTGCTGTTAAGTAACAAGAGGGGGGAGAGCCCAATTCAAAGGCAGCCAAATTCAAGAGAACCCTTCTATGGGCTCTGGAGGACCCTGGCCAAGGCCCAGAGAAGGATCTGCTCTTGGGCAAGGCGAGGATGCCATTGGTGTCACCGCAGGGGCAGCCTCCACAGAGCTGATGGCTACCTGGGGGAGGAAAAGCGGCTGCACCCAGCAAGCAATCTCTCTTCTCGTGGCACTGGGGGGATGAGGCAAAGGACAGGGGCTGAGCAGGGGGGACAGGTCAGTCACCAGCTGCTGTAAGATCTGTGAGACAAGGCAGAGCTGCAGAAGGAGCAGGACGTGCCAAGCAAGCTGTGCTGGACGAGGACTCACCGTTTCATGTGGCCCTGTTAACAAAGAAGCTGTTCAGAGAATCCTACACAGGAGAGGTGAGGAAGGGAAATCTGTGCATGACTCCTGCTGCTCACTGCCCTCCCTCTCAGTTTCCTCAGCAAAAATTTGTGTCACCTTACTGGAGAAGTGAAGTCTAAGAACGGAAGGCAGTGAAAGACAGGGGTAGTATTTCTGACTGTTCCTGCAGAGCACAATTCTGCTGCAAGAGGGGGATCAGTGTGAGCCGCTGCCTCTTCGTATTTTACAGAAAAACACTGTGGCCATGCTGGCATACTTCACCCATGGATTTTTCTGCATGCTGCAAGCTTTCAGCCCACTGCACATTAAGGGAGCAAATGCCTTTAATGCTCAGTTTAGAAACCAGGAAGATTAGCATTTTGAGGATCTGATCTGTTGCCTATGGAAGTCAATGAGACTTTTCTACTGACAGAAACCTTGACGTAGAGGACATAGTATACTCCCTATCCCAACGACAGGAAAAACTCCTTTTAAAATTCACCAGCAACAGCTTTCCCTGTGCAGTGAAAGGGGAAGTTAAATGACCTATTCCACTTCACCTCAAGTGCTATTTGCAGAGAGAGCTCCATTTGGACCACGGCAAGCTGACTGTTCTCATAACTGTGACATTTCTCTGCACAATCAGGGTCTCTAGGTTTGGGTCTCTGCAGAGCAATTCCTGCTCCCACTTGCAGCTTTCTCAATATTTTCCTTTTGCTGCTACCGTGCTTCGGAATGAAAGAGGAGGAAGAAAAGGAGAGCGGGAGAATGCTGCCCTTGCTGAAATGATCAATGGAAAGCACTTTGCCTTCTGTCTTGCAATCAGAGCCGTGCAAGCAGAGCTGTTACAGGTCCTTAAAAAAAAAAAAAACAACAAAAAAACAAACCCTAGTTTATCTCCTAATAATTAGAAAAAGTTAAGATTGAAAGAGTACAAGTAGTTAAAGGCAGACTAGAAGGTTACGCAAAAAAAAAGCCTGTAAACTGAGTTTCATAATAAAATTATTGTCACCCTTTAAAATAAATTGACCTTACTTTAAAACAAATAAGTTTCAAAATATCGAAGTTTAGAAGTGTGAGCTGTACACAAAAAGCTGCACAGACACCTTCAAAGTTCACACCAACTCCATTTCTCAAAAGAGAAATCTGAGGCATATACAGTACAACTGTTAATTGATAAAAGTATAAGTAATCCTAAATAATAAAAGGCAAATAGTATAACATTACTATAAAATCTGCTGTTCGCTTTTCACATTCAAGCACATGTAACTGCTGAAGAGAAGTTTCCCTTGTCAGTATTAAGGGATAGCTCCATACTCAAGAGTACTCTCAAATAAAAATAAAGAATTCTGTAACTCCTGGATTGTTTGTCAATTTTCTTTTTTTAAACTTCATTTTGTTAGGAGTTCCAGCTTCTCTGCAAAGGAAAACAAGCATTTGTTCAATATCATTTAGTATATTTTTAATCTAATATTTATACTACCATTATCCCACTTGAAAAAACTCAAAGGAAACCGGAAATATTCCACTCCTGAACTAGCTACAGGTTTCAACGATAATCTCTTAGCAATTAAGAGATGTTGCATTTGTATTTTTAAAAACAAATCCAGTAGCCATTCATTCTGTGAATAACTCCATACAATTGTTCATCTTTGCAGGCACAAGTTCAGAGGATCTGTCGATCCCGCTCCATTTCAGATTTTTGCCTTCAAGGCCCCAAAGCCACGAGGCAGCACCTTACTTTCTAGCACAGAGAACTGACATGCTGATTAATTACAAGTAAACCATGTACACATCAAAGATCAGTGTTCAAACCAGATACTGCCTATGTAGACAGTAATTAACATTACCTCAGCCTGTACTGGGGGCGAGAACAACACCAGGACAGCACCACATCATCCCAGCAACCTGATACTGGAGTGTGAGGATGGGAAGCTGATGCACTCAACCAGCTGGAAGCCACACACCCACTCCCACCAGCCTTATGATTCTTTGCCACTAATTCCAGGGAGGCCTGGGTTTCTTGTCTATTCTTTACTAACAGGCTTCTTTTTTTGCCAACTATTTTGCACATAAGCTCCTACTGACTTCAGTAAAAGGCCTTCAAAGGGCAAAAACAAGAAGGAGATTGTTCAGTCCAGATACTGGGATGCAAGAAGTTCACGTAGTAGTCATATAGTCAATCAAGCCATTGCTAAGCAACACAAGACACAATTCTTTCCCGTTTACACAGATTGTGAAATTTATGCAGATTTAATGCTTGTTCTAAAATTATGAGTTTGGTACAGTGCTCACAAGTATCCAATGACATTTGCTATACTCTACTTACAGAAACAATGAGCATGTCATCAAGGCAGAATCCCTTTCCCATTCCCATTTGGTGACAAAACATATAATCCACTCTATACATGTGCTTTAACAGAGCAAACATCATGAATGATGTATCAGAGATACGGTATTACACCTACTGTTTTGGATAGCTGTCTTGCTTTTTTTCCCCCTATTGGCAGCCTGACAAAACACTGTCAAAACCAGCGTTCAGAGTCATTTCTGTCTGATTAGCAAGTAGTCAAATATTTATTCATGATCTGACTCTGAATATGTCAGAACTGCATATTAAGTTACCCATATTTGTGTGCAACTGAACGTTAGTTATCTATTTTTGGGGGACTGGTATGCGTGTTCAGTCAGCGACTTCAACAAAAAAGGTGACCTAAGAGACATAATCTGCCAATATCATTTTTGCTTCAGTTTCTGAAAGTACTTAAAAATGTTAATGAAAAAAATGTCTGTGGCAATATTGTCAGAGACCCCACCAGTGGTCTTCACGTTGGCAGTTTCTCAAGGCAATGAGGAAGAGACACCATGGATCAAAGATCTTGCATTCTGCTCCTGAATTTTCATGTCTATTAGCATCCTTTTAAAGCAGTAGTGCTTTGAACAAAGTAACCTACATAAAAGTCAATTTACTTTCTAATCTTAAGAAAAAAATATGAAACAAAGAGCATAGATTTTCAAAAATTAAAATTTTATCTTAAGTTAGCTGTCCATTATCCACCAAGTTCCATGTGACTAACAGGAACTAGGCTAATTTCTGCACACACAGCTCATCTCTCAAAGCCATACGGTTGCAGCAGTGACTTAGAAAAATCTCCCACCAACTTTGTCAAAAGCACATACACACAGACAGCTATCTAACTCCTGTGTGGTACTTTCCACAAATAGTCTGCAAGTCACCTTCTAAAAAAATTAATTTCTCTTCTCTTTGTCCTGATACAAAGGGAGCCTTTTCTTCTGAACACTTCTTCTGAATAGTGAAAATAGAGGACAGATTTCCCAGGCTATCTGAGACTGGTGTAGAACAGCATAACTGGAATGCAGCCAGAAGCCCAGCGAAGAAGACAAGGAGGTCAGAGGGTAGGAGGGAGTGAGGCACAGCATGCTGACCTCAGTGGAAATACATGGAATCACTGCTCCATCATAACTGAAGGCAGGTTTCAAGTTTTCTTTAGTAATGAGAAAGTAGTTAAGGACAAGGCCTTCTCAACACAGTCTTGAATTGCACCATTTATAACTGGACTAAAAATGACCCTTCCAAAATTACTTCAGAAAAAGCAAAATTAAAGCTACATGCCTTGGCAGCTAACAGGGATTTGAAAACTAACAGGTGTCTTCTATCTTTAGCTCACTAATACTGAAGAAAGGAGAATTTTGTTTACAATACAGTGTAGCACTGACTTACTCCTCTGCATTCCTCCTGATAAGAGGCTCTCAGCGACCACAGTTCCTTTCGGAAGGTTATCTGCAAAAAAACCTTTTGCACACTGACATGGATTTTTGCAATGCAGCACTGTCATCACATCTCTCCCAGAGTCCTCTGCTCCCAATGGCTTCCTCTCAGGAAGCAGGTACGTCAAATGAGATCCCTCACCAAAGAGACACCTTACCAAATGTGCTTAATTTTAGTATTAGAAGGACAGTTCAGCGTAACTACAATGAGCAATCTAGGAAGCAGGCATTGTTTCTTACTCCAGTATCTCTGAACATAAAAAAATGAAGCTTGCACTAATGTATGAAGTTCAGATCATACAATCAAAGTTTCTTTTCAAGCTGGACAGGCACACAGATGTCACAGAAAGATGTGTGATATCCTGAGAATTCATTTTATGCTGCAGTACCATTCTGCAAGTTAGGACATCTTGCTCTCCTATTAAAAACTGGGTGAGATTTGAAGGAGGAATGGGAAGGGGAAGATTTTAAATACCTTTAGAAATCATATTCCTACATTCTGTATCTTCAGAAGGGCTGGGTAAGGGAAGTTGTTCTATTTTTTCTTTTCAGCAAGTCCGTCCCTTGTGCAAATCAAGTCGTAATAAATAAAGCTTTAGATCCAAGAGAAACAATTTTATCTAAACACATGAGTTGGTCTGTGCTCACACTGTAATCACAGCAAAGTGGGTAGAGCAGCCATCACTTAAAATATATTTATACAAACCTTTCTGGAGTGGGACAGCCAGAATAGGTGTGGGAGTTGCACTTATTGTTCCTTAAAACATACAGGTACAAGTAATGCTTATTACTAGTAAGTATCAGTGAACTCAAAAAAGTAGACAACAACCTGCCATAGTCAACAAGATACTCTGATATTTAGCATTTTAGTATTAAATGAATAATTGTTATATATACAAACCTCTTCTTTCGTTTTCTTATTTTCTGCTCTAAGCTCTTCATATTCACCAATAGCTGTACAAGAAAAAAAAAAAGAGTTAATATAGCAGCACCTCTTCCCAAATTAGCTCTCCACTTCATTAAATTGAAAACTCTTCTGTGTGCTTACACAGACTTCTTAAATAACATGGGTCATAAACTTCATTAACAGCCTATTAATGGCCTATGAACTGGATATCCTTCTAGAATTGAAGCAATTAGAAAGTGTCTGAAAAAGATGGTAGCTCCCAAAACAATCAATTTTTGATCAATGTAGAGTTAAACAATCTCATTGATTGAGTTCAAAAATACAAGGTGAATATACTGGTTTGCAGTCACCATTTTAATCCCACACTGGTTCAGGTTACAGATCAATGCCAGAAAACACAGTTAATGCCATACATAGGTACCTCCAGAGTAGCTGAGCACCTTTCTGTATTTATTTGTTTATTAACATTTTCTTCCAACAGGAGTCCTATGAAAGGTATTTTTTGTCTTTAAACTCCCCATGGAGACAAGAAGAGATTGTACGATTTGCCCAAGATCACAAGAGCTCAGCTGCAGGGATCAGCAGAAAAGGGATCAACCCCCAGGATTCTGGGAGGCCACTGTTTCAACCCAGTAAATAATGTGCAGAAACAATCTATCAGCTACCAATTAAACTTTCAGTTTACTGCATATTTTTGTGTGCCCCTCGTAAACCTTTCATTTTACTGCCTCAGGGATGTGCCATCATTGCCACAACTTCCCAATTCCATTCTTATTTCAGTGTGTCCCACATGGGCTGTTCGGCCTTCGAGACCATACAAATTTTATTGTCACCAGAAAGAAGGTGAATACACCTCCAAACTTAGAGAAACAAACTCTTCTAGAAAGGAACACTGGTCGGTCTTCAAGACATACTGCAAGAGTGGAACGAAGGGACTGTTGACATCACTACGGATCTTATTCCAGTCCCTCGGCATCTCCTCAAATTTTGCCCTGTACCTAGCAGAAGCTATACTAGCATACAGGATTTCAAGCTAATTTAAACTGGATAAAGGGTATGAATAGATAGTTTTCAGCTGTTAATATCAGAGATGTTAGAGTTTCCTCTTGACATGTCTTACCCTACATCTGAAGACATGAACACGTAGACTGCTAGATCAGCCACCTGAAAACCTACTACCTCTTTCTAGCTTTAGACAGTTAAACTTCTTCAAACAAGAAGCTCGTACAAAGTTACATTTACACTGCTGTGACAGCCCTCTCTCCCCTCCCCAGCATTTCAAAATCTCCTGAAAAAAAATTAATTCAACTCACTCCTAAAGGTGAGGTCTGGCATCACTGTTCTGCTTGCCTTCAGCATGCAGCAGCACACAAGTACCTCAGAGGTAAAACCTCAAATTAGCCTAATTTCTCTCTTCTTCAAGATCACATCATTTTAGAGATGAAGTCTGGGATACAGGCAGCAGAATTAGCTTCTGGCTAGCAACTCAAAACAGGACTCTGCTCCCTGTGTGCCCTGACCAGCAATGGGGTCACGACAAGACCCTGCTGACTGTATTAGCTAGAAAGAGAATACAGGAATGACAGAAATCTCTCAGCCAGAATCTCAGCTCTGCTGTGACCGACCCATGTAGAAAAATTTCTAGGCTCTCCAAGAAAAAAAAAGTTAAATAAAAAAGCTTAAAGTGAAGTCCACGTGCAAACTCACAAGAAAACTGTTAAATCAAAGAGATGGAAAAAATCCTCACTCCTGCTCATCCAAGTAAAAAGGGAAATCTAAAGAGTTGAACAAACAAAATCAGGTTTCTTAAAATTGTGCCCTGCATCCCTGCACCAGTAAAACCAAGGTCTCCTACCCATCCCTTTACTTGCCCCCACTTCTCATCTACCAAATTTCCTGCCCACCTCCCATACTCAGGAAACAGAAGAAAAAACACAACAGGCAGATGAACAGGCAAGAAACCATGCTGCTGCATTGCTCCAAGACAGAGCAGCTACAGTGAAATAACATGTTTCCTACTCAGGAACGCAAAGCTAAGCCTCCTGATCACTGTTCCACTTTCAAATCATTTCCCTGTTCCCTGGAGGAAAGCAAGAAAAGAGATTTCTAGCATCCAGATGCAAAAAAAGGAATGAAAACTGTTATTGACAGATACAATTCAAGTTTCTTCATACTTGAAAACTGCTACTGTTTGCTCACCTTTAAGGCAAACTCATACTTGCTATTCGATACTTTATAAATGACTGAAAAATATAGATTTGCCATGCCTTTAATAGCTCTCTTCACATGCTCCCGGAACAGAGGACTCTGAATCATGAGCCCTTAAGGCATGGATACAAGAACAAGCTACCAGAAACAAGAATACTTACACAACAGTCCAAAATTCCCCAGTAAGGGCTCACCTGGGTGAGACTGGGAATTAAACTGCCTGTTCAGGGCAGCCCTTCCCTCTCTCACTGCGGATCCACAGCAGGTTTGTCGTGGAATGCAAACAGAAACTCAGCAGCCACTTCATGCTGCACTCACACACTTTCTTCAGTGCCTTTTTACTGTGCCCACCCCCTCACTGTCACTGCAAAACTTTAGTTCTTCCTTGAATACAGCTAATGCATAGTAAGGATCTGGTATCTTAAAATCAGGTTGTTCATCCTGGATGGCAACCCCATCTGCTGTGGATCAGATTCTCTGCAAAGGCAGAAGTTGAAAGTTGGTGGATTTTATTTTTTTAACATTGGGGGTGGGGGTTGTTGGGAAGTTTTGATATGAAGTTTTTCAGGTGTTTAATGTACAATGAAGTTTTGAGGCCATCTAAAAAAAAAGGCCTACATACATAATCTTCACTGAAGCACCAAAGGGCATAAAGGAAACAACGATCTCTTTGCTCTAGAACTGACTAGAACAGTCAGTAACTGGAGGAATATAAGGCAACAGCTCACATGGTCCAAATGCCATACAGACTATTTAGCCTTAAAACCCCTCTTTGGTAGATTAGGAGGTATCATTACCACTCTTTATAGATTGACAAGCAACAAATCCTTTTGTACAAGGACTTCCCTAAACTTTCTCCAAGAGATAGAACTCCTTCTCCTTAATCTATGAAGGCACTCACACAATATACGTGACAACTTCTTCACCTGAGCAACTGAAAACTTCTTACATGTCATCCTGACTCATTCAGATTATGCTCTATATAATTTATCCTGGAATAAAGACATCTCTTCACATTTGTAGTGAATGAAACAAACAAGTGAAGACACTTCACTAAAGGTGCTACTAAAATTCCAGAACTATATATCATTTTCTTAAAGAATCAATATTGTAGCATATGTTGGTAGTAAAATGCCCATGTTGAACTCATTAGTCCCCAGTGAATCCTGAAAAACTGTAACAAATATGTATGAGAGATCTCTTGGGATACTGTTGCTGTCTGACACTAACTTTATCCGTAGTAGAATAATTCCTGATATACAGCAGTATGATATATACAATTTATTAGGACACAAATCGCATTTTTCTGCTTCAGGCTATCTTTACACAGTACGAGGGCAACACTACAACTTCGAGACTAAGGAGAGAAGAAAGCTGGGAAAAGGAGAAAATAACCGAATATTTTGGGCTACAGCTCTTAACCCACCCCAAACATGTCCCCAGCCAACCCTGCTCTTTCTTACAGTAAAACAATAAAACCCCAAAACAGCCAACACGAGGGAACACAGCATGTTCCTTTACAACAACCACACATTCACCAACTTCTCACTCCACAGCTCAGTTGGCCAGAGGGGACTGTCCTGTGAACAGTATCAATGCACTTTATCTGCACTAAATTAAGTACGCAACTTTGTATGCGGAAGCTCCTTTAATTAAAACTTAGTCTTTGAATTTTATTTGTGAATCTGTGTCTCCTGAACCAGGATTTGCTACCAAAAGAAAAGTATTACCTAAATTAGATGTTTTATGTATTAGATATTTACTATGGCTAAAAAGCACTTATTAGTAAAACAAGGTCATAAGGGTAAAAGTATGTAATGACTATAATTCATAGTGAACAACGGAAAAGACTCCTCCATTTGCACAGAGCGAGATGGTGAGACTCTTCCTACTCTTTTTATTGAAAAATTAATCAACCCCTTTTCCAAAGCTGTACATTAAAAAACAGAAATTCAAGGAAAAAAAAACAACACCACAAACTTTAAAAATGCTACATGCATATACCTTAGCATTTATGTTGCAAATCAGGGTGGCCTTTGAGTAGACTGAGAGCCCTTCCATGCCAAATCAATAAGTAATGCCACTTCAGCATTTCAAACCTACTTATTTAATCAAAAAGTAAGTAGAGCTGTCAAAGGAAGCAAGTGTCATTCCACTGCTTATACATCTAGACTATGGACCAGGCATGTATTTACTGGTAGAGGCAGGAGAAAGAGCTTACAGTGCAAGAAGTCCTCTGCTCCAAATGAAACAAGCTATTCTAATTAAGTCATTTTTTTGTTGGTAGAAGTAAACTAACACCTGGCTTTTTGGATGTATCATTAGAGACATAATTACCCCTGTCAGAACCAGAAGCTTTAATGGAATTGCTGCCACCACATTCCTCCTCCCAGTGTACTTGGAGCAGGAAGAATGAGGCCAAATGTCTCTCAAACAGGTCACCCTAGAAGCACAGTATGCACAAGATCTGTGAAGGGCTGTCAAGAGGATAAACAAAAGCCAAAAGGGATGAATTTTTCTCTTGTTCCCCATTTTAGGCTCAAGGATCCCTTTTGCCCAGACAATCTCAACTTCAACAGGATGTGGTACAGCACCAGCCACGTGCAAACTACTTCAAACTGATGCCTGGGCAGCATTTTTAACTCCTCCTTCTGCAAAGGTGAATCTATGTGATGGTGTTATACTCCTTACTTTACAGTGACTCCAAATCTTGACTCACAGTATATAAACCTATTATCAGGCCTAAAGCTTACGTGGACAAACCAAGCTTTTGCTCACAAATTACCAGCTGAAACCTACACAGCTCAACTACCAAACAGCCCTTAAAAACAAACAAATAAAAATCACCTGTGTAAATATACAAAGGTAAGTGTTAAGTACAATTCCTGTCAGTCGGACCCTGCGCCTATGTTCGCATATGCTTTGGTTTTACTCAAATCTAGGAAAGAGTGTACAAATAAATTTTTTTAATGAGACCCCAAATTTGCAACCTGCAGTCTTACAGCTTCCTGGAAACTGGGCAGAAGAACTAAACACACCACTGCCTGATAAAGCCCAACCACCTAAGTTCACACCAAAAGATTTGCCTTTGTGAGTTTCTGAAAACCAGACATGGTTCAACACAAGAAACTGAAGCAGGAAAAACATTCCACAGTAATATATGAAGAAAACACTCCAGCAGGATGGGCTCTGCTGGGGAAGGATGGCTGCTGTGTATGAACATATACAGACACGTACACTGGAAAAAATCTGCAGAGCAGAGGCCTACAAAGGGGAGCACAGCAGCCAACAAGGTGTCCTAGGAAATTCCTCTGGCCATAAAAATTACCCACCTGCCACAAAGAAAAATAAATTTACCAAATCACATTAAGAGCTTGTCAATAGCATATTCCTAAATAGTACTACTCTGAGATATTGCTGTCAGATTGTCAGTCTGCTCTGTTCCTTAAAAGATATATGATATTCCCTTATTCAAAGGTTCTGACATTCTAAAAAAAGTTTTAAGATCAAATAGATCTTAATTAAAACAAAAAACCCACAAAAACAAACAAACGAACAACACATATAGAGTCACAATGTTTGGGACTAGGGACTAGAGACTGGAAATCATCACACTTCGTCAAATTCAACCAGCAAACACAGAGCAAGACTAGACCTTTCAGACTTATTAAAAAAATCCAGGCAATATAAACTTGTTCAGTATATACGTAGTTATCAATAGTTGTTAACCACTGTAATGTAGCAAAATGACCAGAAATGTGACTATGACAGTGGCATTGCTGAAGTGCAATTTTACCTAGTTTATAACTCCAGGAATTTTGGTTGCTGACTGCTGTTTTCGACTGAACAGAAAAGCAACTATGTCAGAAGGTAACTGTCTTTAAGGGCAAAGTACCTACAGTGCCAATAAAACCAAAGAGAAACAAGGCAATCTTTCAGGCAGGTAATCAACTACTGTTATGATTCAGCCGTTGGTCAAGTTTGCTACAACTCCACAGGTTCTACAAACAACCACTAATAATACAAGATTTTGCCCAGTTGATTTGGTTTTGGTTTTGTTTCGATTTTAAGTCTCACCCATAGGAATTATAAGGGCCAGTTGAACAGAAGTGTGCACCATTGGAATTACCACTTCGAGTTAGGTAATAGTAATATTTATAGTGGATCTGCTTTATTAAACCAAGCCATCTCTGAAAACTATTTGAGGATTAAAACTCGAGCAACACTTTTAAGTCCTAAATATCAACACAGAGATCATGTTCCTTTGTGGTGCTCACCTTAAACTTGGTAATGGAGGAGGCTGAAGAATGATCAGTATCAGGTATCCGAGTCTAACACACAGGACTTGGAAAATTCAGCACGGGTGAGAGATAAGCATATCTTGCACACAGAGCTTCAGTGTCCCTGTTGCCATTCAGAGCTCTGCCAAACAGCCAAGTGAACTTGCCCAAGCCCCAGACATCTTCACAGCTGCCACTGAGAACGGAGCGGGCGGCTACAAAACACTGCCTCGGGTTCAATCCACCGCCCTTGTTTAGGAAGAGTATGAGCAGCAGTGGGGATGTGACAGCAGCCAGCCACCTACACTGCTCTTTGCTTCCCCTCCACCTTCTGCATCACTTCTCAGACAGTTCATTTACCTGGTGTCAGGCAGGTTTCTCAAGACTAGAAAAACACATCCTGAGAGAGAAACCAAACAAGGGCTACTGAAAGAATGTTCTCTGAAACCCCTCCAAATCAATTTGTGTCTTTCAAAAATCTGACTACAGACCATAATGCTACAGTAATCTGAAGCCATACACCACTCTAAATGCAATAAGATAAGACAAGTAAGTATTCATTACCCCAAATATTCAGCGACAGCAGATCCTTCCACCAACCATATCTATTTCCAAAATAATACTGTTATCTACATCTGGAAGCAATAAAAAGGAAAATAAAGACTTTCTCACCTCCTCTTTTCATGCTCCATCTGTTTAACAGACCACCCTAAACTTACTTGAGGCAAGTTGGCAGTATCTAAAATAGTCTTGGTTTGTTATCAGTAAGAATGGAGAGGACATTATCTATTCAAACTTACAGCATATAAAGACTAAGCAAATTTACTTACCTATAGTAACAATATTTAGTTCATTACTGTTAGAATAATTTTATGCATCTCATTAACTTTTAATTACTCAGATTTTTTACTTTGGGCTCCTCAGACTTGTCAGTTAACACAATTTAACTATTAATTTAACTATGTGTGCTACCATATTTTTTGTATAGTTTTAGATGCAAAACAGGATATAGAAGAGTATTTTAAATTTTTTTTCCACGGGCTAACTTTTCACTCATATAAAGCAACTTTCTCATCAGCAATACAATCACTAAAGCCTATGCCAGCCTCACAACAATATACTATAATTCCTATGTTTAGGGATGAACAGCAACAACCACCAAGAACAGCGCCTTATAGGACTGGGTTTGCCAAGTACAGTTGCTATTTCAACAGCTCAAGTGGATCTTAGACAGCTAGCCCTCAAGTTACAGTAACTTTCCCTTGAACTAATTCCTGTAGTCCTGTAAAATTTCATTAGAGATTAAAGGATACCCAGCCTACTGGAGCAGAAGACATTCATACAGCAGAACTAAAGCCCCACTCTAAATAATTTCAAGAGGCTTGGTTTTCTTTAAAGATTAACCCAAACATATCTTTTTTGCAACTGATTATTGACATTTTAACAACTATCCTCTTGGCACAGACAACTCCTCTGGAGGCAACAGTACTGGAGGGAAGCAGTCTGTCAGCAAAAACCCACAGATTTTTAGCCTTATTTTTTGGTCCCAAAGTATCAAAACACACGGCTATAAGATTATCATTTTACACCCACTGAACCCTTCCAAGGCAGAATCTAACCTGTGCAGCTGGTCATCATGGATTTCCAATCCTGAGTGTACAACAACCAAAAAAGTAAGTGCCAGAGCAGGTCATAAACAGACCATAAACAGATGAACAGATGAAATTTGGTTAGGAAAAGCTTCTGCTATACAGCAAAGGTGGTCAAGCACACCTACAGTCAGAATGAATGGTGGAAAAATGGGTGCTGATCACACTGCCATAATTTCACTGTTTTACGTAACTTTGTCCAACAGGTCTTTTCCAAATAGCTCCTCCCAGGCTCATAGGAGACCAGGAGAAGTCAGTTGGGGGAATTACCAGCAGAGGATTGCAGTGTGGCTACTTCAGACCTACAGCTTCTGTGAGACAGGAGGCACCAGGCACTTGATGCACACTCACAAGCAGACGTCCAGAATTTAAACGGCTGGTAAAGCTGGATCTTCAAACATTGCCTACATGATTAACTAAGGCAGATACTTTGCTGGATCAACCTGGTCGCTGGATAGACTGACCAACAGAGTTACAAAATGGGCTGCTTCATAAGCATCCAAGCTCTTTTCCATGCCCCTTCTTCCAGAGGATTAAAGATGACAGTAGTTTAGTTTCTGAGTCAAACCAGGCACTCCTGAAACTGCCCATGCACCACGCGGAGGTACCGGACTGTTCTACAGCAAATCAATTTCCAAAGCAGAAACTGACTCACACACGGCACCAAACCAGCCCAGGACAGGCACTGCCTTCCATTTACACCGCAGCTACAAACACTCCACACAAACTGAGGGCGCACCGGGGCGAGCCCGGAGCTATCGGCGGGAAGCGTGCTCACTGATGGGCAGTGGGATGGCAGGGCTTGGACGGGCTGGGTTGGGATCGGGTCCTGCAGGCTGAGCGGGAGGTGGGACATGATGCCAGGTCAGGCACAGCGCGGCCTCCACGCGAGGCTCAGCTCCCCAGAGGGATGGCAAGGCGGGGATGGGGCTCCCTGGGGAGCAGCCCCGGGTGTCGGCCGTGTGACCCGCACACGGAGCACTCTGCCCCGGCTGCCATGTGCTGCAGCGCCTCGGCCTCCCGCCATCGACCCCGCGACGCCCGCGCTCACACCACCACGGCATCAATGAGGTTGGAAAGGACCTCCGAGATCATCGAGCCCAACCCATCTTCACCTGCGGGCACCGAGGCAGGCGCTCACGCGGGGAAGAGCCGACACCTTCCACCGCCCCGATTTATTTTACTATGGCTGTTACTGCGTCCCTCTGCCCGAGCAGAGAAAGAGGCCGGGGAAGGGGGGCTGTGGGACGCCCAGGCCGCGCCCGCCCCGCCGCGCCCCGTTCCCCTCGCCCCGCGGCGGCCGCGCTCCCGCCGGCCGAGCCTGAGCCCCGCGGGGGGAGCCGCGCTTTTCCAGCGCCGGAGGCGGCGGCACCGCCCACCCCTACCTTGGTCCTTGAGGCTGGCGAGGCGCTCCAGCTGCTTCTCCTCGTCGGAGCTGTTCATCGTGCCCCGCCGCAGCCACCGCCGCCGCGGGCCGGCGGCTGCCCCGCAGCGCTGCGCCCGCCCCGCCGAGCGCGGCCTCACCTGTGAGCGGGAGGGCGGCGGCGGCCGCAGCCCCGGGGCGCGGCGGGCCCGGCCCGCTCCGCTCTGCACATGCCCAGACTCCCGCGGCGCCCCAGTGAGCATGTGCGGGTGCGGGCGCGGCGGCTCCGCGGGCAGCGCCGGCGGGCGGGGCGCGGCGGGCACGGGGTACCCTGAGCGCCCTCGGCGCCCGCCCCGAGCCTGCACGGGCACGGCCTGGCTGTGAGCGGAGTCACGGAACCCATTCGGGTGGCCGAGACCTCTGAGGCCATCGAGTCCAGCCTGTGACCGAACACCAGCCCATGGCACTGAGTGCCACGTCCAGGCTTTCCTTAAACGCCTCCAGAGACGGTGACTCCACCACCTCCCTGGGCAGCCCATTCCAATGTCTGATCACCCTTTCTGTGGAGAAATTCCTCCTCATGTCCAACCTAGACCTCCCCTGGCACAGCTTGAGGTCGTTTCCTCTCATCCTATCCCTTGTTCCTTGGGAGCAGAGCCCGACCCCCGCCTGGCTCCCCCCTCCTGTCAGGGAGTTGCAGAGAGTGATGAGGTCCCCCCTGAGCCTCCTTTTCTCCAGGCTGAGCCCCCCCGGCTCCCTCAGCTGCTCCTCACAGGACTTGTGCTCCAGACCCTTCACCAGCTCCATTGCCCTTCTCTGAACTCACTCCAGCACCTCAATGTCCTTCTCGCAGTGAGGGGCCCAGAACTGGGCACAGCACTCAAGATGTGGCCTCACCAGTGCCGAGAACAGAGGGGCAATCACTGCCCTGCTCCTGCTAGCCACACTATTCCTGATCCAGGCCAGGATGCCCTTGGCCTTCTTGCCCACCTGGGAACATGCTGGCACATGTTCAGCCACTGTCGATCAGCACCTCCAGGTCCTTTTCCACTGGGCAGCTTTCCAGCCACTCTGTCCCCAGCCTGCAGCACTGCAGGGGGGTGTTGTGGCCAAAATGTAGAACCTGGCACTTGATCTTGTTGAACCTCACGCTGCTGGTCTCAGCCCATCGATCCAGCCTGTCCATATCCCTCTGCAAACGAGAGGAAAAATCCAACGGGCCCCCTGGCCCATGGAGACACATGTCCCCATAACCCAGCTGGCATGGTCAGCAGAGGCCATGACTCCTTTCCCTCCAGACCCCAGGCAGGGTCTCCCACATGGTCAGTCCCCCATGAGCCAGGACAAAGCCATCCTGCTCCACTCCCCACACAGCTGCCGGTGTGGTGCTGCATTTTTAATAAGCCCTTTTGCATGACTTCCATAGGGCAACTTTCCAATAAGGATCCCTGCACAGCCCAGAGGAGTGATGGGAACATAAAAGTGCTGTTTGAGTGCCTTGGTACAAAGAAGGCTAAAAGGTTTAAAAAAAATAATAATTGGAAGGTTGCATTTCTGTTTGTGAAGATCCAAGAGAAACAACTACATGCCAGTGTCCAGCACTTAATGGCAATTTTGGAACAACAAGAAGGTGAAAGGCTTTGACAGGGACCTGCTATGTTCCTTTCAAAAGAACACATTTCTCTCTGCTGTTCTCTGATGATCCCTGTTCTGAAAAAGGAGGGGATCCAATGATAAGCTCTGTATTAAATTGATTACCTTACCCAGCTTATTCCAAGGCTGACACTGCAGAGGTTGTTTGTGCTTCTGCTTTTTGCTGAGTTTCAGTCGCAGTCAGCTGAGCAGCAGCTATCTTCAGATTTGCATGGGCAAAGGTACAGTTCACATGCCTCCCTCCCTCCTTCTTTGGCAAACACCCATTGATCACCGTGGCAGGCAGGTCAGAACACACAGCATTGCCACAGGCGTGGCAATATTAGTTAGAAATACCTGAGAATGAAAGGAAAAAGACCTCTCTGCAAAGCATTGCTCAGTTACCTCCTTTCTGTGTTCCCTAGTTTTCCCATTTTGACCTAGTAAACCTTTAAAACATGAAGAGATTCCTTATGGATGCTTTACAGCATTTTGTGTCCTAGAGGTAGTTAATAACTTGTATACCATCCTGGAAAGAAGCCAGGAGATCCACGTGAGCTAAGCTGGTGTCTCAGAAGTGTGGTATGCCCGGGTAAGACAAAGGAGGCCTTGCAGGCAAGTTCATAAGCTAGTCAGTTTATTTCGAACTAGTCAGCACAAAACACCTTAAACTGTACCAAATGCAAAGTTATAAATTCATGCTCCTAGTCATATGCAAAGAATGGAAAATGACCTTGGAAAACGAAGGCTCTGTAGAGGAAGTGGGAGGCAAAGTAATTATGTAAGTGCTGCCAGTAAGATACTGCAGGAAAAGAATGGGAGTATGCTGACAGCAAGGAAAAGGTTTCTTCTATAACATTGGCAAGACCAAAATAAATCTACTGTGTCCAGTTCTCAAAAAAATGGTACAGAAAAATTTATGGAGAAAGCACAAGAGAAAAAAAAAAAAGACCTAGAGCTTGAGGAGAGTTCTTTGCAATCAGAGACCTTAAACCCTTGATCTTTTTAACTGAGCAAAAAGGAAACAAATTATTGGGTTATGATAATCTGTCAGGAGAAAACCCTCAATACTTGAGGGTTTTTCAGCCTAGCGGAAGAGAGTCAATCAGAATCTGTGTCTGTAACCAGAAGCTGAAAGTAAAAGCTACAAATAGAGTCACACATCAATAACTGCCTCCATTTGAAGGAACACAGAGGTCCTATTTAGGTCCTTAGAGTTCTGGGATGACCTCAGTTTTGAATGGCCCCCACGTTAAGTCAGAGCAGTTTTGCCAGATTTTTATTTTTGAGTGTCCTTTCTTGGGCTGCCTGTTGGCTTCCCTTCAGCCACAGGTCTAATTCCAAGCCCCTCTTCCCACTGCTGATATAATTCCCCTTCGTTTCCAAACCAATTTCTTTCATGCAGTGTAATAGCAGGATTTGCAAAAGAGTCGTTGTATGTTGCTTGTCCCTGCACCATGCCAAGACACCGGGCACTTTCATCCTTCAACAATGTTCCGTCTGTTGTGTTCAGCCAGAACAGGGCGTAAAATCTCTTTGATATCTGCAGAGACAACAAGTCAATTCTTCCATTATTTTATTTATTTATTCAAGTTAAAGTGTTTTGTCTACATCAGAAGAATTCACTTCTGTAATTTCTATATCACAGCTTCATAATTTTTCTTCTTGTTTTCATTCACACCTGCATCCAGATATAATACCTTGAAAAGTCACCATTTAAAACAAGGATCTCCTCATTGCAGACCATCGTGGTTGCAATACTGGGATGGGTACCACTACAACATTATTATTTATTAGTATATTAATAATATTATTATATTAATAATATCTTGTTTATCTTTTTCTAAGTTAGAAGATGTCTGAGAAGTAAATTCTATTACTAAATTTGCTAATGGATTCCCCTAAGGATTTAACATCCCCAGAAATGTTTCTCTGGATCATGGATTCAGTTCATTGTTTTCAGGGTTATTTTAAATAAGAGTTAGTTTGTAGTACCTATTTTTATGTAATATAATGTCCACATTGTGATTTGATACACAGTCAGTATCAAGGATGGAGTCACTTTCTACTGGACATGACACGTCATGGATAATCCATGTCCTTTTGGAGACCAACATTCAAATTGATTCATCATACCTCTAGGTCCTGCCAGCTCGTAGCTGAGGAGAATGAATGAGAATCTGGCTGGTATTCTCAATTACACCGTAGCCAACAATTGTATAAAATAGGATAATTATACAGAAAAAAATGAAAGAGAAAAAAATACCAAGAGGTTTTTCTTTCCTTGACTTACCTTGGGATAGATCTTAGTGAGATTGGACACCTCCTGTTGTTCTGACTAATGAGTGAAGCTGAAAATGATTTCCCGACATGTTTGTGTAACTCAGGCTGTTGTACCTGTGCAGAATATTACTAATAAATAGCTTGCATATAATTTTTGTGATTTTTTTTTTCATGGTTCTCCTCTTGGATGGGACTTTGATGAGTACTCAAATGATGGACTTGGCAAATTGAAAATATCACAGATTGACAAACTGAAGCAACTGTTAGTCACATAATTCCTAAATTCACATAATTCCTAAATTCATAGAATCTAGAGTGAAGAGCTAGGAATTCATGGAATCATAAAATTTTTGAATTTTGAATATTGAAATTTTGAATCACAAAATTTGAAACAATTATCATGTTTATGAATGATTTTGTCCTGAAATCATCTAGAGACAATAAATTTTGAACTTAATCTATAAATCTTTATAGAATTTTTTTTCTCGAAAATTAGCTATTTAAGATAACAACACACATAACTGTACATACAGAAGTAAAGATTCTGGTACCTTATCAAATAGGTACTACAATCAGAAATTTGATGTAGTCGTTATCCAGACTAAAATGTGCATATTCCTTCAGGATTCATCAGCCTCCTGTTGAAAAGAGCTACCTGGTGGAAACAAGTGTGACTACAGGCTGCAGGTACCCTCAGGGCATGGCCACTGCCACACCTTTACCACTTTCAGAGCAGATGTATTTTGTGGGGGGAGAGGGGACAAGGAAAAATAAACTACATAATCGCTGCACAGATAAACAACTATTAATAAACTAAAAAAAATAAATATGGCAATAGCTATTTGAGCATCTAATTAACATGATGAATAAGACTAAGCAGCTTATCTTGCTGAGGTAATGTATATTTTTCCATCAAACCAATCAGTGCTGAATAATGACTAGCATAATATATCAGGGTAAATATAAGCACTTCTTGTCTCCGTAAGATGACAAATAACTAATCAGCACACATCCAAACTGGAATATAAGTATGATTAGAAATAAAAAACCTCAGATAATGTGGATTAATTTGAAAAACTTAACCGTTTGATTAGAGACACTGGCATGATCTTTGCTAGTTATCTCCATCTAAGATGGCAAACACATCTATCTGCACAGAAAAAAGGCACAAATTGATTGGGGGATAAATCAGAGGAAAATTAAGTATTTAGCATGGCATTTTTATATGCTCTAATTATACCATAATTAACAATTCCGGA